TGTACCTCTTGTGGTATGTAAGTTAGCTTGTGGTGAGAGAAACCAAAAGAGAAAAGTTAGAGTCTTTCTGTAAAATTTTACCTGAGACAACCCAATTAGTTTCAACATATTGAAAATTCCTACTCATTTGGTAGCTCCTACCTCTTTGTGGTGTGACAGTTTCACTTTGGCATATCAGTAAGGGTTTCCACTGGCAGCATGAAGTTCAGGTGTTATCTTTGTACTGTTCAATGCACAGCTAAGGCCACATGTATGTATTCAGCAGGGTTCAGAGCTCGCTCCGTCTGATGTCCTGTTATAGCCATGAACACCTTATGGTTCTTTACCATGGTGGGATTTACAGTTTGTTACCATCATCGCAGACATTACCATCCAAAACATTTACTTGATCTTCATAACTTATGACTTTCCCTTTGTGGTGTTATTATAATTTAGTATTACATCTAATGTGAGAATATTCATACCATATTTCTGGGTTAAATGAAGTTCATCTGATTTTTATTTCAACGATTTTTTTTCCCTTTAAATACCAACAGTTTGTCTCATGTAAATAGATTAATTATGTAAAGTTAATATTATTCACTTTTTAAAACAAAAATACAAGATTTCTGAAAAAAAATTCATTTGATTTTGGCACTAAAACATCTAGAGCTTGAAAATGGTGGCCCCAAGGACCAAGACAGGTCTCTTGCTGTAAAGTTATGTTGTTATGACTGAAAATTTGGCAATACAATACAATAATACATGCATATGCACCAACACAGGCCTTTACAAGTAACAGCCTGGTTATAATGACATCCACACCCCTCTCATTATTTTAAGTTTCATTTTAGACTCCAAAAAGACGTGCATACATTTCAAAAAAGCAAACTACTCGAATGTTTCTGTTTTGTCCAATTAAGATTTTGGAGCTTGAAGAAAAAGGACCTCAGTGACATTCTTGTTTGAAAAGTTTTTACTCCTTTGGTAACTTAAGAAAAACATTATGATACTGCCTTCTTTCTGAATTTTGGAGAAGTTCTTCCTTTTATGTGCAGTTACTGTTAAAAAAAAGTATCTTCATTTGCCATAAATATGAGACACATATTCCTCTGAAGTTAGTGGGAGTTCTGCTGACGCAACTGACTTGGTTTATTTTTAAATATTTTCAGTATAAAAAGCATTTCTTAAAAAAATCTTTCGCAGTGACATTGCAATTATCTTTCTTTGTACAAAAATAGACATTTCTAAGATATACACATTGAGGCCCACCTCCTAATGAGGAAATAAGACCAAACACCGAGGGAAACCTGCGGTTCAGTGGGTGACTCACAGTTCATCTACAAGCAGACTCCCCTTGGAAAGAGGAAATGCTCAGCTCATCTTTTACTGTCTAAGTGTGGTCAGTGGATGAGGAAAGGGTCCATCAGAAAAGGGCTTCCCTCGTTTTCATAAGCCCCCTCCCCCGCATTTTCCTTTCCTTCATGCAGTCACTTCAAAGTTCCCTTCGGACACTCTCTCTTTACTCTCGGTTTGTTGACACATCATCATTTCATGGTCTCAGGGATCCTTTAGTTTTCTTTTAGTTTTGTTATGCAGTTCCTTCCCATTTTTGACAAACACGCACAAGCACGCACACACAGACACACGCACGCACACAAAACAACAATTTGAAAACCAGTTCTCATATTCAGCTTCTAATAAATGAAGCATATTCTCATTAATTCTTCTTTTTTTTTTTGGTAATGCACAGTTATCTCGTGATAACGACTGATCTCATTGTCTTGATAGAACAGAGTTAGTTCACGCCACACCAGTATAAAGTGTAAACACAAAGGTATTGTTTTGTTTTGGCTTCTTGTTTACATGGAAATGGCATTTTAGCCAACCTATAATGGTAACTTAAAAACGCCCTCCAGAGTGGATTATTTCTGAAACACTGCAGCCACCGTTGTCAACAACAAGCCTAGGTTTTCAATGAAAACGGTGATGTCACGATCCACTTTGCGCATGTGCATTACACTTTCAACACGGGAACATTTAACTGCCATGTGCGAATCAGACAACAACAGTAACAATGGCAGGCACGTTATTAATCAATTTGTTGTCACTGGAAAATTATCTTTGTTATGTCAAGATAACAAAAATCAAAAATAATTTGTTATCATGAGAAAACAAACTTTGTTTTATCAAGATAATGACGTAATAATTAGTTATCACGAGATAACACTGCATCAAAAAAAGAAAAATCCATGGCCATTCTCATCTTCCACAGTTAACAGCTAAAAAGCAAATAATTAAAATCATTTGATGATTTTTAAGCTGACTTCTGTGCATGAATAAGTCAATTTGCAGCATTATGTTATCCTTCTCACCTCTGGCTGCATTAGCTAAGACAGCCCCACGGCCTTGAGGAACTCTGGTGGGATCTCATCCACCCCCTGGGCCCTACCACAAAGGAGCTTTTTAACCACCTTGGCAACCCCAACCCCAGAGATAGAAGAGCCCACATCCAAGTCCCCTGGCCCTGCTTCCTCACTGGAAGGCATTCTGGTGAGATTGATACGTCAGCAGTGATAAGGATACTGCACAGGTCTGTCATGGTAAAGAGGGAGCTGAGCCAAAAGGCAAAGCTCTTAAATTACGGATCAATCTATCCTGCTACCCTCACCTATGGTCACAAAATGTGAGTATTGACCAGAAGGACAAGATTACGAGTACAAGCAGCCGAAATGACCGTCCTCCGCAGGGTGGCTCCCAAATGTCTTTCTGATCAAGTGTACAGGGCAAGTTTCAGCAGTAGGGGTACGGAGAAGACCGAGGACACGCTGAAGAGACTATGTCTCTTAGCTGGCCTGGGAACACCTCACCTCAGGGTCCCCCAGGAAGAGCTGGATGAAGTAGCTGGGGAGAGGGAAATCTGGGCTTCCTTGCTCAGGCTGCTGCCCCGGCAACCAAACTCTGTATAATCGGTAGAGGATGGATGGACCTCTGGCTGTAACATTAGTAACATGAAAAGTGACAGAGGTAAAAGAGATGGAGGGACAGGAGTTCAATGTGCCAGGTCCCCCAGCAGTCTTAACCTACAGCAGCATAACTAAGAGTTGCTCCAAGGCAAGCCTGAACCAGACCAATCAATCTGACTGGTAGAAGATTTTAAAGGAGAGAGGCTTGATAAATGAGAGCTCTACCTCACATACTACTTTTACAGACTTAACGTACCAGGGTCAATGTAATATAATGTGTTAGATGTATTGATGTCAAATTAGCACATCAGGTGATGAATGATGATGGTGTGTTTATAATTAGGCTACTCTAAATCTTTTATTTAAGAACTAAAAGGCCCTAATAGGAGAAAGCAGGCTGTTTTTACATATTGAAACACTCCCACTCTTCTAGCACTTTCTGCACACTCCAGAAATTAGCTATCTTCTTTTCTCTTCAGTAGGATCACCATTTTTATTAAACCACTTTTACTGTTTGACACATACAGAGCTGAATGTACTGCAATCACACAACACAAACAAAAGTAATTGTAAATTTTTGACTTTGTTAAAACAACACAGACTAATGCTGTTCACAGATTAATTAGAATAGAATTGTGAAAACTTAATTTTTAGTGTTTGATGTGCTTTTAAAGAGAATATGTTAGAGACCCTGTTAACACAAAGGGTCATTTCTGGTCACCAGAGATGAGGACCGCTCAAGATGAACAACATAGTGTGTTTGGAAGGGTTTCTTCAGATGGTTAACACAAGAGAACAACTAAAAGACAGCTGCACAAAGTGCAGTTGTGACAACAACAAAGATCTGACCTGGCTTGCACACTTGACCTGGTATAGACCCACCACTTTCTGTTTAGTTTGGATAACTTTTACAAATAGGGGAGGGGAGTGTTTCATAACACTCATTGTTACAGAATTAGGTCTTCAAGATGAGCACGTTTACCCTGAGGCATCATTCATATGCCATTTATTTTTATTACATAGGCCCTTTTATTGTATCTTCAATAACAAAAGCTGCACTGTATCACATTTTTAAAAGTATAATTTAATTTAAAGGAAAAATGAGTTTTTTTAAACCAACATATCTAGATTAATCTTTTAGGTTGCCTCAATATTACTCATCATTATAACCCTCAGTTTGTTATGATATGTTCTTGTCAACTTAATCTTTCCCTGGTTTTGTTATTTAGTTGCATTTTCTGTGTATTTTCCCAAGTGTATTATCCCCTGTGATCCTGGTCTTTGAGTTTTCAGTTTGTCTTTGATCCTGTTTCCCTTGCGTTCTCAGTGTTTCATTCTTTGTATCAGTTTTCAGTGTTTTCTGATTTATTTTGTAGTTCCCTGCTCTTGTATGTATCTGTCAGTGTCTCAGTCAATGTCATGGTGTGTGAATCCCTTGTTGATCTCCTTGTAGTTTTTCCAGTGATTTTTATTTATTCATTTTTTTAGGATTTTGCTCCTTCTGCACTTGGGTCCTCCTTTTTGTTTTGTGACCTCTACATTGATAGTTAAGATGATAAATCCAGCGTACTCTTATACCTCTTTTTTAACTTGCATTTGTGACAGGTGCCTGTACATGAATACATGATCCAGAGTCAAAGAAGTGCATTTCTTTTGTTGATGGACAGAAATTTGACAGAAACTACCTGTGGCTCTGGGGGAGAGGCTAATTTTGTCTATTAACTGATAAATATGTATTACTTTTATATCCAAATGCCTAAAAACTTGTGAATGTATAAACTAGTGAGTTAAAACTAAATGAAGAAGATATTTTTAATCAAATAAGTTCACTTCACAGCCAACATGAGCAGCTGAATTGCAGGAAAAAGCCAGTCAGGTAGTCACCAGCTCGCACACTTTCACAAGGGCTCGTTGAAAAAGCTTAAGTCTTTGGATGTGCTTGATACAGACTCAGGACCAAAGTAGGAACAGAGGTTCTTATAGGAATGAAAGGATTCACAGTTAGCTTACCTTCATGCACATACGTAATTGGAACTGAGCCATAAGGACCAAACCAGAGTTGAGACTCAGGTTTGACTCCTGAAAACAAAAAGAAAACATTGCTTTTACGCCAAAAAAAAAGAAAAAAAAGAAAAGGTGTTAAATAATAAAAATAGGTGCTCATTTCAGTTTTAGGACCTTACTTTTTAAATTGAGGCTATGTTCCCTCTAGGAATCCCAGCAGGGGCATGGGAGATGGGGATAAAAGGTAAAAGGGGGACACAGTAAACATAGCCTGTAATAAAGTCGTCATCATGGTATGTCATTGTATAGCTCTATTTCCATCATGACAAGCCTGTCAGGGAGACAGCATGAAAGATAGCAGGGGGCAAGCAGATAAACACTGCTGCAGCTGCACAATTCAAAAATTCAGCCAAAGCCAAAGACAGGGGGCGTTGTGTTTTGACAGCTTGATGTTTGAAGTCTGAAATCCAAGTTGTTGTTTTTTTTTATTTGGGGGTGGTGTGTGTGTGTGTGCGTGTGTGTGTGTGTGTGTGTGTAACCCTATAAAAGCAGTTTCATCTTTGCTGAAAGTTAGATGAGCTTAGGGCAGCTTTTGCTATCTTGAACATTACTGTGGTAGCTCTCTCCAGGCTGTGAAAATGTTTGCAGTTGTTACACTCTTCGTGTTCATGTGCTTGACGGCCACCAGCCATGCAGACCACCATCATCATCCTTGCCGTAAGAATAAGTGGTTCTACTGTCTGAGTGATTCATTGTGCTGACTGTGTTATTATCCGTTATGGTTATAAGCTTGTTTGGGATTCATCTGACCAACATCATTGTGTTTCAGATACACCAAACATGACAGGATTGATGTCTGTGGTGAGTTTAAATTAACTTTTTGGTTCTTTGTCGTGACATTTCAGTATACGGCATAGAACACCAGCCTTTTCTCTCTGTTTGATTCTAGATAAGTTTAAAGGGACAACTGAAAGCAATGGGTGCCTTCACTTATGACTCAACTGGCAAGAAACTACGGTTCAGGTCAAATGAGAGCCATCCCATGAACTCATCCGTTGGTTTGGATCTACTGATGTTTTTTGATGAGGTAACTATTTGTCTTGGTTTTTGTCACACTTTATTTATCACTGTCTTAGTTCTCAACAAGTCCATGTCTGTTTTGTAGGGGATATTCTATGAGATTGACAGCAAAAACAAGAGCTGTGAGAAAAAGAAACTGCACTGCACAATGCACCCCCTAGATATTCCAGATGACGCCAAGTTCCATGGTACTGTAACCACCGGGAGTGCTTCCATTGAAGGGGAGGGGCTAAAAGTCAATGTATGGACAGGATCATTCTCAGACTCCAAAGGTTGGAGAGGTGCTATAAAATTAAACACACGCATTTTTAGTGATAGAATTTTGAATTATGGTGGTATTGATATTAATTTTTTGTTCTCTTTCAGGCTTTTACTCCATGTCTACTACCATGGGCTGTTTGCCTATCAGCACCTTCTACTTCTCTGAGGCAACACCGTTCTTATTCAGGTTTGTGTGGCCTTTTTTCTTTGGACATTTCTGGGCTCTTTAGGCTGCACAGTCTATGTGAAATATCCTTCGAAATTTGAAGTTTTGCATAACTCTCCTGCAGCATCATGGAGGTTGACATGGAGATTAAGGATCCTGATCTCCTGGTGGTGCCCTCCTTCTGCATGGGACAGCCAGCGGAGGATACATCTGACGGAACAGTAAACAGTTTCCTCCATGAGTTTATGTAGAGGAAACCATGCCTACAGAAATCCAAACCCCTTTCCATGTGTGGCCAGCCAGACTAGACTTTTCCCTCCTTTTCATGTCTGACTCGAGTTTCGTGTGACACTGCACTACATCACACCTGTTTCCAGCACTCCCCCTTTGAAGAAATGGCTTTGAATGGATCATACTGTAGCATCAACATGAATTTTAAATAAAGGAAAGAGATATATGACGTGGATTATAGAATTAGTCATAATTACTAACAGTTGGTGGCTTTTCAACTTGGTACTGCTTACAAAACCTGTAAGATATTATTAATGGAACAATAAAATGTCAAAGCTGTCAAATGTGTAAAGAGAAATTCTTCATCATTCATAATTTCTGAGTGAAGTGTATCATCTGGTATCAATGAAGGGGTTAATCATTTGGACACTGTAGCAAGAAAACATAAACAATGACAGATGAATGCACTATGGAGCTCTGCAGCAAAATCACTCTTTAGCTCTGATTAGATCCAGAGGACACTATTTCAATGTATTTACTGCCATTTCCAGAATAATGCATCTCTATCAGTAATGAAATCTTTCTTAAATAATAATAAATAATAATAATAATACATTTTATTTAAAAGCGCCTTTCTGAACACTCAAGGACACTGTACAGGGCATAAAAACACAGTTAGAAACATAATTAAAATAAATAAAAACAACATACAATTTTGAAAGTGGACAGTTTAAGTGAATATGCGATTTGGAATAGGTGTGTTTTGAGTTTGGATTTAAAGTGGGGTAGTGATAAATAAACCTTAATATGATAGCCTCAAACACAGACTGACAAAGCTATAAATATAAACTTTGATGAGGAGTTTGTAGCTGGTGATGAAACAGACTGAAATTAATATTGTCTCTTCATGACCTGGAGTGACTATTTCTATACAGTTGTTTCTTAAGTATTTGGAAACCATTGGCATGGGGAAAGTATAAGAAAATGAGTAACTGTATGCTGCAGATGTGGATAAAGCCTTTTTTATGTTTCACAGCAAAAGACTCTCAATGGGTGATACACTCACTGTAAAAAGAAAGCAGAAAGAGATTTATTTTGTCAAGAAGCACCAAGTTTGCATAACCAGGGCAAAATTAAGTAAAGCAGTTCTATTCATCAGTCTATGCACTGGGGAATGACAAATTCAACACAAACATAAAGTTCCTGACTGGAGCTTTAAACACTAGTGATAAATTATATTAATGCTCTTTAAGATAAGGTCTGGATTGGGTAGCTGTGTGCTATTTACTTCACAGATAAAAGGATGGAAATCTCTCCAAATGAATAAATAAAGGACTAATGCGTAGGAGGGCATATTTCAATATTTTACTTATGTTTTCTGTATCTAAACCACTGTTGGAGATAAATCATAAACAATTAAGTAGGCTAAAGATTAAAAAAGAATTGAAGTCATAAACACAGTGTTCTGGACCAATTGATGTAAATAACCATTACTGGTCAGATACAAGCATATAACCATGTGATCAAGCTGATATTAGTCTTAAAGGTCTGAATCTATGTAACTGTTAATATTATATTAATAGCCAATAAACCCAACGTGATCTAATAAGTCTGCCAAACAACAGAGACAACAGAGTGGATAACCACGTTTAATCATTATGAGGGCCCATAAAAGCAGTTGTGAGGATTTAATCACTGTCAAATAGCAATAGTTACGTTGCTTTCAGTTTTTAGGATCACAATTTCTTTTTTTTCCACTTCAGTCGGACTTAAAGACGCTGTCTTTTAAAAAAAGTATGATTACAGTAGTTTGGGCGTATTTATAATTATAATATCTAGCCATATGTGCGATTTAAAATTTCATCTAAGGTATCTTATGTAAAACCAAGGGAGTCAACCTATCTAAAAAGAATTCATTACGGAACAGTGGGTCATTAGAGTAGGAAAAAAGGGAAACTGCTCACTGCTGTGTGCGAGTAAAGTTGTGATGACTCGGTAAAGAAGTCAGCTGCGTGTTCTGAACACTGACAGACATGGACCTTCTCACTGCAGTTCACGGAGCCGCCGACAGGTGGTGTGTGTGCTGCATGCAAAACAACGAAAATACAAACTGTGCCTTGCTATGTTAGCCACCAAGGAGCTTCTCAACGTTAGCTAGCAAATAAAACTGTTATTTTTGAGATTTGGAAAATGACAGTTTGTGCAGGGAATTGAGGAAAGCATCCTTTTTGCAAAGCCCTCAGCTTTTGGAAAATTTGGTTTCAGTCCGTCTTTGATTTAAAACGAGGTAAGTTGTAAAATGGCGGATAGCTTAACGCTACCTTACCATTCATGGTATTTGTCATTGATGCTGCTGTTTGGCATAGCAAATAAAACAGTTGACATTAGTGTTATCTAGAGTTTTTCCACGAAAGTACACGACTTACTTTGAAGTCACGAGTGAAACTAAATCAATAAGGAGACGTAACCTTCCAGCTGATGTTCCCTTTAGCAGGTGCTGTTGCTAGAAAGCTAATGTGGCTAATGGCTAGGCTAGTTCTCTGTTGCTGCTTATGTTTCAGAAATCTAAAGTGAAAATTATCCTCACGTTCATGGCTCAGTACGACAAACCTTCGAAAGCAAACGGGTATAAATAAAGCTAACAGAAAAATGTCTCTGCTAGCATCACTTAGATTAGCTCTTATTAGCCGGGGAGCTGCTTAGCCGTCGTAGCGCACACGGCTCGTCAGGAAGAGGGGAGTCTGGCCGAGGGTCTAACCCCCAACAAACATCTGCAGCTGGGTTTGTAGTTCGGAAGTGTATTACTGCACGTGTCAGAGCTGTTTTAAAGCAGAGTTGTTTACTCGAGGACCGCGTTCGAGTTTACTTTTTCAACTGATTGACGATTACATGGGGTAATATTAACGTTACTGCGTTACTTGTCTGGGTAAGTAACGTAAACCGACGTTAGCTCTCAACCCCCAGTCCGCGTTTCCATTTATGGTCCTCGGAGTCCAAAGTCAGGCCCCGTGTCCGGTCACAATAACAACAACCATGTCGTGCAGTTTGGGGTTGCCTGTTACAATGTGCTAGTGTTGTGTAAACACGCCCCCACAGGTTTCCCTACACTGACTGCATCTGCTGTAACATAAGGAAGGGTTTAAAGCGATGGCATCAGCAATACACCTGTTAGTATCCCCTCGTCGAATAAAATCATTATTTTATATTCATCAAATTCATGTTCGTATCAATCAAACTATGATACAGAGTTTGTTTGCTCCGTATGTGTACACATAAGTGCAGAATCCAAGCAAAACACGCCTGTTCATCACTGTAAATAACAATAACACATTTTTAATAAGGAAGTGGTATGATTTTGTTCATGCATCAGCAGTGGTTGGGCAAGATAACTCATTGCTCATGACTGCAGCTTTATACATTCCTATATTAGCCCTGATCAGTCAGCAGGAACACACCTGTTGGATTACTGAGGACCAGCTGTACATAACAAAAGAGTACAGGTTGTGCTTAACTTTGGGTCAAGAGGTCAGTCAAGTAAAGCTGTGGCAAGAATGAGGCAATTTAATTTACATCAGTCAAATTTATGGCAAAATGTGTTTTTGTTGTTACCAATGCATTACATGGCACCATGTGTGACTCAGCCTGTTTTATTGGTGTTCACACTAGTAATGTGATTATAGAGTTCAGAACACAGAAGATAAAAACAGCAAAACTAATTGTTCGTGAAATTGGATTTTTAAAGCCGCTAAAGAATCACAAAACTCAGTGTTTTGATTTTACTGCATAAAGCAGGAATGAGATTTATCAAGCAGTGGTGAAGTAAAATTGCCTGTAAACAAGAATGCACTAGATGCACACCTAATGCACTAGAGAAATAACTAGATTGCCTTTAAGGTAGGGCTACTTGATCTTGGAAAAGCCACAATCATGATTATTGTGATTGATGTTGATATCACAATTATACATTATTATAATTTATTATTCTCCTCAATGTAACTGATATCATTTTTCAAGTTATATGTCAGCTACTACCCGTGAAAGGGACCATGCATCAATTATTCACTTTTGAGAGTTTTCACTTAAATTAGGTGAGAATATTCAATACATTAAATGCCAGATTTCACTTGTCGTTTAGTATTTTTTCTCTGTGCCATGACAAATTGAAGAATTTGAGCTTATCTGCCACTTACATTTTATCACAGGCTGCAGATCAAACATATTTTAAAGTCTTCATATAACGTCCGTCGTAATGACACTTGGGCCAGCATTTTACTTTGATTCCTGATGATGCCTCTCACCTTTTAGTCCGGGGTCATTAGCGCTTGTTAGCACTCATGCAGGCTCGTGATTGCTACAGCCCCTCTCTGATCATGCTCCCCCTGTCCCCAGGCTTTTCAGACACATAGCCTGCCTCATCGTGCTCCTCTCCCTGCTCTCCTCTCTCCATCTGTGGCTGTCTGATCATTTGTTGCACAATGAGTCGAAAATACAGCGGATCTCCACCTTAGTGGTAGCCATAACATCCGGGAGCTCCTAACTTTTTTTCACATTGATCCCAACTACTGGAGATGCGGTGAAAGTGGGAGCTGTTTGAGGGAATCCTCGCGCTGTTGTCCAGGAGGAGAGTGAGGGTGCGCTTTATGACGTCACAGGGCGACACAACAGGTCGCATTGTATTGTCCAGCGTCAATTATATTTTCATGATTGTTATCCCAACTGAAATCCGATTAATCCCCTAGCTGTAGAAAATTACAGTTTGATAAAATACAGGTTTGGGTTGTTTTCTATTGATGCAGTGACAAAAGATTATGGTTGCTGTTTTGGCCTGCCACTTAAAGAGGACTCGCAGACTGCAAAAAGCACAGTAAACAGCTGTGTGGAATCGCATGTGTGATACAGAATGGAATCACTGACATGATCATTGTTGCGAGGCTAGTGACAATTCACAACCCTAATATATACATGGAGAGAGAGAGAAAGATATTGAGACAAATTTAGATAGATAAACAATCAGGGTTTATCACCTAAAGTCTAACATATTAACTGTTGGATGGAGTTGGATGGAGGCCTGAGTACCATGGCTGTTCATTCACAGTGTTTATGTACAGTAAGATGAAGCTCATTTAGGTTAACTGCTTTTTGGATTCGTTTTGGAACAGGAATGACAAGTGGCACACAGAAAGCCATAGACACTGCAAGTTATGGCTAATATGCATTTTTTAACCTTTTTAAATATTTTACCCTTTCTACTGTTACCACAAAATTGAATTATGAAACTGCACATCAGGTTTTCTCTTGATGTTATGTAAGTCCAGTATTTACATAAAAACACATATTTTAATATTCTCTAAGAGATATGGCAATACCAGTTTTTCCAAATATTGTGCAGCCCTAAAAGTTCCTAATACATCATAAGAAAGTGTGGTTATATGATTCAGTTTCTACTGGTTCCTTAGCAGGGCAGCCTGAGACTTTTGTACTGCCTCAGACAGAGATCGGTGTTTGTGGGGTCTTTTTGTGTGAACATCAACTATGGCACTACATCAATGTAAAGATGACACGATTTCATTATCATCCAGTCCAGCTGTGGTGTTAGAACATGATCTTTTCACCCTTCGGTCTGAGCACTATGATGTAGCTGCTGTATAGTATATGATTTATAGTTATACTTCAGATGGTGTCAGGGGTTCATTTATCTATAAGCTTATCTATTTTCTATTATTTTTCAGGTCTGGCAGAGAAAAACCTTGTTTGGGGTCCAGAGGAGTAGAAGCACCACCTCCAGCACATCCAGAAAATGTTAAAGAAATGATAGCAGCGCAGGATTTGCACACAGAGTTTCAATTTCCTCAGTAAGCAATGCAAGACAAAAATGTTTGAATCGTATTTTTTGCATTTGTCAGTGAACAGTAATTTTAGCCTAAGGACCATATTCTGGATTGTACTTAGTGAAGTCTGTTTGATGTTTGTACTGACTGTCTGCTCAATGAACAGGGAGGCAGAATCGCAGTTGTCCTCAGACACCGACCTTGAGGATCCTGATGGCAAAAATGCAAAGATCGGAAAGGGCGTGGTATGTTTTTCAAAACTTGTACCTTGTGTTCACCCTATCAGGCGTATGTGTGTTTATTTGTTAATTTATTTGATCAGGACAATGCATATTGATTAATATACCAGCAAAAAGCATCAAAGTAAATATGTTGGCACAGTTGCTAAATTGCTAAAAAGACAGCTATCGTATAAAAAAACAACATATAGACAATACAACATGACAATTGGAAAAAACATGTAGAAATCTTACTTAAGAAATCAACCCACCTAAAGGATAAAAGTCCATGCACAAAACAGCGGTGCACTGGGAAACAGCCGAGGGTAATTATTGTATCCCACCAGTGTAAACAGTATGATATTATCCAGCAGCTATCATTGCCACATCACTGTCTTCATCACATCTGTGGTGTGATTAAGTCTTCGAAGGGATTTTTTTTCTTTTTTCTTTTTTTTTGAATGAGCTTTAACTTTATTCAAACTCCTGGGGTGGGTAATTGTAGGGATTTTGTAATGTTATACTGATTTGTCCCAGATTTTTGGTTATTTTAATGTGAGGTGTATGTATTTAGTAGGATAATGATAACTCAATAGTTACTGTAGGACAACTGCAACAGTTCATTACTCCCAAGTTAACACTTGGAGGTCGAGTGAGTTTTATTTTAAAGTGAAAGTGTCAAGATTACAGTTACATTTCCTTCATAATTTCTACCCGCTTTGGTATTATGTAGCGCTATCAAAAAAAACATGACAGCTAAAGTCAGGTGTATGCTGGTGTTTGCTGTGGCCTCACATTAGAAGTGACATTACGGTACCATACACTTGATTGGACTCAGATGCTTCATAAACTTAGCTGCCATTATAACAGTATTGATAAGTAAAATAATAATAAAAACAGTTTATGATCAATTGGAAAGTGGCAAATAAACACAAGATTCCCCTCGTGTGTAGTGCTTGAATTCCTTAAACACAGCATATTGACACTTAAATGCACAGTCTTGGGGTTATGGTAATTTGTGTCTTTATTTAATACAATAATATTATGTAAATTTGGAGCAAAAACAAAACATTTTCTTATTCCATGAGACTTCTTCATCCCCAACAGGCATCAAGGAGAGGGAAGAAGGCGCCTGGAGACAAGACCAAAGGTGGGGCTACAGGGAGGACCCCTGGTCCCAGCTGGGTGAACGGCCATCATCAGGAAAATGGGACAGAGAGTATGACTCTGTTTGAGGTGGTTAAAATGGGGAAGAGTGCCACACAGGTAGGGAAAAGATCTTTGCTGTGTTTTAAAATTCCTCTAGTCCCTCAATTAATTCAATGTTTTTATAGACCTTTTAAATTGTGTTGTAGCTGTGAGGGGGCTTGATTAAGTAGATGTCCATTAGTTTAGATGTTTATTATTCCGGTGTGGTATGAGTGGCCATGCTTTATTTTACAGTCTGTCGTTGATGACTGGATTGAGGCTTACAAAAATGACAGGGATGTTGCTCTCTTGGATTTAATCAACTTCTTCATCCAGTGCTCTGGCTGTAAAGGTAAATACTTGAGGTGATTATGTGTCTGAATATGCAGTAAGATGCCGAATAGCAATTACAAATTACTACTGCCATGATGTGATTTCACACGCAGGTGCTGTGAGTGGAGAGATGTTCAGGAATATGCAAAACTCTGAAATCATCCGGAAAATGACAGAGGAGTTTGATGAGGTGCTACAACAGTCTGCATTATTTTAATTGACTTACCTTGAAGTGAAACACAATCCAACTGTGAATCCATGTGAGATCTTTTTAGACTTGAAGAAATAAAGACAAATAGACATATGGTTAAGAAATGTGATCTCTCTCTTTTCCTGTTAACCTAACAGGACAGTGGCGACTATCCCTTAACTCTATCAGGGCCACAGTGGAAGAAATTCAGGACAAGCTTCTGTGACTTTATTGCTGTTCTGGTGCGTCAGTGTCAGTACAGTATCATCTATGATGAGTACATGATGGACACGGTCATCTCCCTGCTTACTGGTCTGTCTGACTCCCAGGTCAGAGCGTTCAGACACACAAGCACACTAGCAGGTCAGTCATAATGTGCATGTCTGATTTTGGATTTCTCCTCCCCGACTGTCAAAATACTTCTGCTGTAACTCCTCCTTCGATGTTTCTGAATTTTTTTTGTTTTTTTTTCAGCCATGAAGTTGATGACAGCCTTGGTAAACGTCGCTCTGAACCTTAGCATCAACATGGACAACACGCAGAGACAGTACGAGGCAGAGAGAAACAAGGTTGTCGCAAAAAGAGCCAATGACAGGTTGGAGCTCCTGTTACAGAAGCGCAAAGAGGTAATAAGTAGTATAAATAATAAGTTTTCTTTCTCTGGTTATCACATTTTTGACTGTTATCCCCAGTATTTTGCTCATGATATCGAGCTGGTCTGTATGGAGCAAGTCATTCTTGCAGGGTACAACTAAAATATGAGTGGTACACACACAAACCTGTTTTACAAGCTTTAAATCTGATATCGTTAAGCCTTAATCTAAATTTATCTGAAGTTTAGATAAGACAAATTTAATGGTATTATTACATTCCCTCTTATAATTGTCGTCACAATCGTAACCTTTTGATTACTAAACTTTTACAGAGATCTTGAGATTTTGTGAAATACAGTTGGGACTTTGTGATTGAGGTTGGGAAACTGTCTCACTCTGATGCAGAACCACCCTGAATTATTATGTCTGTGACAGTGACTGCTGCCCATCAAGTCCCCCATCTCACTTAAAGTTGCATTAATATCAAGCCTCTAATTCTGTACACTGGATTTTTGTCTGTTTATGTTGTACAGAAAAAAAGCATCACCCTGTTACTTTGCTTAAATGATATCAAACAGAGCACTTGCTGCAAAGCCTCTTTTAATGGTTATTTTGTAGGAGTTAATGTGTATGCAGTATATATTAATCAAACTCTTTCTCTGTTTTCCAGCTTCAAGAAAATCAAGATGAAATTGAAAACATGATGAACGCAATTTTCAAAGGAGTATTTGTCCACAGATACCGGTATGTGAACCTTTAACATGATCCTTTTGTCATACTGTTTGCAGTGCCTACTGCTGTAATTCAGCAAGAGTCCTCTACTGTCATATGAGCCCGATCACAACAAGCCAGCACCATTCAGTGTTTTATTTATGACTTGTCGGCGCCCTCTAGTGTCAAATGGATGCTAACACATAGTTTTAGCTTGAGAGTGATCTGTTTAAGTGTGTTTTCTAAATCAGTTCCTGTATTTGCAAAGGGATGCCATCGCTGAAATCCGAGCTATATGTATTGAGGAGATTGGCATGTGGATGAAGTTGTACAGTGATGCCTTCCTTAATGACAGTTACCTGAAGTATGTTGGCTGGACCATGCATGACAAGGTGAGCTAACTGAGAGTATCTATGTTGTAGCTCTCTGAGGTAGTGAGTGAATATTCAAATGTGCTGTTCATATTTTATCATTTTTGTTTTTTGCATTAAATCAAAGTTTAATCAGTGAAACACCCAATTCTTAGCTTTCAACCTTTTTACAAACTTTGTGTATTTCTACTATGACTGCAGCAAGGTGAGGTGCGGCTGAAGTGTCTGACTGCTTTACAAGGTTTATTCTACAACAGAGAGCTCGGAATACGGCTGGAGCTCTTCACAAGTCGCTTCAAGGTGAGCAAGTAGCTGCAGCATTTCAAGATTAGTCAGAAAACTTCTTCATTACCTCTGAAATTGACTATTTTTCTACCTTCTTTTTTGGCTAAAACAGATCATTTTGATCTAACTGAAGGACAGGGTTACAAATGTGAGATCATCTTGATTTAATCTTGTATCTAAACATAAACTCCTCTCATTGACAGGACCGCATTGTGTCTATGACCCTGGACAAGGAATATGATGTTGCTGTGCAAGCCATTAAACTTCTGACACTGATCTTACAGTGAGTAACATCCCCTGCTCTTGAGTCATCGCCATTAAAATCAAGAGACACTATTCTCAGAATAGTCAACATGCTAAACATCATCTTTTTCAAAAGTTGAAGAAACATTTGTACTTTAAAGTAAGCTTAAAAAGGCTAATCAAAAATCCATTACACTTGAGCTACATTAAGCTGATCCACCAGAATTGCTGCATTTCACCCAACAGGAGTAGTGACGAGGTTCTGACTGCAGAAGACTGTGAGAGTGTGTATCATCTGGTTTACTCAGCACATCGACCCATAGCTGTTTCAGCAGGAGAATTTCTGTTCAAGAAGTAAGTGTTTTATTCTTGTCCTGTGTTACCAACAGATTTATTCTAAATCACTGTGAGGCCAGTAATATTCAGCTCAATTTCATGCCAGTTTATCTGAGATATAATGAGCGTGATTAAAAAACAAGGGCGCCAAAGATTAACATCAACAAAATATTAAAGTAGGCAAATATTTTCAATAGGAATTATGTCGATCCATGTACAGTTATCACTCAGGATTACACTCAACAACTTTATTCAGATAATGGCTGTTTCAGTTTGGCTACCCACCCAAAAACTTCACAAAACAAAGCGGCAAACATAATCAACAACAGTGTTAAGAAATGACAACAGATCTGTTGTTGGGAGTTATTTCATAAAAAGAATTTCCACAACTCCAAAATAAAAGACAACTCAAGACAACTTTATAGGGTTATAGGATTGAGCCTGCAGATGAATGACTCCTGTCAGCATTAAGCAGTCTAACAGGATCATGAACCAAAGAGTTTAAGTATCCTTATGTCAGCATGGTGACATTTAAGAGAACTCAGATGACACAGTGTAGTGTGCTTTTTTTATGACGGCTTTAGCTTTCTGGACCATCTGCTTCTTTCCAAAATGAACTCAGGTGTTTTAGATGGACTCCAACTCATCAGCTAGACTCAAAGTCTTATCCATCCATCAATAAATAAATTCATCAAACTTGCAGCTTTACTGTCGTGACATACACATTACTGACAGTTTTCCTTTATTGCTGACTGAAGGCTCTTCAGCCATCAAGGACCTGCTGAGGAAGGACTGCCCAGGAGGGGAAGACAAAGCCTTAATGGCAGCCTCATCAAGACCACTGTCTTCTTTTTCTTGGAGAGTGAGGTAACTATTTCTGAGTCTCAGATCTGGATTTTTGCCATAAACCTTGGAAACAAAAATATCCATCTTCAGAAGTGTTTTTGGTGTGAGAGTCTACTTTAAGTCATCTGAATTTGCTTTGAGTTCTCCACGCCAAGTGTAAGACCATGCAGGAAATCTTAACAAGGTTTTTGATACAATTTGACGATTTGATGTTTGACAGCTCCATGAACATGGGGCCTACCTGGTGGACAGCTTGTGGGAATGTGGGTCAGAGCTGCTGAAGGACTGGGAGACAATGATCAGCCTACTGCTTGATGAGCCCATGCAAGGAGAGGAGGGTGAGAGTCTACTTTCGCACGAATACTTGGTTAACTTAATGCCTTTTTCATCTTCTTTAATTAAAAAATGTTTTTTTTTGTCCCAGTCAGCCGGCAAAGTGTCTTCATCTCACAGTGTCTGTGTTTTCAGCTTTGACTGATCGGCAGGAGACGGCTCTGGTGGAGATCATGCTGTGTGCTGTTCGACAGGCTTGCGAATGTCACCCTCCAGTGGGCAGAGGATCAGGGAAAAGGGTGAGTCTGGGGTCATCATGCTATTAACACAGAGGGTTAACTTGTCTCTGGATATTTTCTGTGTGTTGACATATTTTTATGCATGGAAAAGGTTCTGACTGCAAAGGAGAAGAAAACTCAGCTGGATGATCGTACACGGATCACAGAGATGTTTGCAGTCGCATTACCTCTACTATTGGCAAAGGTGATCACTGACCTTGTGTCCTGTGCTACATTTGGACAGCAGTTTTATTTCCAAACACAAAACATAACATCCCTCTGTCCTCTTGTCCTAGTACTGTGTTGATATCGATAAGGTGACCAATTTGCTACAAATACCCAAGTACTTTGACCTTGACATCTACACAACCGGACGCTTAGAGAAGGTTTGTCATTCCTCTTATTTCTGTAGGATATGATGCTAGTCACAAAGGATAGTTAAAACTATGTCATGTGTTTTCACTTTTTTTTTTTACAGCATTTGGATGCCTTGCTGCGACAAATCTGGGAGGTCCAGGATAAGCACACTGACACTGAGGTCCTGGAGGCCTGCTCCACCACCTATCACTATCTGTGCAATGAGGAGTTCACCATCTACAACCGAGTTGACATCACCCGCTCCCAGCTTCTCGATGAGCTTGTAGACAAGTTCAACAGGCTCCTTGAGGACTTCTTGCAAGAGGTGGAGTGTTTTTTTCTTCTTCTTTATGGATTCTGCAGAAAGACGGTTGAATGTTTCACGGGTGTGACCTCCTGTTTCTCCAGGGTGAAGAACCAGATGAGGATGATGCATACCAGGTTCTGTCTACACTCAAGAAGATCAGCGCTTTCCACAAGTAACTCAGTTTACACATTTGTGAAATGTAATCATTGACTTGAGTTGTTTTGTGTTATTTATTTGTTTGTGGTTTTTGTGCTTTCAGTGCACATGATCTCTCCAAGTGGGATCTCTTCACCAGCAACTACCGGCTACTCAACACAGGGCTGCAGAATGGAGATATGCCTGAACAGGTATTGCTGCACTAACTTCTCTTAGTCTTAAAATATTTAGACATGTCTTTAAGGTTTATAGCAATGTGACTGACTCTCTGTTGCATGCTGATTTAAAAAATAATAATAATGCAAACAAAGCACTTGGTTTATGTAATGAAGATGTGAACAAGTTACTGGCCTTCTTATTATATTTGTAAATCTTAAAACAGCTCGGGGAAAGAAATGGGAGATCATTCCTGACTGAAACTAAAACCAAAACAATGATGAAGAAGCATCTAAAGGGACTAAATTAGTCTTCTCCAGAAATTAGTCAAATTTTGAAGCTGAAACTTATTCATGCTGTGAGCAATTGATGCCATCATTGAAGCATCTGACAGGCAGCCAAAGGGGAGAAATATAAACACTGACCTGCAGCATGAGTAGAGGTTTGTAGATTTTCAACAATTAGATTAAGGGCATTGTGGATGAGTGCAGCAACCTGTTTTTTTTTCTGGGTATTCTGGGGAAAACAAGTATAAGCATCGACTTCTAAAAGTGTTACTTCACCTAACACGTCTGCTTCCTTTCCTACAGATTGTGATTCACGCGATGCAGTGCACACATTACATCATCCTGTGGCACCTGGCAAAGGTTTCAGACAGCAGTTCGTTAAAGGTATTTAGATATTTATCATAACGTCGTGTCCTTGGGATACAAAATAAGTAAACTGAACAGTTCTGTGCCTCAGATGAAGTATACCACGTGAAGTTAAATGACTAAGTGACCATTTGTTTCTTTCAGGGTGATATGGCGACCTTAAGAAAGCAAATGAGAGCCTTCTGCTTAATGTGTCAGCGTTACCTGAACAGCATCAACACTGCAGTCAAAGAACAGGTGAGGGACTTAACTTTCATTCCTGACTCTGCTGCGTTCTTCACTTTACAAAGCTGTAACGAATGCCTCAACTGTGTGTGTGTGTGTGTGTGTGTGTGTGTGTGTGTGTGTGTGTGTGTATTCCAGGCCTTCACCATACTGTGTGATCTGCTCCTGATCTTCAGCCATCAAATTATGGCTTCAGGCCGGGAACAGCTGGAGCCTCTGGTCTATACACCAGACGCTTCTTTACAGGCCGAGCTGCTGAACTTCATTCTGGATCAAGTGTTCATCGATCAGGATGATGACAACAATAGCACAGGTCACACATCACATGAACAGAACATAATGTTTTTTTTTACAGTAAAGAATCAGGGCATGCTTATGTTTTTTTAAATAAATATATTCACCTCTTTCCCAGCCCCCATGATGCTCTGCATAAATTATGGGTGTGTCCGCTGGTGCCTTTTAGAACTTCACGCAGAGCCGACTTTTTCCATTTCAACTCTACACTAATCGTGATTATTAGAGTGATAGTGGATAAAAACAATTAGGAAACATAATCAGTCACCCCTTAAATGGGACAGTGTTATCATTCCACTGCCCTCCTCTGTCAAGGAGAGGGAGGATGATATAAAGAAACGGCCTCAAATAATGAACACTAGCAAATTTAGCTACTTTGTTAGCTTCACTGCTGCAGATGGGGAGGCTGAGGCTTATCAGTCAGTCACGTTTTGTTGAAAGAGGTTGGACACCAGAACTACGCAAAGACATTTCCAAATATGAAACACTCATTAGACATTAAAAACAAGGCAGAGTGAAGTATTTTAGATTTGAAACAGCTGCTGTTAATGTTCAGTCACTAAGATTAGCCACGACAACAAACCAGCTTAATTCTATTCCTGTTATATCACCAGAAGTTTCACCCATAATCGTAAACACAGTAGCGCCCACAGGAATAAGGTGGATAATGTTTGTTTTTTCAGATGGACAGCCAGATGATGAAGCCAGTAAAATCGAGGCTCTGCATAAGAGAAGAAACCTCCTTGCTGCTTATTGTAAATTAATCATTTACAATGTGGTGGAAATGAACACGGGAGCAGACATCTTCAAACAGTACATGCGTGTAAGTTTTAACTCTTCTTGGAAATCAGTTATGTAGAGCTCCTCTTATCATGCTCTTCTGTTTAAGAGTAACGCCCCCTTTCTTTTTCCTCAGTATTACAATGACTATGGAGACATCATCAAGGAAACGATGAGTAAAACAAGACAAATCGACAAAATACAATGTGCAAAAACACTCATCCTGAGCCTGCAAATGGTAAGATCCTTTACTTATTTGGTAAAGCCTTGATATAATCAGATCTTTCAAATGACCTCTTGGCCAGTGAAATCCTTTTTATCTAAATGTGTCATACTTTTTTTCATTATAGTTATTCAATGAGATGCTGTCTGAACATGGCATTAATGTGGACCGCTCATTATCGGCCTTCTGTGGCATTAAAGAGCTTGCGCGGCGCTTCTCGTTGACTTTTGGCTTGGATCAGCTGAAGACCAGGGAAGCTATTGCCATGTTGCACAAGTAAGTAACTGTCCAGAGCAGCTAAAGGCCTAATGCATGCAACTCAATTCTTGTTATGTATGTTATGTATTCTTTTTTTCTGAATTTGTGTAGAGATGGAATAGAGTTCGCTTTTAAGGATCCAAGTCCTCAGGGGGAGGGAAGCCCTCCTCTCAATCTAGCTTTCCTCGATGTCCTGAGTGAATTTTCCAGTAAACTTATGCGACAGGACAAGAAAACAGTGTAAGTTTGAGCCATAAAAATACTGTGTGCTGTTTTTTTTTTGTTTTGGTAAACATGGTGCCCAGACAAGAAGCTTTAGAAATGTTCTAACTGTCACTTTTGTCATTTGAACACCTTTGCAGTCACTTATATCTGGAGCGGTTCATGACGTTTCAAATGGCCCTGCAGCGAGAGGACTGCTGGTTACCTCTCATCTCATATAGGAACTCCTTGCAGGCTGGAACAGATGATGACACCATGTCTGTGGTTAGTGGGATCAGCAGTAGAGGCTCTAGTGTCCGGAGTAAGAAGTCCAAACCAGCTGCTGCAAGTAAAAGGAAACTACCTGAAGGTGAGCAACCATAAAGATCTGTTTTCATAGTTTGTACATTTTCTTAGCTTCTGACAGTTCTCCAAACGTACAAACACTAAACTGAAAATGCATGGGGTATTTTCTTTTCTTTTAGAGAGTTATACTGTCTGTTGTTGCCGTCGCTCTCCTCGGCACTATTGTCTGCAAACACACTAAACTCTATTAAAGGATCTTTTTTTTTGTCTGTGTTGCAGAAGAAAACAGCTGCAGCAGCAGTGATGCCGTTTGGATGAATCGTGAGCAGAACATGCAGACGCCGGTGATGATGCACTCGCCCCACCTCACCTCCACTGTGCTTAGGGATCCAAAGAAGATGAGATCAGAGGACAGTTACACAGCCGCTTACAGCATAGCAGCAGAGCAGCATCCCCATCAGCCTTTGCATCCTCAGCAGCAGCAGCAGCAGCAGCAGCAGACACATCATCAACACCAGGCTGTTGATTACAAGTATAACCCCTTTTGACTTTCCTTTCAGTCTTATTTTGATTTGTTTTTCCACTTAGAGTTGTATGAATGCTACCGTTTGCATCATCTGGTACTATTTTGTCAAAACAGGATCATGATAAAATGATATTTATTACTGAGCACTGTCTCTCAGTACCCAGGTTACTTGGATGTTGACACAAAGGCAACAAGCTGAGGCCCGGCAGCAGCAGGAACGGGTTAGCATGCACTATGCCAAGATGAGGAATCACATGCAGCAAGCCATGTAAGATAAACCACCCTCAGAGAAGACTGAATATGTATTTGGTAGTGGAAAGTAGACATTAAAATAACCTTTTTTTCTGCTTACCTGTATCTCTGTGGTACTCTCAGTCGTCGAGGCACTGGACTCATGGAGGATGACGAGGAGCCAATAGTGGAGGATGTGATGATGTCATCAGAGGATCGTCTGGAGGACATCAATGAGGGCATGGATTTTGACACCATGGATATTGATCTGGTAACTTAAAGCTGAAGAAACAGTTTTTTTGCCATTTGAACTTGAATTTTAGTGACAGTAATTCTGATTCCATACACTTAAAGACATCTTAACATCTTGTGGTGGTTCATTAACAAATATTTAACCAATGTCACCAGCTTCTCCAGTTACTCTCCTAGTTATTTTCTACCCCTAATATAACAAATATTTCCCTGTGGTTCCAATCACACTTAGAGGATAAACATAAATTTGAGCATTTTATCACCACAGCTTGTGCAGTTTTTTCCTCCATTTGATTTTTCATACTCAGAACTTTAAATGGCCATGTTGTCTCTGTGTTCGTTGCATTTGTGTCATAGTGTTCTGACTAAACTTTTACTTTTCAGCCGGCATCAAAGAATCGCAGAGAGAGAACTGAACTGAAGCCGGACTACTTTGATCCATCTTCCATCATGGATGATTCAGTGAGGATTTCTATTCATTTTTTTGTCTCTGCAGTGTTTTTGTCACGATAAGATTTTTGGTTTCTTAATCACTTTTTTGTGTCCTCAGGTTCTCAACGTTTCAATGTTCTAAAACAAAATGGATGGATCAAAGAGAAAGTATAATGAAACCCTTGGAGGGTGACAATGGATGACTATTCTCAGTGAAAATCAGGATGGAGTGCTACTAAGGGTTTTTGAGACACCACCGTTTGCCTCTTTGATACTCTAAAACTTTGGGGGAAAGAGCCTGAATCTAATTTTTTTCTGACGTTTGCGCAAACTGGACTTTAATCACACTGCAGTAGAAATGTAATGTATGTAAAACAACGTAATGTGAGCTTTTTGCTGAGGTGAAACACATTATGTGACAGGTGTGTGGTGAGCGGACAATAATAGACTGAATTTAAAATGAATAATATATACCTTTAAACTTTTTCATTCAGCAGACAAAGATTGTCTGATGTAAATACATATTGGCCAATATACAGGAGAAGTGAACACAACTTCACAAACACTGGTGGAAAGAAATGTAACAGCCCTGCTAAATACCTTCCTGATGCTTCAAGGGTTCAGCCATTGAACATTATCATGACACTGCGCTCTGTCATAGAGGTATGACTCCAGCTCTGTGGCAATTTGACAGCCATATTCTCAGAAGTTATTCCATCAATGCCTCTCTAACGCAATGGTAATTCACAGTGAACATCAGAGACCTCCTAAAAGGCATTTATCAAAGGCTTAAAATGGACTGCGTTACATTTTACAGGGGTCAGTGATATTGTGTTCACTTTACATACTTTAAACTGTAGACCTTGGCATGGCATGTAGCCATATATGAAAACATGTACACAGTAAATATAATGTGAACTGGCGTCTGATACTGTTCAAAGGCCTTGCCACAAATGATATACGACATTCTCAGATTTCTTTGTGATGGTATTTTTTAGAAATGTAATGTGTTCTGCTTTTATACCTTATAGATAATTTTGATTTATAGATATTTTGTAATGACAATCAAATGTAAATTAATGGTTTATAATCATGTTATTTCACAGAGATGCTGAAATAATCCTTTTTAATGAAAATTAATATGTTACAATAGATACAGCCAGCTGTTTGTATTTCCTTTTCATGCCTCTATAGTGATTGGATGCATAAGTAATGAATTGCTATAATGTAGGAATTTGACAGACTGACGGCTGCATCTAAAAATATTTTTTAATATTGGGAGCATACACCGCATCATGAACTTTTAAATCCACATATAACATGTAATCTCTCCTATACCTTGAATATTTTTCTCCACTGTATAGTATCTATTGGTACCTTAGAACACAAACATGCCATATTTGGAGTCTTTTGAAGAAAGGGTTGGTACAGTGGTTGAAAAAGGTGTGTGCTTATTTATTCAATGTTTGTATTTTTAGGGTTGCAAGTGTGCAAAGTGATTTCCAAAAAGCCAATTTATTTGATGTACCACAGTTGGTTAAATAAGAGTTACAGAATTATTCTAAAGGAAAACTTTACAGGATTGGTTGGCGAACTATCAAAGTACCAAAATTGTATATTATACAATTACAAATGTATAATACATTGTGGATCAGTACCCTTTTTATAGTCGCAGGTTCTGTTGGCTTGACATTTTAGGGAAAGAAATGTAATGCTACGACACAAAGTAAATCCTCTAATTTGCAACTACAAGTACAGAACAATGTTTTGTTTGACTTTCAGCAAATTGTTGAGATATTTCTTTTTCTCTGTGTATTGTCCTGGTCAGCAGATTCAAGTTAAATGGAAAACCATGTATTTATATTGTAGTTAGAAAAAAGTCCCAAATTTTCTTAGAATCTCACTCTCAACTGGAGAAACGTACAATATGATCTTTAATATTAATCATATACAGCTCAAAACACATTTTTTCATGTTAGGCAAATGTTAAAAATCCATTTTAGAATTTCCTGTAAATTTACATGTATTGTGTCATCTGGGATCCTTTCTGTTTTGCATCAAACTGCTGAAAATGTGCATACATCTGTATGTTTACACATATTTAAAAGATTTGTGTATTAAAATTTGTGTTTTATTCCATTTTCAAAGTGCCCATTGCATCCTTCAAGATAAGTATTCATGTAAAGAGATGCCTCATAACAGAATAAACACTGGTTATTGTGATTATCTTAACATATGGCTGTCAGACTATAATTATTTTAAGGAGTACAAGTGATCGAAAGATGTTGAATATTGCCTCTTTTCATTTTGAGTAATCTGTTATTTGAAATTAAACTTTTATCAAGCCTTGCAGTGCATGCACACATTCAACAAGCGTGTGTACTTGGGTTGTTTGCTTCTTAAATTAAAGTAACAGGGGCGAACTGAATAATAGTAGTGTCATTTTATCGTAGATAAACGGCCCTTTTACAGTAAATCACGGCAGCAGTTTCCTAAAAACTATTTCAAAGTAAGGGGACCAGACTGGATCCTGATTGAACGCCGTTTTAGGACTCAGGTACACGAAGTTCCCTGTTAACAAAGCACTCAGAGGGAGTCCCAGTGTGCGGCAGTGAGCTAGCATCAGCTAACCACCACATTTGACCCTGTGTGAGTGAGTGTGTGTGTGTCTCTGTGTGTGTACGATCATGAATTAGACATCCGGGCTGTGTGTGTGGAAGATGGCGACACTTATCCTCCCTGGTGAATGGATCAAAAACTGGGAAAAATCAGGAAAACACGAGTTGTAAGTAGACTTTAACTTCAGCACAGCGTCATAACGCAAAGCTATCGATCGAAAATGAATAATTGATAAAAAATTTGTTAGCATTTCTACTTCAGGCCAGTCTTTCCACTGTGTTTGCTCAGGCTAACATTAGCTGCTACGTTAGCTAGCAAGAAAGCGTCCCGGTGGCCTGCCAACGTTCAGCGAATATGTAATGCAATTTATTTGAATGATGTTTGATTAAAATAAACCGTGCTGGAAGTTTGATAATTTTCAGGTAGTTGAAACTCGACTTAAATGAGAATAACCTGCGTGTTTTCTTTCGCTCTCAATAGTACATCTGTAAACACAGTAGCTATCAGCTAAGCTAGTTAGCACGTAGCTTCTCTCCGGCTGCATGGATTTGGCTCAAGCTTTAACGTTTGGTGTAGGTGAATTTGGTCCCAGTGGTTACACACGTAGCTAACATTACCTGTCAAAACATAAACAATAAAATATACCACCATAGCAGATGCTGTGTAACGCTTTTTAGTTGATAGTAATCAGGTGGAGGGAAACAACGGATACTGACATAACGTTACGGCTAACAGTAACGTTAGTCATGCCATCCGTGATGTTGAATGTCCCACCATTTCTCATGAGATGTGATATTTATTTCACTCAATAAACATCCTCCTTTGAAAGATAAAACATGCTGAGAGCAGACTTCAGGTGAAACATTTATAAACAGTTAACCTCTCAACTATCATGTAGCTGGAGAACCGGTTCCCATTAGGGTGAGCTAGCTAACATAACAGTAGCTGCAATAACCTTATGAGATTTCTGCCTTCTGGGGATATTGATCAGAGATTACTTCCTTTATCAACAAATTAACATGTCAGAACTCACTCTGTTGGCGTCTTACAATCCCAGAAGACCTTCCCCACAACATCAATAATTATACCTGGGACGATAAGGGGTTCTAGTGAAATAACTCCAAAGAGGGAAATGTTGCGTGGATAAAATACTAACTACTTTTCTTGTACGCAGCCATGATGTTCAGGCTGAGGGACAATAGCTGTATCCCCTCCGAGTTGATAGTAGTGGTTGCAGGCCTTGCATATTCAAGCAAGGCCTGCTGAGAGATGCACTAGCTCAAAGTGCTCCTCTCTTAGTCAAGTATGTGTAGTACACTGTTCCTCTATCTCAATAGTATAATACACCGACCAGCCATTACATTATGACCATCTGGGGAGTCTAACTCAACAGCTCTGTTTTAAATTGTACTAGTTTTTGTTGACATGATTATTGTACTTAATATTTATAATCAAAGATGCAGTATGTGGTTGTGGTGGTTTATTATGTCTTATAATGAAAGACACTTAAAACATTTCCATTCCACAGACAAACATGAGGGGAGCAAAATATTTAGAACACTTTTCAATACAATTCATGCAACTACAACTTTTACTACAGCTTCAACAACTCATTTAAAGAACAGTAATCTGTCTGACCATGTCAACCAAAAGTGATAATGTGGAAATTTAGTTTATGTAAAAGTTATGGTAGATCTGTTGTACTGGGTTGCATTAGACTGCCCAGGTGTTCATAATGTTACAGCTATCAAGAAGGGACCCCCCCCATGAACGTTTCAAAATAATATATTTCTGATTCGATACTAGCTTGGCTGACGTGCAGCTGAGATGAGGCAATGAAGCTACTGTCAATGCAAGAGCAACATGAAATCCTTTAGAGAATGGCTCTGCTTTGAAGGCCTGTGCCAGCAAGCCTGTCATTTCAGGGAATCCGTCCTGTGCATAGCTCTGGTGGGCAGCAAGTTAAAGGGTATTTCCAGGGGCTGAAAGTGGAAGGCAGAGTGGACTGCTGATTTAGTGCTCTACCAATTTGTTTCATTATATTTGTAAAATCTTATTGACAGTAAGTCTGACCTTAGTTTCCTGACAAGCAACTGTCACTTTAATACAATTGATTTGACTGTACTTTTGCTGTATAAAAGCATCACTGGTGCTGGCAGTAATCACTGGCAGTTCCACTAATACACTGATTGAAGAGATGAATCAGATGTAGAAGTATTCTGTTATATGCGGGTTTTTGTTTTCATTCTAACTTTGACAGATATATAGGCAGCACTCAGAAAAGTGTCCAATATGCCCAGCAAAATCAAAGCTATGTGAAAGTTATTTGAAAAGTTGTTTAATATAAGATGTATATTTGCCAGTGTTGTAGAAAGAGTTTGGAGTTGACACAGAGCTTAACGTCCAAGCCATCCAGAAGTAACAAACTTCTGACATAGTAGAATTTGTTATCAATAAGATTGCTGGGCTTTTACTGTTTGTTCAGATAGGAATTAATCAAGAATTGTGTCCTTAGAGTGGTGTCACATATGTCAACTAAAGGCCAATTTTACAATGTATGAGCTGTCATGTTTTAGTTGTCTAACTGACCACCTTTTCTCTTCTTACTTTGCAGTGCACAACTCTGCAAAGAGCTCACTGAGAAAACAGATCATGGAAGTGAGGTTAGAGGTAAGTAAGGTCACATCTCTCTGTGGTTCATATTTTAGTGTACTTCACTTTGAAACAAAGGCGCATTTATTTTCTGAAAACAATTCGTGTGTATGAATCACTTTTTTTTTTATTTTTTTTTTTACATGAAGTGTTTTAGAGAAATCGTTGAAACACCAAAAAAGTTGTGTACCAAATTTGCACGAAAATGGGTAAAAAGAGGCTTCCAATTGGTTGTCCCCTGAAAACTACACACCTCTGAGGGCATATTTTCCATTTGCACTTGTACCACAGACAAGAATGCTGAAGTGGCACAATCCAGCTGGCCGGTGATATTGCTAAAACACATTTGTCAACATGTACGATTACAAGATGGTGAACTACATGTTCAGAGCTGAAAGATAGATGTGTAAAAAAAATGCCCAGTTTTCCTATTTTCTGCTTTTTAAGGCTGTTCTGATGAGTTTTAAAACAGGTATGTAAAGATCGAAGGGAATCCAGGGTTGCTCAAAACAGAATATGACACCTGTGTTATTGCCCTGAGTCCGATAATGTCAATAATACTGGGAGTGTGCAATAAATAATCAGTTATTAGACTCCTATAATTATACACAATGATATATCTGATTAACTAAGGAATACAAAGTGTTCCTCAAAGGAAGACATGTGAGCAAAAGTAATGTCATCAGCACCACTGCAAGAAGTCATGAAGTAGTGGTGCAGTGAGTCAGACTGGTAGAGGAATCTGTCCAGAGTTTGTATTGTTTTCATATTAGCATAATAGTTCTAGGCACCAAAAATAAACACACTGATTGTATCTCATGAATCAGAATGACATTTTACCATGTCTTATCCCACCCCCAGTTAAGATGGTGGTTAATGTTGCTGCATTAATTCTTGTTCATAACAGAAGGCTCTCTGGGATTCTGTTGTGATTGTGTATTGTAAAATAGGGATTAAAAATGGTTTTCTCAGCACTTCAGTAGTTCTCAGTTCTTGTGGTGCAGACTTAAGAAGAAAAGGCAGGTCTTACATTTCAAAGAACTCAAACAAGTTCATCCAGTCTGAAAATGCTTTTTTGTCCAGAAATATCCCTTTCTTCTATTTTTCACTTCCGGCCCTCACACAGCAGACTTTTACTTTGCAGAACACGAGTGTCTCGCAAATAGCCAGCTACACCAGTGTTTTTGCATCAGAATCATTGTTTGCCACGTGTCACTAAGTGTGAAGCCGCAGTGTTTTGAATAGTTCCTGCCTGAGCTAATCACACCTGATCCGTTTTTATGTCAGATGAAAGTGAAGGTCCTCAGGCTAGTTCAGAATGTGTAATTTGTGAATAAGAAGAGGTTATAATTTGTTTGTCTTGCTTTGCAAAGCTGGTGCAGACTCATCCATTGACATTCAAGGCCGTAATTGTTGCCGAAGGGGCCTTAACATAGTCTTCGAGTAGCTAAATTCTTAATGCAGTATTGTGTGTGTGTTTGCTTTCATCCTCAATACAAAAGAGCCTTTTCCTCTCCATTTGTTAATTTTTCAAAAGATGAACCGTGTCTTTTTTCGTCTGTCTGTCTGCAGATATACAGGCCGCCTTATACGAGCTCTGCTGGCAGGTTGTACACGGGAACCTGAAGTTGGATGTTGTCGCCAGCGTCCTTGGGGACATGATGGTAGGAAACACTTTTTAAAAAAAGTTTTTGTATGTAGTCAGAGTAATCTGTCTACACAGAAATAAAAGTACCTGTTAGGCACAGTGTTTTCCCCTGTGTCTGTTAAACTGTAATGCTGTTTCTTACTGAGCTCAGTCATGTCATAACTTCGCATTTGATGGTCAACATAACAAACCTTGGCAGAGCACATTGATTTGTTCAGGCATACTTGTATCTGTCAGACAACAGGCCAGACAATATCATTTCATTTTCAAGCCTCAAAGTGAACTGGCTTACACTTCTTTCATATTCTCTTGGTTTGGTAAACATAGGGCATAAAGCTGTAAATGTACACCTGAAAATATGCAGGATTTTTTTTCTGCTTAAGCATTATGTGTAACCGCTCTCTTTTTTTCTTTTGCTTCCAGGAACTCAGAGATGACATGCCATCAATTTTAGCAGATGTGTTCAGCATACTAGGTACTTTTTCTTCAGTATTAAGAACATTGACTCATTTCCACTAGTCTCATTAAAAGTACTGTGTTTTCTTGCTTTATTATGAAACAGCTTTTAGTGTCTGGAATTTGTCGACTTATACATTTTTTTTCTTATAATTTTGTTTTTCGCAGATTTAGAGACTGGAGCTCTGGAAGAGAAAAACAAACGTGACCATTACACACAACTGGTGGGAGCATGTTTGGTAAGGATAAGAGTCAGGCATGGGATTCTTTCAGGTTTACAAATTTTCATACCTAAAGAAGTAATGCCCATAGATATTTGTATTCATATGAGTGGAGTGATAAGCTGCTTGGTGCATCAAAGAGAATCTCAGAACACATGGAAAAAAATGTGGGACCCTTCAGTAAGTTTCCTAGTATCGGTGTTAGAATTTGCAATGAACTTGATCTGTTATTGAGTGTGACAACAGTGAGCTATGTGCCTATTAGCTGATGTTAGCCTCTAAAATGGTAAAAATGAAGTTTGATCCAGTTTCAATAAGCTCTTCATTTCTGTTTGTCTTTGTAACAAAAGCTGTAACCAGTTTTGATGTCACTGAGGTCCAGAACTTGGTAGCTTGATCGAGATATAAATTTTTTTACACACAGCTATAAAAGGAAGTCGCCCCTTTTTTGCTTATGATGCTCAGAATGATCCCCTCGCTCTCCCTCCAGGGTTATTAAGATTGTAAAAATGTGTTTGTTTGTGTGAAACAGGGTATCTTTCAGCTTTCTCCAATGCGAATTATGTGTCTTTATGAACCTATATCATGAAAAAACATTTAAGAGGACTTAAAATTGGAAGTGAGGGCGAAGGCTATCTGTTTAGGGTTTTTGGCGCCATCAAAATACAGTTAAAAATGGATGATCTAGTTGATGTAACATAGTTTGACAATGATTAATATGAAAAGGACCTGAGGAAAATTTCAAAAATTTTTGCAGATGTTTCAGTCAATCAGACTTTATTTATTTTTTTGCAGAAAAGTTTGTAGACCTGTGTATGAATTGTGCTGCAGATGTTATTATTATAATTTTTTTTTTAATTATTTTTTTTTTTAGATTTTCGTTCCAGAAGCCATCCTGAAAGAGAGGCTCGATCCAGAAACCCTTGAATCGCTTGGACTTATCAAGCAGGCCCATCAGTTCAATCAGAAGATCGTAAAAATCAAGACTAAACTATTGTAAGTACATCTCACACTTTGGTAGCAGTGATGACGCACATGTATAGAATGTTTTCAATGTGTTAGGAAGTCTCATCACGTGTATACAATATTCTCTCTTTTTTTTCTTGCAGTTATAAGCAACAGAAATTTAACTTGCTAAGGGAAGAGAACGAAGGCTATGCCAAACTAATCACAGAGCTTGGCCAAGACCTCTCAGGCAACATCACCAGCCACATCGTCCTGGAGAGCATCAAGTCTCTTATAGGTACCTAACAAGTTTATTTCACAGCATAATGTGGCCCACTCCAGTCTGTAGCCGCAGGTTTGCCAAACCTCTATGGACATGTTTTGTTTATAGTGCTTGGCATGTTTCTTTGGTTTGTTCTTGAGGATTTTCTCAAACTCAGGGTTTGAAAAAGTAAAACAAGAGAGGGCATTTGCATGTTTTAGACGACCACAACACTTTGTTCCTTAATGACATTTAAACACACCCTGAGTATGATTTTTATACTCCAAGTGAATGTATTTTTCAGCACCTTTTAACATTTTCCTCATTTTCTGTTCACACCTGTTTCTTTAGGCTTTATCCCTGAATTATCTTTTTTATTTTTTGCACAGTGATTGCACAGTGATCTTATGTCCCATGAACACATCCTTTTCTTTTCTTCCGGCAGGATGTTTTAACTTGGACCCTAATCGCGTTCTGGACATTATCTTGGAGGTGTACGAGAGTCGATCTGATCAGGACGAGTTCTTCTTGTCACTTATCAAGTCATACATGTGTGAGCCGCTCACCCTTTGCCACATCCTGGGCTTTAAGTTCAAATTCTACCAGGTAAGGATAACAAAACATTGATCATGACAACCAGAATGAAAACTCACCTATAAGCAGAGAAATCAAGCCTTCGAAGTCTGTGTCATTTAAAACAAAAGATTTCCAGCAACTGAATGATGTGCTGATATTTTTTGCAGATTTATATCAGCTATCAGATTCCCTAAATAGCATAATTTTTTTTCGAAACCATCTTTAACTAAATACCATGAGATAAAGCATTAATTTGTCCCTGACATTTGATTTCAGTGATTCTCTATTTGTTTTGTTTTTCAGGAGCCCAATGAGGAAACTCCCAAGTCTCTATACCACATTGCTGCTGCTCTGCTTCACCACAACCTTATAGAGCTGGAGGATCTCTATGTGCATGTAAGGAAAACAAAAAGATTGAGTTTACCAACTTGGCACATGAATAACAACAAGGTCTTATTTTCATGTATCTGTAAATCAGAGTGTGGTGAAATGCGTTTCATGAGCTAAATATTGAAGCTGTTGCCTTTGGTTTCTTTCAGGATGAATAATATGACATGATATATTCACTTGGTTCTGATATTATTCTTACGCAGTATCAAAAAAATGTAGTTCAGTTTCACCCACAATATCACACATTTACCCTCAACTGAATCTCGTTGCTTCTGCTGTTCCAGCTCATGCCACCAGATGCCGCCATCATAGAGGAACATAAACGAGACATCTCGGAGGCCAAGCAGATTGCTCGTAAACTGGTTATGGTTGTGTTGCCCTCTGAGAAAAACGATGACAAAGACAAGGAGAAAGAAAAGGAGGAGGAGAAGAACGAGAAGGTATTCAAGCATTTGTTGTTGTGTGTGAATATATAAGTGATTATAAGCGTGCACACATTTGATGTTGTCAGTCTGGGTTGATGTTATGAGCCAGAAGAGTGTGAGCGATCAGTGCCTCTGTCCTCCTCTTGGTCTCTGTTGTGGAGTTTGCTGGACTCTGGGAGGTTTAGTGTTATTGCACAGACACTCAGTGGTTGCTCCTCTGTGTCCTCAGCCACCCGATAACCAGAAGCTCGGTCTGTTGGAGGCGCTGCTTAGAATCGGAGACTGGCACCACGCCCAGAGTATTATGGACCAGATGCCGCCTTTCTATGCAGCTTCCCACAAGGCCATTGCTCTGGCTCTTTGCCAGCTTGTTCACCTGACTGTGGAGCCTCTTTACAGAAGGTGCTGATTTTATTTAATGTTTCACTTACTGCTCTCTGACCAAGACAGGCATGGGTAACTCTTTTTCCACAGTTTGAATTGATTACTTTAGCCCTATCCTTGCCAATACTCCGAACAAGAAATATAAAGTTTGACACACTGGTCTGTCCCTCACAGAGCTGGCTTACCAAAAGGGGCACGAGGACGTGTGATCCATCCGCTGAGGAACAAGAGGGCACCACGGCCCGCAGAGAGCTTCGAGGACCTTCGCAGAGACACGTTCAGCATGCTCGGCTACCTGGGCCCTCACTTGTCTCACGACCCCATCCTCTTTGCAAAGATTGTGCGTCTCGGAAAGGGCTTCATGAAAGAGGTACTCAACGGTCACCTTTCGCAGTACTACATCAACACCTCAGTTTGTCTTATTTTGACTCATTTTTGTCGTACTTTTCCTCGCAGTTCCAAAGTGACGGCAGAGCTGACTTCAAAGACAGAATGGTTTGTGTGATGCTAAATATTAAACAAAAATACACTCAAATTGTTATCAAAGATCTATTATCAAGACATGTCCGTGTCGATTGTGTTGTTATTGCAGGACACACTATTGAGTTGTTTTCTGAGCATTGCAGACCAGGTGCTACTCCCCTCTCTCTCCTTGATGGAGTGTAACGCATGCATGTCTGAGGAGCTGTGGGGTCTCTTCAAACTCTTTCCTTACCAGCACAGGTGGGACACACACACATGCACACACACACTGATTCACACTTGCACTGACACTGTTTAATTGCGTTGTTGAACAGTAAACCCTCAGGCTGTGCTTCAGGATGGTGTTCACTAGCACGCAAGCAAAGAATCGTTTCACCAAACCATGCCTGAGTTTCATGTGTTACTTCTCACACCATCTTTTCTTCTCTCTAGTTTTATTTTTAGTCTCTTTGTTGGAATATTTTGGCACAGCGTTGATGAACACTGACAGTCCACACTCCCAAAGGTTTTGTTTTTCCTTTAGTCATCTAAAGGAAAGTTGTGTCAGTTTGTCATGTCGAATCATGCATCTTATTTAGTAACTGAACATAGTAGCACTTTGTAGAATATTTCAGTGTCTTGCTAACCAGAGTGCGTCAGCACCAATCGAGGGAGGATTTAATTTGAGCTGAAAACGGACAAATAGAGCTGTTCATTTACCATCTCCCGTCGGTGTATAATCCATTTGGTAAATTGTTGTGCTGATACTTTTTATAGTGTTTCTTGACTTTGCTCTCCGAGTATGACTCACAGCAGTTTTGATTTGATTGCGGAGTAAGTCAACCAGTAAAGAGAGGTTAATTGTCTTTTCTCACAAGTTCTTAGATTTGCAGATTACAGCTTTAACAACTAGACCGCAATCGAATCAAGTGCCTTGGGGAAAAAAGAGAAAAGAAACTTGTTCTTTTGGCTGTGATAAGTTAATCCATTTGGGTCTTCTGGAGGGGTCACTACTTTGATATTTTGAGGAGTGTTTTCAACAAAAATAGAAGATTTGAAAGCAAGGATAAGCACTCTGCAGTAAGTGTCCTGGAGGCTTATTGGAATAAGACTGAATGTTAATTGCTGTTCAATCAAACTGCCAGAAAAAGGGAGAAAAAAGTTTTCCAACTCATTGCTCAAACGTATTCAAACTATCAACATAACCCTGACTGTCTGTGTAAGGATGGAACAAACCGATAAAGCTGCCAATGTTTCTGGATGCTCGGTAGCTACAGCTGCTGTTTAACTGTGCTCCCTCTGTCTGTTCTCCCTCAGGTATCGATTATATGGACAGTGGAAGAATGAGACGTATTCCAGCCATCCGCTGTTGGTCAAAGTCAAAGCTCAAACTGTGGAACGGGCCAAATACATAATGAAGTAAGGCAGTGTGTAGAACCCTGTCGACATTTGTTGTTTCGTCATCTGTCTTTTTTTTTTTACCTTTGGTTGAAGTTCTCTGTCCATCCTATCCAAACAGCAGGTCGGTTTTTACGTGTCTTTGTAACCCGTGTGCCTCCTCAGGTGTAACCGAGACAGTCTAGCCATTCTTCTTCTCTCCCTCTACAACCCTCTGGTGTTCTGCAGACCTTTGCTTTACTTGGGCGAGATAAAGTTAAAGAATGGGAAGCCTTTCACATTCATTCCAGCCAAGTCCCCGCAGCGTGACAGTTTTATACTAGAGTATTTCTCCGCCTTCTCACGGTCTTTCGGTCTTTTGTTTTAGAAACAAAATCGCTCTCTTTTCCCAGCATCACACAGAACCTTATCAGGTCATTTCAGGCGGTGGAGTGCTCCAGATACTGAAACTGCTTTGGCATTAATCCAGCTTTGAACTCCCCGAATTTCCATCAGGACATCCATTTCGGTGTCTCCTCATGCTTCGCCCTCACACAAACACTAAGTTTGTTTACTATTTGGCTCATAATGACGTTCAAACAGAAATCCCATCAAATTTCTGTTCCACTGTTAATGTGTGTTGATTATATTTTTGCATATTGATGTTTCGCCATAACAGACAAATCTCTAGTGACACATGAATGTTTTGTTTTCAGAAGCCATCTCAAGCTTAGCTGCATTGAACTGACAGTTTTACACAGACAAAATGAAAATTAAAATGTGACTTTGTGTTTTGTGCCGGTCAAGTAATTATTCTGACACGGTTCTGCTGTAGACGGAAATCAATGACACTACTTTTATCTTAAGCTGACAAGCATGAAAGCATTTTGCAGTTGCTGTGAAGCTCGCAGAAGTGACAGTTTTTGCTTACAGCTCTCTTTTCATCGCCTTGTCTTTTTTAATCTGCTGTTTTGTGTCTTGTGCGTTTTTTTTCCCCTGCATCTCTAGGCGGTTGACCAAAGAGAATGTGAAACAATCTGGAAGGCAGATTGGCAAGCTGAGCCACAGCAATCCCACCATCCTCTTTGATTATGTAAGTGTATTGAGTTGAAGTTTCTTTATTTAACTTAAGTCATTCTGAATTATGTTAAAAAAAATTTAAAGAAAAGAAAAATCCTGATTATCTCTTTAAATTTAAAGGAGCAGTGACTTGCTCTGTGCAGATTTTTTTGGGCTCTTTCTGTCACATTAACTCGCAGATAAGGGTTTGCCTAAAGGATAATGAATATGGGAATCAAAGTCTGTCTCGCTCTATAAAAAGATAGGGAGGGAATTATTACATTTTGGGGTTTATGGTTGCTTTCCTTTAAAAAATAAAACCCAAATTAATGTTTTCATTGCTGCCTCTAAATGGGAATTAACAATTTCAGCTCAAGACGACTGATCCTTGCACTTTAGCTCATGGTTCATCTGCATCACTGTTGTTCTAAAGAGTTCCGGTTTACCCACTCCTTATGTTAGTCTAATTAACACAGAAGCGGGTTGTATTTTCCTACACATCTGTTCCACCCAATTCATTGAATTTATTCATGATTTAGCTCCTATAAATTTGGAGTATAACAGTACTCATGAGACACATGAGGCACCATGACAAGATGAATTTTAATACTTATATTATTCAAACAGCAGGGAGTCCTCTCTATGTTTCACATCCTTTGTGTAACATCATTTCACCACTGACCAATGTAGTTAAATAGAGGTGTAGAGATGGGATGTTGCAGCTGAAACACCGCCAAGTGTTTATGCTGACCATTTCAACATTTGCCTTTTTTCCATCAAAGATTGTGAGCAACCTTTTCCCTCCGCTCTCTGAATATGTCATGAGTAGCCTCAGGTAGAGAGAGACAGAGAGGCCTAACAAACAGTGTCATGACAACCCCTCGTTTTACTATTGATGGTTCAGTTCAATGTAACTGAACAATCCAATGAAATTGCTTCGGTGTACTTTCAAAATAAAAGTATGTTTATATCAGAATCAAATAGAACAACTGGTAACACTTTACTTGACACCTATCTATATAACACACTATAAATGTATGTATAATGTGTTATAATCACGTTACAGCACTGTATAACTATAGTTATGAACACTCATCAATGATCATAATGCTTTATAGCAATAATCATGACACAATGTAAAGAATGTTATCATAACTTACAAGGTCAGGTATTATAATGTGTTATGCTTATTGTTTCAAAGCATTTATGATCATTAATGAGTGTTTATAATATAGTTATACAAGTTTATAAACAAATTGTAACACATAAATATATGTATAATGCATTATCTATGTGGGAATTGTCAGTGAGTTGTTAACAGTTATAACACATTATAATGCCTGACTTTGTAAGTCATAATAAAATGCGCTATTATGTGTTATGATTATTGCTATTTAGCATTATGATAATTTATGAGTGTTTATAACTATAGTTATACAGTGATATGACATGATTGTAATGCATCATTTATATATTTATAATGTGTTATAGATATAGGCGTCAAGAAAAGTGTTACCGATCAACTGTATTGTGAGGCAGTCTCTTCTCTTCCCTTTTGCATTTAGGACTGTGCTTCCTACTTGACTAATTTTCTTGAGCTGTGCCATTTCTTCTGTATTTTATGTTGAAAAGTTGATGAACATATTCCAAGAGCAGGAAGTAAATGACTTCTTTTTGGTCAGGAATTATTCCCAGCAGTTTGCAATATTCATCCCCTTCACTTTCCTGTTTATATCAGATGCTGTCCCAGATCCAGTGGTACGACAACCTCATTGTTCCAGTGGTGGACTCTTTGAAATACCTCACGTCCCTCAACTATGATGTCTTGGCCTGTATCCTGAGCTATTTGGTCTTAATTCAGTTACAACAGATGTGTTCATGTGTGGGTGTCTGTCAGTGTGTTAGAGTGTCCTTTGAGGCACTGAGGCTTCTTCCTCTCTCTTTGCTGTTGGACTTAACTCTGTCTTCAGATTGCATCATTGAGGCTTTGGCCAACCCTGAGAAGGAGAAGATGAAGCATGACGACACTACCATCTCCTCATGGCTTCAGAGTACGTCCTACGAAAGTTAACATGCCGGTTACTGGCCGGTCACATTGTTCATTTGCATTGAAAAGGGGAGAAACCGTTTGATGTTTAATGAATATCCAACATACACCTGTTCCTCTGCTCAATGAAGGTCTGGCAAGTCTGTGCGGGGCTGTGTTCAGAAAATACCCGATTGAGCTGGCTGGCCTTCTCCAATATGTCACCAACCAGCTGAAGGCAGGAAAGAGGTAACTTGATGCAAGAAGACAAAGATGTTCTCCTTTCACCACATGTTTGACCTTGTCTTGCCCCTTACGCGTCTTTGTAGTGTCAGAAAACGCGCCCTGCTTTATACACCCCTCTCCCTCCGTCCTTGTCCCTGCAGTTTTGACCTGTTGATCCTGAAGGAGGTGGTGCAGAAAATGGCCGGCATTGAGATCACTGATGAGATGACCTCGGAGCAGTTGGAGGCCATGACAGGAGGAGAGCAACTCAAAGCTGAGGTATACAGACTCATTTTCAGCCTTTTTTCCCCCTAAACAAAGACTCCTGACCAAGATCCACCTGGACCAGTGTTGTACTTGAGCCCAGGTCATTTTCATCATTGCTGTGCTCTTTTTCAACAGGGTGGCTACTTTGGCCAGATCAGGAACACAAAGAAGTCCTCACAGCGTCTGAAGGATGCTCTGCTGGATCATGAACTCGCCTTGCCCTTGTGTTTACTCATGGCCCAGCAGCGAAATGGTGTAGTTTTCTTGGAAGGTGGAGAGAAACATCTGAAACTTGTGGGCCACCTCTATGATCAGGTATAAGATTCTGTTTTATGGCAGGAAAGAACTTTATTCAATGGATTTGCAGGGACGTCCTTTACAGCATCAAGTATATTTTATTTAATTTTTTTTTGTATTTCTGCAGTGTCATGACACACTTGTGCAGTTCGGAGGCTTTTTGGCTTCTAACCTCAGCACAGAGGACTACATTAAGCGGGTTCCGTCAATCGACATCCTGTGTAACCAGTTCCACACTCCTCATGATGCTGCCTTCTTCCTGTCTCGGCCAATGTACGCCCACCAGATTTTGGTGAGTAGAGCCGGTATCTGTGTGTGTCTGTGTGAGTGTTTATGTTACATCTCTGTTTTACATCAGTGCTCTCAAGATATATCCCTGCCTTTAGAGACAAGTCAATAATCAGTCACGCTTCGTTGCCAAGCGATTACATTTTAGTGTGTGTTATACATTCACACCATCCTCCTCCTCTTCATTTGAATAAGTGCTTATGTGGGTTGAATAAGCTCAACTTTAAGTTAAAAATGTATGGAACTTTGTTTAAGCTGCCTTTACTTATAGATTCATGGAAGATGTGGGCAGATTAAAACATAGCAAGGTTTTTCTTACATAAGGAAGGATGAAACATGTCAGAAATTCTTACTTTTGAACTATTTCTGTGATTTTATAAACAAGAATTTATCTTTACAAAAAAAAAGGTTGGTCTTTGAAAATAAACAAGTATCAGGACATATGAAGATGTATCATGTTTGAATTTGCTGTATGTCCTGCTCTTTTTCAGTCCAAGTACGATGAGCTGAAGAAAGCAGAGAAAGGCAACAGGCAGCAGCCAAAGGTACACAAGTACGTCGCAGCCTGTGAGCAGGTGATGACGCCAGTGCATGAGGCTGTGGTGTCTCTGCACCCGGCCAGAGTCTGGGATGACATCCGCCCTCAGTTCTACGCCACCTTCTGGTCTCTCACCATGTACGACCTGGCTGTACCAAACTCAGCCTATGATCGAGAAGTGAACAAGCTCAAGGTCCAGATTAAGGCCATTGAGGAGAACCCAGAAATTGTGAGTAGTTGATCCAAGTTTTGTTGGTTAAATGGGTCGCCCTCAAACACCACTTTTGACTTTTTCATATTGAGAATATTATCAATAAATGCAAATGAATGTCAGAGGCAAGAAGGTGCCAAAGAGAAGTGATCATGAGAACTGTCAGTATGTGTGTATAAAGTGAGAATAATTTCGTTGCTCCGTTTTATTGTAGCCTATGAATAAGAAAAAGAAGGAGAAGGAGCGCTGCACTGCCCTGCTGGAGAAACTGCAGGAGGAGGAGAAGAAGCAGCAGGAGCATGTTCAGCGTGTTCTTCACCGCCTCAAGCTGGAGAAAGACAACTGGTTGTTGGCCAGTAAGTTTTCTGTTGTGTTTATCAGGGACATTTAATGTCTCTTTCTTTGAATTGATGGAGTTTTAAACAATGCTGTTGATCCCTGCCAAAGGAAGAAAGCAGTTTGTAAGTCACTTCCAGGATGACAAATAGAGAGAACTCCAGTTTGAACTCAGTTTAGACACAATATCTGCTGATGTGAATGAGTCAAAACTAGTATTCATGGAAAAAACTCCTCATGCAGAAACATTTAGTGTTTCTGCATTTCTAACTTCAAATTCTCACCAACAGAATCCACAAAGAACGAGACCATCACCAAGTTCCTGCAGCTCTGTCTGTTCCCCCGCTGCATCTTCTCTTCCATCGATGCTGTGTACTGCGCCCGCTTTGTAGAGCTGGTTCACCAGCAGAAGACACCCAACTTCTGCACCCTCCTGTGTTACGACAGGGTGAGTCACTTTAAAACATGCCATCTTTAATGCAATGATGATCAAACCTTTTTTTTAATGCAAAGTCAAAAGGGGGAAAGCTAATTCTAAAGTGTGCATTAAAATAACATATTAAAATACATGTGGTGTCCAAATTCATTTGAGAGGTTCACGGACCAGCTAAGTGCTCCATCAAATTACAATTTGAAAAGATTGTAATAATATAATAATATAATTGATGTAAAAACAGTCAGACCATGAATTAGTACAAAGTCAATGAAGCACAGGTTCTCTTAATAATACGACTCCTTTTTCATCATGTTACTCTGCAGGTGTTCTCAGCAATCATTTACACAGTGGCCAGCTGTACAGAGAACGAGTCCCACCGCTACGGACGCTTCCTCTGCTGCATGTTGGAGACAGTGACCCGATGGCACAGCGACCGCGCCATCTATGAGAAGGTGTTCAGTCCTACCTGTTCTCTGCTCCTGTTAGCTTGATGTATTTGAATTATTTTCCAATGGAAGATGAGCTGGGAATAAATCAGTGTCTTCTCATTGTATGGTCACAGGAGTGTGTAAATTACCCAGGCTTCCTGACCATCTTCAGAGCCACTGGTTTTGACGGGGGGAACAAAGTGGATCAGCTGGACTATGAAAACTTCAGGCATGTGGTGCACAAGTGGCACTACATGCTGACCAAAGTGAGCACCACCTTTTAATAGTTACTGTTCCTAGTTTTGACTTTTGTTTGAATGACGTCAAAACTATTCCAACAATTTTACCTTTGTTCCTCTGCCTTTGTTCTATCCAGGCTTCAGTTCACTGCCTGGAGACGGGAGACTACACCCACATTCGGAATATTCTCATCGTGCTAACCAAGATCCTGCCCTGCTATCCCAAGGTCATGAACCTGGGCCAAGCCCTGGAGTGCCGTGTCCACAAGATCTGCCTCGAGGAGAAGGACAAGAGGCCTGACCTCTATGCCTTAGCAATGGGGTAACAGGACTGTGTGCTGTTCAGCTCCTCCTGGAGCATGCAGTTAATTTCTTGTGTGAAGTGTGGTACAAAGGAGAAAATGCAGAAGATTGTAGGTTTTTCGTTTTAGCATTTAGGAGTGACAAGAGGTGACTGCAGGTGTGAAACGTAGGTATAAAAAAGAGATAGCAAGACAAGCTAACAGATGTCTTTGCCCACGTCTATAAGACAATCTTTAGTTCTGAGAAAAATAATTTAGAAGCTCATTTTTTTCAGTATGAATTCTTTACGTGGGTGAGAATATCTACAATGTTAACTTCTCGATTGTATGCAGGGCTACTAAGTGCAGGGTACCACTGAGTTGAGACATGGTCAGCAGTCCCCCAGTTTATGTCTAGAATTTTGAAAACTGTGTGATACCCAGCAGCTCTTTATAGGTTGTGTCTGTGCATTGTGCAAACCATTTATGCATCTTGCAGTTACTCGGGTCGATTGAAAAGCCAGAAGGTGCACATGGTCCCCGAAAACGAGTTTCACCACAAGGAGCAGCCAGCGCGCAGTGCCACCCCTGCCAGCCAACAGAACGGCCCCGGCAGCACAGGGAAGCCCGCCGGCAGCACGAGCAAGACAGACGAGGGGACATCCGAGGACGGAGGTGAGTGAGGAGAAAGATGGCTGCGTTGAAGTAAGTGCAAGTGGAACCAAAAAACAGTTGAGAGTTTTTGATTCGGTCTTCTTGCAGATCGGGGAAAGGATAAATCTCAGGGGACCACAAAGCCAGTGAACAAAACCAACAATGCAGCGGCCAAAGTGACCACCAGCAATGGAAACGGTGCTCTCAACAGGTAAGCTAGCTCATATTAAAAAACTTTTGTAAATATCCACACCTCTAGTCTTATGCATTATTCTTAGAACACAGCATTAAACTTTTACCCATTGCAGCACCAAAACTGTCAAAGACCGGGACGACAAAGAGAAGAGCGGGAAGGAGAAGAAAGAGAAAAAGGAAAAGACGCCAGCTAGCACACCTGAAACAAAGGCGGAGAACCGTCGGGAGAAGCAGAGAGATGAGAGGGCGGGGAAGGAAGAGCGGGTAGCACGTGAGGGTAAGGAGAAGACCCCCAAGGCAGACAGGGAGAAAGTGAAGGCCGAGGAGAAGAGCAGCAAAGACGACAAGGCCAAAGCCGGCAACGGGGAGCCGATGGAGCAATCCAGGGAGCGTGACGCCATCAAGGAGTCCAAGAGCAAGGAGAAGGGAGACAGGAGCGCTGTGGCCGGGTCCCTCAAGTCACCAGTACCCAGATCAGAGTCAGCTGAATCTGAGAGGGGTAAGGAGTCGGTCTGCATGTTTGTTGTAGCCCTGTTTCACCTGCACTCTTCACACAAACAGCGTCTATTTAAGCTTCATTACTTTAACACATTTATTTAAAACATCTGAACATAGAAGATTAAGATTTTCTCACTTTGTTTCACCCCTCACTCCTGATCCTGAATTAGTTGATTTTATTGGTGGAAGAAAGTTTTTATTGGAGATCAAATGTGCAGCTCTATTTAATCCATATCTCCCTCTCTTTGTCTGTCCAGATCACAAACGACGAAAGCTCGACAGCCACTCTTCTCCGTCCCACTCCTCGTCTGTTAAGGTTAGTATGGCTTGAGGAAGGCTGTGCCCGTTTCTTCTCTATCTGCCGGAGCGTTCCCCTGCCGTTGCACATTCCAGCAGCCCTGAAGATCACCAAGGAGAGTTGTCGTACATGCAGGCATCTGGAAATCCCCACCAAATCCATGGGATTTGGAAAGCATTCCATGGACTTGAGCATTATATTTTGCAGAATTGAGAGAAAACCCCTCAAGGACTTAGCCAAGAGAATATTGTGTATATAAAGTATTTTCATATTGAAATATTTATCTATTTTCATATTAATGAAAGCAGTCAGTGTGCCTTGGGAAGGAAGAATTTTTAAGCAATTCTATATTCCTTGTGGATTTTTTTTTTTGCTTTTTAAGATTATCTGCCTGAAGTTTAATGGCTTGCCAAATCAACAGTCTCGCCTTTTCGTGGCAAAGATTTTTTCTTTTTTTTTCACAAACGAAAGAAGTTTTCACTACTTGAAAAGATACCCAAGATCATTTCCCCGCCTTTTTTGCAAGCTGAGAAGATTCCCTGGTGAAAGAGATGTAAAGTTTTTTTACCTTGTCCTCAACGTCCCCGGATCCAGCATGGCGTCAGATGATGTTCACCGCACCACTCTGCTGCAGGAGCACCCCTACGCTGTGGCTGAGTCATCACCCCCTCAAATCTATTTCCGTTTGTTTAAACGGCCTGCATGCTGCCTTCAAGTCACACGATGCGCGTCCGGTCCCGGCCCCTACAGCACCACCCCTACACCTACCAGGCATCAGCATCGACAGTCGTACTACCTCCTGGCAAGCACCTAATGGGAGACCAGAGCCACCAGCAGCCGAGATCGACGGAGAAAATGAATGTTGCAGTTTTGAATCAGCCAAAATTGCAGAGGGAAATAAGCCTGCCCCAACAAAGAGAGAGAGAGGGAGGGAAAGAGTGGGCGAAGCCTGAATCGTCTGGAGCGTTGCCTAAACCACTGGAAGCTTGTGATAGGTCTTTATTTTACCTTCCACCAGAGAAATAGGCTCCCTGTGTCTTATCCATTCCTGAACTGTAAGTGACAGCCACAGTTATTTATGTAGGGATGCAGTCAAGCACATAAGAATTGAGTGATTTGTCTTGCACACACAGGCACAGACACACACACACACACACACACACACAAACACACATACACACACAGTATTTACAGCACTTGCACTTTAGATGTATTGGCTAGCAGCTGCTCTGTAGGACTTAACTATTATGCTGCCTGAACTCTCAGACATGTCTGTAGTATTATGACTTAGCAGTTATTTGATATATTTGCTCAGGGTTTTTCTATTTAAAGTATTATTGACATTCCAGATGTTGAGCTCATGAACTCTCTTTATGTAATAACCTTGTCAAAGCCTTAGTCCTTAAAGGTCAGAGGTCAAGGGCGAAGTATGCTGTTGGTCCGGCCAGCCCAAATCCCCTCCACCCCTTCTTCAAACTCTACTACTGTCTGACAACCTCCTTACCAACCCCCCCACCCCCTCCCAGCTCATCTGTCATCTCCATTCATCCTTACAGGACAATAGCAACGAACCCAAGGAGTCCACATCCAAGGTTTGAACTGATTCCTCCTCTTGTTGCCCATGTCTGACATCCATCTCTGTTCGTGTACCACCATCTAAATCATCGTCAAGAGTACAATTATGAATATCTGTGTCAGCATCACCAGAATTTTTATTTTTTTTTGCACTTCATGCAGCAGAATAAACTGAAAACATTTGGTCTGATCTGATATTGTTGCCCTTCGATAAAGCTGTCACGGCCAACAATTGCTGAGTTTCACATTAGGCTCACAGTAACAAACAGGCCAAATATTCATCATCTGTTCACTGAGTCCACTGAGTGAAAGACAGGTGAGAGAGATCACCTAGACAATGAGGTACTGGTGCATACTGGTGATCATCTCTGTGGGTTTATTATTACAGACGACCCCTGTTACACTCCAGGGTAATTTAGCAGATATCAAATACAAAGTTAACAGTTGATTGGAGTGAGGTTCTTCTGTTGATAATAGAAGTCACTTCAAATATCATGAGCCTGTTATCCCTTCAAGTCCATTTATAGAAAAAATATTAAAAAAGGTAATTTTACAGAAAATCCACCCAGAATAAGAAGAGTCTATATCACACCAGTGTAAATAACGGGAATTTAACAGTAGTTATAATCATGAATAATGGGCACCTCTTTCAAGTCTACATCCAGTCAAGTCTGTGATTGTTTCCTTGTGTCTGTTTGGATGTTTGTATCATCTCTGTTCATCAGTACTTCACACTTTTCTGTGTTGATCACCATCAGCTCTGTCTGTCGTGTCTCCGTTATTACGATCAAATAGGAAGCAGGGATGAAAGTTTGTGTTTCGCTGGATGTTGTTTCGCACAGGCACTGAAGAGTCTCATCTTCATAAGACTGTACTTGTCAGTTCCTTTAAGTTAAACATGCAACACATTTGCGCTTAACCTTTAAGGCCTTTATTTTGACAAACGGATAATTAGATTTGTTGTTTCTTAGCAACACGAGACATGAGGTTTTTATAGCTTTCATTTTAAACAAGTTATTATTGATTTGATTACTGTAAGTCTTATTTACACGAACTTTACAGAGTTAAAGTTGCCTCGTAATTGTCAACTTTATACCAGTGGAGTTGGTGTTAATGTTTTACGCTTAGAGCTTTTGGCCACGAACACCAACTTTTTAGCTGAGTCAGGATTGTTGCTAAAGAACAAGACCTCTGCAGGAAAGCAGAATAGCTCAGGCGAGAACCAGGCAGCTGGATCAATACTGATGACAAAACAAAAAGTCTAACCACTGGTAGTTTTACCTCGACCACATACCTATAAAATCACCATTTCCAGTACGATAAATGCGATCTGTTATGAGATATAAGAAGTGTAAAAACATATTTCATTCATTATTAATTTGTCCAGGTCAGATCAGTAATCTGTGATGATATAGAACCATCGTAAAGAATGAACAGGCTAGTTGATATGTTATTTACCCTCTGAGTCGTCTCTATGTGTTTGCAATTTAATCCATTCGCAAAATGGATCTTCAAGTTTCCACTCGAGTAGAAAGTCTTTGTTAGGAGCTCGTCCTCACTGATGGGGGGTTGTATTTTTTTCACAAGAACTTGAAGTGGAATAAAAATCAACCTGAAGGCTCTCCTGACATCTTATAAGAAGTTCTGTTTGTCTCGTTCTGCTCATGGAAAATCCTCTTCACAGCACCACATCACCTACAACTCAATAGCCCGGTCCAAGAGCAGAGAGAGGGAGCTGGAGAAGAAAGACTCAGACAACACACAAGGCCGATCCAAAGAGAAGAAAGAAGAGAAGGATCGAAAAGACAGGAAACGAGTCAGTATTCAACCAGACAACTAGTAGTGTTCATATCAGTCAGATTATTAGAAAAAGGTTCATCTTTACACACATACAAGTTTTATCCAGAAGAATACTTAATGACACCTGTAGGACAGAAAATCTCACTGTCTCTTTTTTCTATCACCATGATTCATTTACTCTTTGTCCTCTTCTTTTTTAGGACCACGCTGTCAATGATCGTGAGGCGAGCCAAGAATCCAAACGTAAAAAGGATGAAAATGGAACTAGTACGTTTGTCTTCAATAAATCCAACAACCTTTTATCCAGGCAATTACGTGCAACAAGAAGCACTCTCCAAAGAAACCTGAAACTGAATCGTCTTTCCCCAGATTCCTCAAAAAACAGCAAGAGCACAAGCCCCTCCTGTGACTCTCCACTTTCAGCCGAGAAAGAGAAGAGCAAAAGATCGAAATCTTCCAGTAAGGAGAAGGCGGATTCTGTGAAACCTGAGCGGACGTCCTCTGGAGGAAAAAAGGTAAACTCATCATCTTGTACCGATGTCAAACAGTCACGTAACTTAAAGAGTCTCATCACACAGGAAAAAAGAAATCTAAATACTCTAAATATTTGTGTAGCATCATCACTGTGGATCTGTCTCGTCTCATACTCGTTTGTGCTCTTGTGTCGCAGGAATCTCGACATGATAAAGAGAAATCTGAAAAGAAAGAGAAGCGGGACAGCAGCGGTGGGAAGGAAGATAAAAAACAATATCCTTTGATGTGATGCCAAAGTCTGAATTGTGGACAGTTCAAACATCGTTCGTGACTAATTAGGAGCTCTAAGTGAAAATAGATAGTCAGGTTTGTTACTGAAGGCTGAATTAGCTAGCGTTAAAAAGTAAATGTTTACACAGTTGTGCAGCAGTGTCTCTGTAAATTTATCTTCCCTTAGTTTCCATTATAAGACAGTGACCCCTTTTGTGTCACTTAATATCCTCCTAGCAATTAACTGGTCACCATTGCAACAGTTGCCATATTGTGCTGAGAAGCTGAGTAACAGCCTTGTAATGCTTGCTTGTAATATAATTACAACAATAATCCACAGCTAATTTAGGCATTTAACTGTAAGCCAATAACTGCAAACCCCTCTGATGCAATGCAAGCTGAACTCATCATGTACTCTGCAACACAGATCTGGCTGAGGTTTTAAGAGCCGCTATGTTGCAAAGAGTATTGCTCACACAGTGGATGGGTGTATTCTCCTTTACTGGTGTGGACAAGAAACCTTTCTGTCTGATCCCATATTAGACGGTGTCCAACCGCCTTTTACATCCACTCTCTGATAATGACAATAAAGCAGCTTCGACTGGAGAGAATTGAGGTTCTCTTCTCTCTGATGAAAAGATATTTGATGAAATAGAAATATTCACATTCTGCCTGTGATCAATGTTTAATTTCCCTTAACAGTGATACTCATAAATCCTCTGACAAGCACAGATAATGTGCACTTACCAGTGGAGGTAAGACACATTCAGTCCAGCGTCTTTTCTGAAAAGATGAATGACATGACTCCACCTGAAGTCAAACCAAAAAAATTTTGAGTCTGTGCAGTCCAGGAGAGCTGGTGGAGACGCATTGTCTTTTTACTCTGCTATTCCAGTGCACACAGCTCTGCAGGAGCCTCACGGGTCAACAGCACTGTCAATCATGCTGTTGTGCCCCCTTTGTTACAGGCCAAATGTTTAGTTAGTGAGTCAGTAAAACTTGGCTTCTCAGAAAAATGGACGCTAACACAGATCAGCATAATAAGAACTGTGTTAAAGTGTAAGGATGACGTTTAAGAGGAAAACAAACCCAGGACATAGTTTGAATTTTAAAGTTTCACTCATGTGGAGGAGGTGGGTTTTGTGACCTTGAAATGTTTTGGCTTCACTTTTGGGGAGCTTTCATGTTGTTCATCTTTTAAAACGGTCTTCAGTTTCCTCTGAACAGATCAGAGTACGTCCTCTCTGCGGTCACTCATCGGTGTGTTTTTTTCTGTTCCTCTGCAGAACTGGAGAGGCTGTGTTTTTAATCTACAAGACATTTGCGGCTCCACCTTTACTCTGTCTTTAACTTTCATTTTGCCTGTGTTGTTTTGCTGTAACCCCCTCCCCCACCAATGTTGTTAGCTGTAGTTTTTTGGACGTACAGATCACCTCATTGTTTTTCCATTTCAGTATACAGCAAGCTCGCTGGAATATGTTTATATTTGTTTCTTTTGTATTCTCCATTATGGGCACAATGTGCTGCTCTGATCACGTGGTTATTATTGCTCACTAGAAAAGCGGTTACTGTATGAAATGATCTGACCCCTGGTCATGGATTCAATAATCTCAAGCTTGAAAACTTGTATTCTTTTGTATGTTGTCAGGCTTTTGCTTTTGCTCGTTTTATTGGAGTTAACATGCTTTCCATACTCACTTACCTCATATCCTTTTTGAGATACTTAGATACGTTTTATTTATTTATCTCCAACTTTTAATCCCAGTTAGACAGTGGGTGTGAGTGAGGAATCTGAAACAAAGGACCAGTTTGTATATTGTGTACAATAATAAAGAGAGTAACATGAAATTCACATCATGTTATTTCTTTCCTTTTTTTTTTTTTTCAATGTCCCTTACAGTCCTTTTGTGATTTTGTGTTAATCAGGTTTTTATATAATTTATAAAAAGCCAGTTCGACCTTGACTCAAATGTAGAATTGTAAAGAAATCAGACAAAAAGAATCTGAAGCTCTGTACTCCAAATACATCTGTTTTGAAATGACTTTTGGAGATTTTATCTGCTGTACTCAATGAGTGTAAGCTTTTTTTAAAAAAACAAAAACCAATAAATAATAGTTTTCCTAGTGTGTCAAATTGATGTCGTCTCTTACCTTTTTTTCATCCCCTTAAAGAGAAAGTGGACCTTCAGAAAATGAATCAGTGACATCTAGGTAGGGTTGTACTGCACAAACAAGTAAATAGACAAAGGCTACGTTCACACTGCAGGTTATGAAGCACAATTCAGATTTTTTGTTAAATCTGAACTTTTTGTGCGGTCGTTCACATTACAACAACGAATGCGGCATCTAATGTGAACAGAGTGCGTCCGTGAAGTGACCCGCATGCGCACAAAGCAGGACGTGATGCAGTGTGTTTGCTGTATGAGCCCTTTGTTTTGGCTCGAACTCTAATGTTTCTTCTTTTCGCCACTGGCTGTTCTCCGTTCCCTCGTCCACCATTGCTTTCCACGACTGTTTGTGTTGTCAAACAATGGTGATGTTTGTCGCATATTGATGACGTATAGGTCGGATGAACGCGACCTGAGCGTCCACACTGCAGTCACATAGGATACATGTCCGATTATCTTCACATACAAAAGAGGCCTGGGTTGGATTCGAAAAAAAAAGACTCAGAATTGCACCGTTCACACTTATATAAAAAAATCAGATACATGTCACATGGTTAAAAAATTAGAATCGACCTGCAGTGTGAACATGGCCAAAGTTTATGCCATTTTATTTACTACAAAGCTGAGTTTTTCCAAGTTAATTAACTTGACAGAAAACTCATTTAGTTTTCGTATGATGGTGTGATTGGCACTTTTCAAACAGAATGTTGTGTGAAGGAAGAACAATAACGGTGTTTAAATATTAAGACTGCCCAAAGGCAAGCCCATAATCAAGAAAATGTGAGAACAGTTTGTCTAAGAAGTAGATTTGTCTTTTTTCTGTCTTTAGGATTTCAACTGTCTTTTGGGAGAGTTTCTTTACAAATCAGAAGTTGCCCATGAATTCAACTCAACCAACATTCAGAGTTCTAGAAATTAGATGTTTAGATCATTAAAGAATAAAAAGTAGAGCTTGTTGTCAATTTTAAAATTATGATCACCAGCAGAATTTCAATTGTAAATGGTGATCAACTGAATATTGACCTGCATTTTTAAATTCTATCAATTTTAAAGTCCATATTAACAGTATTGAGTAATTCATTGCAGTGTCCTGATTTAGTTGACAAATTAAAGTTTTCCACAGTGATGGTTGGCTTTCCCTTATGTAATTTTACACACAGGGCTGTGGTGATTCACACTCTAAATAGTGCTTTGCTGACATCAGTCTGACTAGCTGCACCTGTATGCTTAGTTTAGATTAACATATAAAAAGAGATAAATGAAAACAGGGTCTCTCTCAGCATTATCCAATCCAATAGACTGAAATTGTGTCATCCTCCTCAGACCAGGCCCAACATTATTTGATTGAAATGGTCAGTGCATAGTTCTTTATAAATATAGTTTTATTTCCTTTAACTATTCATAGTTGATCAACACGGGATCAAAATTAAGGGCTTAAGGTTTCATTCATAGCATGGCTAGCATAACTAATTAGCACAAAACAACTAGATATGGGTTGAGACCAAAATTACATTTGACAGAGAAGGGTCACAAAAGAAAAAACATTCTTGTAGTAGGACTTGCATTTTTATATGTAAAACATATTTTATCTAAGATCTTAGAAAAAGTTGTGTCCCCTCAGCTGATTTCTTTTATGGATGACAGTCACATCTTTGAAAATTTTCAATCTTGTTTTCTACTCCCATCATTGCACTGAGACTGCTCTGGTCTGGTCAAGGTCTCTAAAGACTTAATGCTTGCAGCTGATTCTGGCTTGTACTCTATTTCCTCTTGACCTCAGCATTTGATGCAGTTGACCACAATGTTTTGGGAAGAACTTTATTGATCCCAGAAGGGAAATTTTTAACAAATATTAAATATTCTTATTCAGCTGCTTGAAATTCTCCGTTGTGATGCAGCTTTGGACATGGGGTCTATCTCGGGTCTCCTTCTATTCCCTGTATACATGCTTCCCCAGGGGCAAACCCTGCTATGCAGATGACATTCAGCTCTGTGCTCTGTTAAACCTGGCACAGCTGATGTTTCCCACATATGGTCCCACCTGTCTAAATCAAGAATTGGATATCCGTTGCTATATAAATTAAAGTATTATTATAATCATTGTTTTAGAGTTAGGGTAAGTAAAGGCATGTTGAGAGAAAAATATTTTTCTTTCTCTTTTCACAAATTTCTGTGATATACAAATGACAGTACATATCAAGTCCAAAGATGAATATAAACCTGCTTTTATTAAGGAAATGTAATAAAATCTTTGTACATGACCTCTCCACAGAGGTTCATTGTGTCCATACATGCAACTCTCATGGTTGAGGTACCTTTACAAATGAATTGGAAAAACTAAAACCAAACTGGATCAGATGCCGTAATTGGACACTAACTAAACCAGGGTCCATTTTGAGTTGCAGTTTGGTCGAACTATCACCAAATTCACATGCACTTTATCTGGGGAGAAACAGATGAGAACTTCTGATATACTAAACAAATGTAGGCGTACATGGTTTGTAGCGTTTGTAGGTTTTTCCCCTCAGTTTGTAAAAAGTTCACTTATACAAACAGACAAAATGTTTCTTTTGTAGCTCTCCTTCCCTTAATGTACAATTCCCCGGCTCACCGTCTGCATAATGCATAGACACAGAAAGCTCATCACAACCAAAGAAGCCATGTTGTGTTATCATTTACCCAAAAATGTTAAGATTCACAGCTGCAGATACTGCATCGACATGAGAACAGCTTCTAAGTGTGTACAAAGTGTAAACCATAAGCTCAGTTAAACCGTAGATGAAACATAAAGGGGTTCACTCTCCCAGGATTTATAACGCTTTGATTCAAACAGTATGGCACTAAGTGATAAAAAGCGGACCTCATCTCAATAAAAGTGGTCTTTTGTTTCCAAATAGTGGCAGTTGAAACGAATGCTTGTGGTCGATTTCAAACAAAAGCATCTAAATGAACACAGAGTCAGTTGTGTATAATGTCCAACAGGCTTTAAAATAACACCACCTAAACAGTTTCATAGTATTGATATTTTCTGAGTAAAAACTGGGGTAAAATGTTGTTATTGTAATCAATGCTTAACCTATTGATTGATGCTTGTCCTAAATATTATGAAACTGAAAATAGTCTTATAGTAAAACAAGAAATGACTTTACTTCACTAAATATAACATTTATTCAACTTAAGATTTCACCACAAAAATATGTCTGTAAAGGACTCAAATGACTTCTTAATAAGTAATCCAGGATGCTTTGACTGCAAATCATGGCTTTTTTTCTTCTTCTTCTTCTTCTTCAGATCAGAAAACAACTGAAATTACAACAGTTCATCTAATTGTTATTTGAAGCTTTGCCCTCAGTCCATAGATTATTTTCAAATTTTCAAGTTATTGAATTTTTTGTTGCATTGCCATGACGCCCGATTGCTCCGTAAGGCACTACAAGAGGCAAATCTCATGTTTCCAGAAGCATAAGTCCGGTTGCGTCATTGCCCTCTGTTAGTGTGACGGGCCTCACAGCCCAGAATGAGCACTTGTTGAGTGTTAGGCTTGAGTCCAAGCTGATGACAAAGAGGGCTGTCGCCTCTAGGATGACAGCCTCGGGGTGTCGGGGTCACACACAGTGGCTGTTTCCATCCAGACGCTCCAGTGGGAATCCACACATCCTCACTTCTGCAGGGGCCAAAGGAGAAGGTTTTAAAATACATGTCATTGTCATCTTTAAAGTCGTTTCACCTCATAAACTCAAGTTCCCCTGATGCCTTAAAAAAGTGAGTCAACTGGACACAGGTTACATTGTTCATTAAAAATCATGTGGTTTAAAATTTTGAAAAAGCCACCTGAGATGGTTGAAATGAATTTGACTTAAAGTGCACCAAAAACCTTAATTATAGATGTATACATTTACCTTCACAAAGATCAGAATGAATATTATGATCCCACTGAGCAATAGACGGCTATTAGACATCTAGTTTTTTGTTTTAGTCCTAATTTCAACCGTCTAGATTCTGTATATTTTTAGACAGAATCTAGACGTTGCAGTTATTCGATAACTATTCGTTTCAAAAAGCAACTGTGAGTTACATAGCTCATCTTCAAGTACTCAACCAAAATAATTATGAAAGCCGCTGAGCAAAATACAGTGTAGTATAGATAAAGCCCAGATTTAGACTTGGTCTAAATTTAGACATCGGTCCTCTAGGCAATATCTAGACGTCTATTAGACCTCTTTTAGGCCAAAAAAATGCTCAGTGGGATGGGTGCATTTGGACTTGATTTACTGTGTAAACCAATTTGAACTTTAATAACAATAACTTTGATTAATGAATGTTTTTAAAGTAGGAACAATGTTGCATTCTGAGTGATCAGCTTTTCTAAAACCTTCATTTATGGGATCATTTTAAAACTGAAACTAATAATGTCTATAAACTGAGCTGTGAAAAAATCAGTTGCATTATATCCCAACTTTATATCAAATTACCCATCTGTGTTCAATATTTGACTCTGACAGATCAAAGCCCCATAATAACAGCAGCAGTTACACCTCAACAACAAAAGCAATGCTAGAGACAGCATGATCACACATCATCTAAAATCACTGCAGAGAAAGGATTCTGGCACATTTCATCGCCGCTTCGCTGAAAGCAGCCTGAAAAGCCACTGGGCCCTGACAGGGAAAAGTGTCTGTAATCCATGCAACAGCAGCAGAGCTGGTGAGTGTATATCTGGAGCGGCTATCACTCCAAAGCCGCTTTGACTGTAGGTGGTATTGTAAACAGAAGCAATGTAAGAAGTTGTGATACTTGCGTCATTTATGTTTTGAGGTGTGTCAACTGCAAAGCCCAATGAAGTTCACCTTGTCCTAACGTGATCTTCAGAGAAAATGTTCAGTTTGATGCCATTTCTTAAATAAACAATCATTTCAACTTAATCATCAATTTAAAAGTTTTGTTTAAGGTTAATTTGTTAATTAATTCCTACAAATAGGCTTATAAGATTCAGTTGCCATGGATGCATTACTGAACATCAATGAAGGTCTAGTTTCTTTTCTCTGGTCTAGTCAAAAATGGATAAAATCATCTCTAAATGAGTATTTTGTTTAAACCTCTCTGTGTCTTGGGTAGGTATCTAGGTAATAAATGGGATATGTATAGTGAACAGATAATTATGCAGATTAGAATCCAAGAGACAAGACCATTTCGCCTCCTCAGTGAATTCTAATTTGCATAACCACCAACTCATTATGACTGTACACCATCCCTTACTAAACTTGACAATAACACACATTAAAGCTCCTGTGAGAATTTTCTTAGTTGTGTCGGTTTTGGCGACACTTGTGAAAAAACAGCGTGTCTTATTCCTGTTAACACATTCTGCCGTACATGTTAAAGTAGCGGTTAAGTTCACCAGGAAATCTAATCCTGCTTTTTCTTTTTTTTTTTTTTACACTTAAATATTTCATTCACCAAGAATGTATGTCGATTACTCCATCCGACACATGCCTCACAGCAGCAAATACAGGCATCAACACTCACAGTATGGACAGAAAAAGGGTGGCTGCGGCTCAGAGGAAGAGCTTTTGTTCCCAGGTCCTGCTGTTCACAGGCCTGAGTGTCCTTCGACATAACACTTGACCCTTAACCGCCCCCGTTTGCTGTGCCCCAGGGTGCGTGAATGGGATTAGGTAATACTGATAGCTGCCTTGCAAAGCAGCCTCTGCCATCTCTGTGTGTAAATGACTGATGTTACATGTAATGAAAAAAAAGATGACCAGATAAAATGCTATTTAAGGAGAGCGCATTTACCAAATGATGAATCTTGTTGTGGACAGTCATGGCTTGTTTTGTTGATCATAAAGGGACATCAATATTAAATTCAGTCTGTTTAATAACCAGCTAAATTATCCACACAGGAGTTTTGAAGTTCCCATGAAACAGCTAACAGAGTGATACTGGTTCCTGCTTATTTGCCAGGAGGCAACCTTAAAGCTCCTCTGAGGAGTTTTTGACTGGTTATGAAACAGACTCAAATTAACAGTGATGACTCTTTATGACCTAAAACATATGAGACCATTAGCAAAAACGCTGACTGTTTCTGATGTGTGGTTTTTAATGCCTGTAATTACTGTGTGGGGGTTAGTATCACACAGCAAATGTGTATCATGATGGATGATACGTCTACAGAGCAGGGTGAGATATTTCTGTCATAAAACAGGTCTCACACATGTATAGGACAAGAGATGAGAGGATTAGGCCCCAGAATGGCACAATCAGAAAGTTCCTTATTGATGCTTTAAGAGACAAAACATCATTTTGGCACAGAAAAGACAAAAACTCCAGTTGGAGAGGCTGCTTAAGACTGGCTTCAAAGGCAAAACCAAACCTCTTAGGACCCCCGTGTTGAAATGCACAATCTTGTAGCAAACTACGAACCATCATCTTACTTTACTCCAGTGGTCAGTCAGTCCTTTCAGCTTTGTTTGTGCTGCTCGCTCCCAACAACGAACAACGAGTGGGAAGGATGGGGGGATCATACAAGTTTCGGACAATTACTATGGCTTACTGAGGGGTCTGTTGTTGAAAAAGTTATCCAGATTGTTTGCTCTCTCTTGTTTTATGTCATTAGTGAAAAATCTAGCCATATGTCAACTTTATGTTAGCTGATAAAATATCTTATACCTGAAAGGAAATCAATAAATAAATGAAGGACAATGGCAAAAATGTAAAACTTACAGCATACAACAAAAGGGCACAAGGCAAATGATTGAAAAAACTGCACTGATGACATTGATGACATAGGAATCGGAGAGATTACGTGTTGTCAAACTTTCAAATCCCTTTTCGATGGAAACAGTGAAGCACATACCCTCTAGATTTTCACGCTCTCTGTCCCGTACACGTTGTAGCCTTCACGATACGTGGCAAAATTCTGGGCATTTGCTGGAGGTGCTGGCTTAAAGTTTTGGGCATTCTTTGCCAGCTTCAGTCTTTTGGTTTCTTGCCGTGACTTATAGCAGAACTCTATCAAAGCCACGGTCATAGCCAGGCCCAGCCCTCCGACCAGAATATAGAAGACTCCTGCCACGTTGCTCAGACTTAGTGCACTTGTCTTGTCCTGGGGGAGGTAGAGACCACTGTTAAGACTTTTTAAACTGGCAGCATGAGGCTGACCTCTAACAACATGCACACTCTCACACAAATCCTATCTGCACATCCTGTGTTAATATGACTGCACATTGACTTTGAGGAGGCCGCTAACTGTGTCTAGAAAACCCTCTGAGATATAGATGCCTAAATTAACCTAACAAAGATAAATTAGTACAACTTAGATGTGTCTAACTCCTCCTCACAGGTTATTTCTACTCTAAGGAGCTGTGAAGGTGAATGTAGAGAGAGTTTCTATCTGTCCTGCTTGTGGACTCTTTACGAGACCACGTATAGAGGAAGGCGGTCGTGGTCGTACAGGTCTACAGATTAAACCCTCAATTCTAAGTCATAGCTGCTTCACTTCCAACACATTTGCATTTGTACAATCAAAGTGGCAAGCTGTGGAGGGAGAATTGAACCATTTTGCTGCTATTAAGAGCCAAACATTGATATTGAAATTAATTTATGAGTTTTACCATTTGCATTCTAGCCCTGAGGAGACTCTGAAGCCCTACTGGCGTTAATTTAAAGTTTTTCTAAACGCTTATTTATATAAGATAAAAGGGTTACACTTGGTTCCTAATGGTGACACTTCAACTATGTGGCCTGGGTATTAAATAAATGTTTCCCACATTGTGCTACGATGGTATTTAAAGGTCAGTTTGGACCCTGTGAGAACAAGGCTGCCTTTTGGGGAATAGAAGCTGTTTGTATTGGAGTTAAAAGATGCAGTTTGCATACAAATGATGAACACCAATAAACTAAATTTCAATAAAAGTTTGGACAAAAACTATAGCAGTATAATGGTTTCAATTCAACTTTCATAATTTTTATGGTATGAATAAAAAATGTGTGTTATCATGCTGCAGTTTTAAACTCTGGTATCATCTGCATACAATGAAATAATGTCAATGTGATGAGTTATGATCACAGTGTTCACAAGTTTGACTATGTGTAAGCTTTATTTGTAGTGTCTTTCACATGTAACTGTGAGGGCAGACAGGTAAAAATCCAGATATACTGTATGTCATGTCTGAGAGGAAATGTTTTTTTTTTTTTTTTTTTTTGGGATGTTTGCATATGAACAGTTTGGTCAAAATGCATTTTGGAATCAGTATAAAAAGACCTGCAGCGACTGACCTTACTTCCAGAGTCCTTGGTTCCACATTCACCCTTATCGTACCACCATTTGTTTTTCAGCTTGTCTAAGATGCCTTGTTCACTGAGTTTCAATACTGCAAGGTTTACAGGAGTTCTTCACGTGGGAAATAACATAAATAACATTTAATTATGTTATTTTATGTTATTCAACTTTTTTTATTACTACTTTAAACTGTGCAAAGCGATAGAGTAGGGTCCTGGCCAACACATCACATATAGCAGGCAACACTACAGTATATGTATAAATGTATGTATAATATATGACTTTTCATAATCCATGACTACCCTAGCATGCCAGACCCCACCTATATCGCTTTGAGTAATCGGCACACACTGATCACAAGAAGAGAAAAGATCTGAACTTGCAGAATAAAGCAGCTGCTGCATAGCTTTGCAGAATGAAAGAAAACAGAGGCAGTTATCGCTGAGGGCACTTTTGTTGGTTTTGCTATGGGCAGCCTTTTTTGATGTTGGCAAGGTGGATCTAACAGGAACCCTTTTTTGACTAACAGACAAAACTTGGCAGTCCAATTTCAATACCAGCTAGTAGAGGCTAATGTCTCACAAAACCACCCCTTTAAACTAGACAGAGTTCAATGTTATTCTCACATGGAGAAACATCTGAACCAATCAGGAGAGCAAAATGCAAATTTACAGCCAATTTCCAAATGTATATCATGCGGTCTCGATTTATCCGTCTTAAAATAGGGGTTTGGGTCACAACAAGAAGTTGTTTTTAGACCTTTTTTTCTCTCTAAATCCCTAATAAAGGGAGTCAGGTTTTGGGGTTTTTATTTTGCCAGACATTACACTTAACTCCCTTGACTGATAGATTTCCAGGCTTATTTCCTTTCAGAAAAAAATATAGTAAAAATAAAAATCATTGTTTGCAATCCAACATCATCAAATATATTGTATTCACCACTGTGTTCCTTGTATGTCCAACAGAATACAAATCATGTTATCTAGTTATTGAAACGAGTAAAAACAATATTAAGAAAACGTGCATAATGGTGTTGATGGTCTGAAGTCCTATTTAGCAGTCAGAGCTGTTTGAAAGGCAGAGTTATGATGACAAAATCCAATTACAATTTTAAGACTCATAAATGTAAATCAAACAACAAACTGGGAGAAAGAAAAATGAACATGAAGTTGAAGATTGCAACATTTTGTAAATAATTTCAGTGCTCTTTTGTAAGATTACTGAGACATTACTGAGTGTACCTTTTCATCTCTTGACAGCAGAAGCTGAAAACTGACAGATTTGATCATGACTGTCTATAAAGTGAATTATTCATCCAACAACATTTTGTTCAAACAGCCAATTCAGCATCAAATTAACTTTCACATTTTCCTCAGTAAGATAACTAATGATGTGTCCTTATAACCCCTCTTCCTCTTCTTCTCAATGATGACGCCATATCAAGCGCTGGTCATCAGATTAGGGCCTCAGACACACCACCAGGTGGTGGCCATGGTCCTTTGAATAATGTAATGAGGGCACTGTCCAGACACACAGTTACAGAAAAAACTATGAAGGCCCTTGAATCTTGTCCTAACAGAAAATAAAACAAATAACACAAAGAACTGAGGCCATATGGACGGTATTTTCCAGGCAACAAATAAAGATGTAAAATGTTTGAACATACTGATCTCTTTAATGTTTGTTTAGCTTTAAACTCATGTATATTTGGTAAATCACACAGTCCTTATAAATCCCTAAGCTCTTGTATCTACTCAGTGAATAAAAAAAATCTACATTAAAGAATTAATGTTTCATATAAATCAGTCTTAATCTCATTATTATCTACACAAACTAGCCCACTCCCCCTTCCCTGTAAATCTATGGATGTGATAAACAACCTTTTGCCTCGCTCTGCATTCTCTATTTCATTCTTTAACCTTGGAGAATGTAAAGTTAAAGGTTGAACTCTAGAGCAGATATCTTGACATTTAAAAACATGTTATAAATGTCAGGCCACATGTAAGCACTGAGGTCATTAGAAAACCATGTTGTAGACATTAAACTTATAGTTTTTCCACAGACAGCGCCCCCCGTTTTACCTAACGAATGATAAAGATTATTGATTCTGTGTCAGGTTGATTAGATTGTATTGCATCAACCCATTTTACGTCATCTTCTCCAAGATGCAGATTTGTGTGACATAATATAGAAATCCCCACAGAACTAAAAAGGGACATGTGTAAAGTGGTTTCTACAATTAAGAAAAACCTCTATAATCTGTCTGTATTGTGGACCTTAATTGAGGACGGGCTATTAGACGCACACTCACTCTCACACATACTTGCATGTGTGGACAGGGTTGCTTTGGTTATGGAGGCTTCCTGGGGAAAAGAGGTGAGTCAGCAGCCGTTATTCAACAGCTTAGATATTGGCTGTGAGAGAAAAGATGAAAATGAACTTTCAAAAGCGCACATTTAGAGCTTAAACTCTTCCTCTTGTCTGCTAAATGAGAGAATTTAATCTGGACAAGGAAATTGTGTGTTTCTGTGTTTGTAGTGCCAAAAATGGGAACACAGGAGCAAATTTAAAAGTGTTACTGAGTGGTTTGCTCAAGAAATTTCTGGCCTCGTTTAACATAGGGAGCAGAGGAGCAGTTAGTCGGTGCTCCTGTTGCTTTGAAGCTTTTCGTGCCAAACCTGTAAAAACTCTTTCTGCCGTAAAATGCTGCACTAACAAGCTGGGTGTTTTTTCTTACAGTTTGAGGGTAAAATCATCTTAATTGAGTATAAATTGTTGGCTGCAGAGTGAAGTGTGAGGATGTTATGGAAGATATTTCATAGCTGCTTTGCACTCATGAAACTACATCATCCACTATGGATGTAAACATTACCCCAATACACTTTCACTATAGAATTTGAAAACTATGCTAGATTTTAAAACTCAGATAACTAATTCACAACTATAATGCTAGCTATCAGAACACCTCTACACTCTTTAACATAAGAGTGGATGTATTCCTTCATAGATGAGTGATTTTAAGCTCTGATTTTATCCATGTCTTCTGTATTTCTTAGACGTGTCTTACAAAGTTAATGAGAAACCCTGTGTAAATCCTATTGATATTACTATAATTTGTCATTACATTGTTTTTGTGTATGGATTTGTATTTAGCTTGTGTTAAAGCAATGCTGCAGAGCTAACAGATATGGAAATACATTTCTTTTTTTGAAATACATATTTTTGTCCCTCTTCCTCCCTCCTGTTCTCCTTTTACCCATTTATGAAAATGGGCGCCGGTCTGTGGCGATCCGACAATTCTCCTGTATGTGTCTTTTTTATGTTTCTTGGACGGGATGAACTGAAATGGGCATTTCCCCTTGTAGGACTAATAACGGAGTATCTAAGTATGAATGGCTCTAAAGCTGCAACCTCTGGTATAACAACATTTAAACAAATGGGGCAGTGCTAATAATGGCAGTTCCTAAAGTGTCCACTGGAGGCTGGCACCAAAGACACCCATATTAAAAGGCCCATTTGGCAGAAATAAAGGTGTTTACAGCCTGGTACACAAACAGTACCAGTAAAAAGCCTTCTTCTCCATTTATTAACACTGTAAAGAGGTCTTGTTGATAACATAGACTCATTCAGTCACTTAGGGAGATATTAACTCTACAAGTTTAGCATAACCAGGTACAATAAAGGGTGTGTCTGACTTGACTGACAGGTGGGCACATTATCGCCTTAACCCTGCCTCTAGATCACAGAATTTTCGCTGAGTCAGCATTTCCAATAAGAAGACCGCTATTGCTGGTCGATTCTTACCCTCCATAATAACACTGATGTACACTTGATAGTTCTTTCAGGAGCTCATTACTGCTAATACCCTCTGATTAAGCACAGGCAGGATGGACAGAGCAACTGTGTAGTCTATTAAAAAGCAATACAACAGCAAGTGCTATAAATACAGCATTTGTGAAGTAATTGAAGTAACGTTTGTAACTTTGTACAGTCGTGTTCGGACTTCTGAACTTCACAAATATAATATTTATAGTTGTATTACTTTTGATACGCTGCACAGGTGTTTCTTACATTGTGTCCACCTCCTGTTATTTTTCTTTTTTCTGAGACACATTTCATGAGGTTATGTATGTGTCATACTGCATGTTTGGTCACATCAGAACTGTACCTTTCTGTCTGTCTGCAAAACAAGACAACAGCATCTGAAAGCATTCATAATCACACAAATAAGTCACAAGACAAACATGCACAAAACTGACTCTCATGGGGAAATCAAGACATACAGCATATACTGTATGATGCCATATTAAAGCATCACGCAGTATGAAATATAAATTACCCTGAAGGATGTCACAATCTAGTATTATCCAGCACTAAAAATGAAAATAACTTTAGGAGATATGTTCTGATTGGATTTTAGTTTGGTTTAAGTAAGCATATCTGGAAATAAAATCATTATTTCTGCTGATTTCTGTTAAAAAATAAATAAATATAAATACTCAATTTGATTTCAGGGACCTGATGATAACATTTCTTTGATGAATGTCACATTTTCTCAGTGGTAGTTACATACAATATATTTTTATCGTATCGTCAATTACCCACATGTGCATTTCTGAAAGTGAAATAAGGACATAGAAATGTGGCAGTCAGATGTAGAAGAGTTATAATGATCTTCTACTCTCTCTCTCTCTCTTTGTCTCTCTAACTGAGGGGTCGGGGCAAATTGCCAGCGAGAGAAGACATTTTCTTTGTGTTATCCCACTGGAAGTATCCATCTCCTGCTCACTCAGGGATGGATGACTCAAGTCAATAACAGCAAAGTTTTGCCTTGTCTCTTCTCTCACAATGTGCCGAGTGTACTGTGGTCATGATGCAAGCTGAAGAGCAGAGGCAAAGATGGATCCACTGTCGGGCTCTTACTGCGCCCACCCTACTGTCTGAAAAACACAAGATCAGGAGCCTCGTTTATGTCGAGATTGTAAAAGAGATTTGACTGAAAAGAGCTTAGTTATTTGTGTAAGTGGAGAGGATATCATCACTCTTTTTTTTAAGGTGAATTCATTATACACTGCTGTGAAAAGTGTTTTTTTTTTTAGAAAGAATTAAAGTTTATGATGATTAATTAGCTTTTTCTTCCAATTGTAAATTCTTCTTTGTACAGACAAGATTCAAGTGGGACTTTGTGAAGTTTGAAACTAGAATCAATCTACTTTAATTATAAAGGAAAATTTAATCAAGTAAAATGTTACATTCATAAACAGCTCATCCCTATTTCAGTATTCATTTCGCTGCTGATTCCTGAGTAATAACAGTTTTCTTTAATGACTGAAGACTTCAAAGAGCAACTTTAACAAAAATTAACAAGAATTTGGAAGAGAGACAAAGAAAATTTTCCGAAACTTTTTGAGAATTTTCAGGGTGAAATTTAGGATTGATAACTGATCGTCCTTAAGTTTAAACATTTCTGTAATGATGCTCTACTGTAAAACTTTGTTCGAAGATATCAGACTTAAACTTTTTAGTCACAAAATGAAAAAAAAAATCACAGTGAATACTTCAGAGAGCTAGATATGCCAAGTTCCTGTTACCACATCTTTAGGCCACTAGTGGCCACTCTTTCGTAGAAGTCACACAGTCCCATTTTAACCTCTGAATGTACGTGCCTCTCCACTTTTTGCACACTTAAAAACATACAAATACGAAAGGGAGACTCGAATCAAATGCTCTTGTACAAACAAGGCCCCTGATCACATCTTACTCTCTAACACTGCAGGGTTTACCAGGTCAGGGTGGCCATGGATAGACTTTGACTGGCCTTAGATCAAGACCAACCAAAGGTGTCTGTCAGTCTTAACGCTGGATTTCAGTGAGAGGATGTTGGACAGAAAAGTTTGGACCGTTAGTTGTCAGTCTGTCATTAGAATTCTCACGTTTGCCTGCGATGCTTAGTCCCCTCAAGACAACGCTGTTCCCCGTGCCTGCCCTAATGCCCAGGCGGCAGATTTGGAGAGTGCATTTAAAGTTTGACTTGGAGGTGTTAGCTGTAACAATAAAATCTATTTACCTTTAACCATCTGACCTAAAAGCAACAATTTGAAGACACACAGCTCTCATTTGGCCTGTAGATACAAAAAACAGAAGAAAGAGGGTTTCTCTCTTTCATAACTACAGACCAAAAACACAGAAATAACCACCCTGTCTGCCAATAGCATTTCTCAGTCTTTTACCTGATTCTTTTGAGTGCTACTCCTGGACTTTAACACATTAACTGGGCTTTTTCTCCTCCATTAGCCAAGTAAAGGGTTCCCAGTCGATCACATTTGCTCAAAATAATAAATAAGCATTTTTTTTTACAACTAGTTGAAGGTATTCAGGCCCAAAAAGGCTATGTTTAAAGAGGACAGCCTTGCCGATTACTCTGTTCTAGGATACCCGACTTTGGTGACATTGAGGCTGACCTTAGAGTCACCTCCCCCGCTGCCGCACTCTCCCTTGTCGTACCACCATTTGTTTTTCAATTTGTCCAAGAGGCCTTGCTCATTCAGTTTTAACACTGCCAGGTTAACAGCATTTCTTGAAACGATAAAACATAACTTGTAAGAAAATGAACAGGTCCGTGAGAAATCTAATATAGAATATTAGTAAAGAATAGTGATTAATATCAATGGTTCATAGGGGAGCACGGGAGGGACAAATTGGTAAAGAATTTCACTGGTGTGGAAAGGTAAGAAGCATCTTTACAGCAAAGAAAATGTTATAAATATTAGAGAGGTGGCATGGAGGGTTACATTGCTTGTAACTGAAGTGTGCGGGATGGGGACATTCTTTCATTGCTGAACTAGAAATAAGAACATCCAGCATGCAGCTTAACATTCATCACAACTGACAGAGCAGCATTTAAACTAGCAAAAAGAGACATATTTCAGTGTCGAGTTAGAAGCAATGCAAAGGAGGGCACCAAGGAAACAAGGAAGGAGGAGAGATTGAAGGGGAGAGAGCAAAACAAACAAGGTTGTGGAGGGCGAGAGTGCACATCAACATTCAAATGATTTACTGAAAGTGACTTATACCAATAAAAAACCTTAAGAGAAAGAAGAAAGTAATAGACACAAACCAGATACATCGGACACGACAGAAAATGAGTTCACGTGTTGATTAAATTTAAATACTGTTCACTGTGTGATGCACTTGGAAAAAAAGAAGAGTTACAGACACAGAAAACGGCAAAAGGAGACATCAGGGTAGGTGGAATACTATAACAACAATGAGGATATTGTCATAATATCCCACCCACCTTAATGCAGAGCCTTTCGGAGTGGCCACACCATAACCCTTAGAGTCGAGGTTCCCGCCCACTTTCATGGTGTCACAGGGTTTCCGTTGCTCTATGTACTCGTTCATAGTAGACTCGAGAAGAAAGGCGAACTTTCCCTTCGACTTTCGTACCCGGGCAACCCCGTCAGGTGTTGTCTTGGCAAATACTGACGGCTCAGCTGATTTCATGTATGACCACATTTTTTCATAAACTGCTATTTTGGAGCGCTGCATGTGAGGAAAAAGAGAGAAGATAGGAAGAGTTAGGTTAATCAAACATCAACAAATGATTAAAAACATTCATAAAGGGCCTTTACTCAGGGTCTGAGTAAAGGAAAAGTTAATCAGGTGATAAACTGAAGTTCTGTCTCAAACATGAATAAAATTATCATCCCTGTTTCTATGTTGAGGCTTGAGGGGATTAGTTTTGGGGCTGTTTAGAAATGATCAAAGAGGGGAGGAGGTTTGATTGACTTTTCTATAGATAGATAGATAGATAGATAGATAGAGATAGATACATAGATAGATAGACAGACAGACAGACAGACAGACAGACAGACAGACAGACAGATAGACAGATAGATAGATAGATAGATAGATAGATAGATAGATAGATATTTTATTGATCCCAGAGGAAAATTCAAATACAGTTTTCTGTGGAGTTGCTTCTTGACAAGGAAGAATTAACCATATTTTTGTTCAGAAAAAAAAAAAACTAGTAAAAATTAATAGACTAAAAAAAATGCTGCCCTAGACGCTCCTATAACATCTGTTTATATACAGTCCCCTGTTGTAATAACTGACAGCAGCTACTCTGATTCTATCACAAATTAAGTTATGTAATTAGCACATTATATCTCATTTGTTATATATTTTAATAGTCTTTATGCTAGTTAAACACACAATATGGAGGGAACAAATGGAATGATAACCTATAAAGCTTTTTGCCTGTTTGTTTGTTTTTGATACTGAGTGAGACCATAAATAATACCCAGAGGTAAATGATAAAGATATGTATATGCTGATGAATGGACGAAGGATCTTTATGTAAAAGGAATTTATAACCCATGACTGGTATTGTTTTTGATATATTGTTTTTGTCTGGTTCTTTTTCTTTATTTTTTGTTTTTTTTTCCTTTTGTCTTCTTTGTTTGGTTGATGTTTATTGGATGGTTGTTATTTTTGTCTTTTGTTTTTTTCCTTTCCTTCTTTCTTAATTTTTCTAAAAATTTTGGTTTTCTGATTTATTCATTTACACGTGTATATATATATATATATATATATATATATATATAAAAATAATAAGGCGATTGTTTACTAAAACCACTTTTAAACTGAATTGTTCAAATGGCTGTTGAATTATTATTGTAAAAGTGGATGTGAGAAAATAAAATAAAATATAAATAAATAAACAAACAAACACAATATTTTCATCCACCCCAAAACAAAACGCAGACATGGTGTATTTTCTAAAAAGTCCAAAAGATCGTTAAAAACGGCTCAGACAACAACATCCATGATCATGTGACACTGATGTCACAGTCTGTGGCAAAGTCAGTGTTGGGTATTTTAACTTATTTCAACACTTATCACTGTCTTGTTTCAAACCAAAGAGGGTTCACCCTCTCTATGTCAGCAAAGCAGCAGAGGTAGTGGGCTTTGTGCCAGCAGCCTGAAGTCTGACAATCTGGCAGCTCAGCAGAAGCAAAACGCAGGTCGTGTTTGGTATCAATATTAACAGGCTGAAGTGACCTCCTCCTGTCCGCTCCAAGCAGCAGGTTACAGCAGGAGTCATGAATATCATAGCCTCCTTTCTATCTATAATTTAATCAAGTCTATCTCTTTACACATTTATGTTATTAAGTCATTTGACTGTGGTGCTTTGACTGTAATTCCCTAGTGAGCAGTTTGATGCTCTTAAAATGGGCTGTTTGACAAACTACAGGTCTTTGGGTTATAGGCCCTGAATACACACAAAAGTATGACACCAGAGTCTGTGTGTGTGTTTATATCAAGTTAGGAGGCAGCTTCATGTTCTGTGAAGTCCTTCATTTTTTTATGATAACACTGTTACACATGAAGAAATATGCAAGGACAAATGCAGGAGCGCAGGTTGAATCACTGTGATTGCTCATTGGTGTCCAGTGACGTGGTTAATCTGACAGTATTTGCACTCATCAGGAGTCCCATCTTGGTTGCTTTTTCTGCCTCATACAGGTTCTGCACATGTAAAGCAAATTTTAAAAAAGCACCAGAAATTTAATTCTGCTTCTTGATTCCTAACAGTAGCATACACATTTTTAAGATTCATGCTCAGTGAGAATATTTTAGTTCTCATTAAGTTTTTCTTATCTGCCAGGACCTGCTGCGTTGGTGTAACATTATGCCACTTGTGAAGCAGAACAGAAACAGAGATGATCATAGTGGACTGCTGCAAGTGATCAATGCATGGGATAGAAACTGATCAATTAAAACAGAAACCAGCCCAATTCAGGATTAATACATCAGTGCTAACAGCCCTTATTATTCCTCTTTAACTTGACATTTCCTTTTAGCAGAAGCAAGTTAAAAGGGTCATGAGTATTCCGATGCTATAAAGTCCATAAACCTTCTTTTTGTTCATCATTATCTATCTCTCTCTCTCTCTCTCTCTCTCTGTAACGTCATGTTTGACCTGCTTCCCCTCAGACTGACGGCTTCACCTCTGTTGCCGGGTCAGCTGCCAGCTGGAGCAGCTACAGACATGCAGAGCTCAGCCCTGCCATGACACTCAGTACGCTGCTAAAAATGGCCCCAGAGAGGCTGATCGGCGGTCACTAGGGAGCTGGAGTACACAGCTGTCTACAATGGAGGGGCTGATGTAACCCGGTCTAATGTGACCGTCTGCTGGGAGTTTGACATGCCTTAGGAAGGAAACTTTGGGTGGAAACTTTCTGCTATGATGTGTTTTGGATTATTTATGTATTACCTTTACTGTATTTTTGGTTTGTTCCATTTTTTTCATTGATATATTTTGCTACACTCTTCTCTCTCATTTTGCAGCACTTACTAACTTTCTCTTTTCTTTTTCCTTTAGTATCCCCCTGTCCTGTTAGTCTCACCTGTGTCCTTTGTGTGTGAAGTCTCTGGCTGTGTTGTAATTCTAGGGTTGTATCCTTCAAAGGGTGCATTTTACGACAAATTTGTTGTATTTTGAAGGAATACAAATTGTTTCCAGATGTGTCCTTCTTTTCCTGGACAATAACCTTTGTGGACCTTCATATTCACAGGTGCACGGCAACAACTCAAACAAGACGGCAGAGTTTCAGTCTTTCCCTGTTGAATATAATTGTAAGAGTTCATATTTGGTTTGAACTCAATGACAGATAAAGTGAAATTGATGTTTATAAAAATATGCAAACAATTAAATGAAGCCTAAAACTCCAAACTATCTTCAAAATAATAAATTATACTACATGTCATCTGTCCTGTTAGCTTGTAAGATAGCTAGCTACCAGATGCAAAGTGACAGGAGCAGGATTTTATCATATACGGGTAAGACTAAAAGGATATCCTCCTTGTACTTGTCCATTTAATTTTAGTTTGGCCTATATGGTCCGCTCAGACTCAGAAATACACATCCTTTGAAGGACACATTTTCTGAATTTCTTCTATTCCTGTCAGTAAGTTTGTTGTTTATGAATCTTTTTGGCTCTTAATGATATTTTCACCTTTTTATGGACCTTACATTTTCCTTCGCTCGTTTGATTTCACTAGATTTCGCAGCGGTAGCCTTTTGTGTCCATTTAATAAGAATAAAACTGTTGTGTGGTCTTCACTTTGGTCCTCTTCTTTTGTTAAACCTCAACAAGATAATCTACCTTATTCTACTTCCCTTCATGAGGCTTTTTTCCCTTCACAGTCATGTTTTAAAAATATATTTTAAACGTTTTTTTACTTATATTTGAGGGTAGCATAAAAAAAAACACAATGCAGCAAGTCTTCCAGGAAAATCACATTATCTATAAAACATAAATACTAAATACAAGATTTTATTTTTGATTTTTGAAGAGCCCTCACATATTAGAGTAAAAAAAAACGAAATATTTCTCTATCTACTTTATCCCAAGCATGTTTCATTAAATAAGCTTTCCCACATAAGAGGGGACATCAGATCACATAGTTTGGTCCATAATTGTAATTGATGTTGATAAATGAGGCCTGCACAACCAGTTTTATCCAGTTTGTATGTTCAGGGGTTGCCTGGGTTGGTCCCACATCAAATCTGGTCGGAAACAATGACGACAAAATCAGAGTCACCTGACAAAGTATGTCAGCTGTGCAGTGTGTACGTCAGTGTTGTGTAAATAATTTACGGTAGATGTAATGGATTGTAGACTCAGGCTGGTAAGTGAATCATTCTTGACATATGCACGATTTGAGTCCAGTTGAGTGTTCATGTAAACACTATTAACATGACAGTAACAGCTGATGACAGGCCTGACTACAGTGTGAAAGCAGCAATTCTTCTCAGGGTTACAGAAAGACACAAGCTTGTCAAGAGTGGGTCCATGCCGGGTTTAAAGTCTGTGAAGCTGAAGCTGATCACAGAATTGTAATCCCCTCTAGAGCAGCCGAGCTAACAGAGACTAATGACTGGATAAATGAATTTGAATTAATGACTTTTAGAGCAACAGTCATCTCCAAACTGACAAACAGATCATATCCTCCAGTCAGTGAGTAATTTGGGTTAACGGCCCCTCATCTGTTCTGGAAATAAACTGGTCTAGACTCCGTTTTTTCAAGTCACCACTTTATCTGTCAGCGGATGACTGAAAAGCTGAGAGTGATTCACGTCCCTCTGTGCTCATCTGTCATCTTGAAGCAGAGCTGACAGGCTCAACAAAGTATGTGCGCTCTTTCCTGCATTTTATTTTCATCTGCGTGAAAATCAGTCGTATGCGCCATGAGGTTTATTACAGTAAGTCTGAGATCAGTGGAAATAAGATCAATAAAAGCATGGCTTTATTTACAGTTAAAAATCAACCCTCAAACTTTTTAAAGTTAAATGATGGGCAACACGACTGCTGCCCTAAAGTAAAGCCAAATTCTTTTGAGTACAGATCTTAGAGCCCACCTCCTCCATTAATATTTTCAGAGACATGTTCTCTGTCATTACAATAACTACTTATTTCTACACAATTGAATTTCTTTTCTATCTTGACGTGTTTTGACTACAAACTTCTTGCAGTCCACTTCAGAAGTGTCACATGGTGTTTTTTTCGCCTTGTCTTCTAAGGAAAACTGCAAGAAGTTTACAGTAAAAATAAGTTAATGGATAAAAGAAACACACTGGCCTAGATAAAAGAGGGAATAACGTACTGTATAGTCAGAGAAAATCAACCTTTTTGGACATGCTGTGTGCAAGTGTTCATCTCTTGTGTACTTTGTGTAGTTTTAATTACTTATCTGATGCTTTACAGAGGGATGTGACGTTACATTGATCAAATGTGAGCTCTTGCACCTTTCTTTATCAGATTAGCAGAGTAAAACATAAAAACATAAAACCACCAGTACAACTCTGTCTCAAACAGACACAAGAACATGTTTTGCTACAGACTATACCAACCTAAAGGATCTCTATGGTTTTATCAGCGAGTTAAATGCCTGTTATAGTTGGTGGAAAGGATGTGTCGTCAATCACGGACAGTTGCTCTTATATATGCTTTGGCTTCAAAATTTGTCAACTGTTCAATATGTTAGCTCCAATCAAGGCTGTAATTTTATTTTATTTTTATAAACGGAGGAGATGGAGACACTATCTATGGCAGTATGCAGTCAACGGGCAACGGTTGACAGTTGTACTACAGATAGTCGCCAGTTGAACCAAGGGCAAGTAAAGCAGTTTAGAAAATAATTCAGATAGTTATTAAAACATAACTATGTGATGACAGAGATTTATTCTGAAGGAAGATCTCAACAATGAATCATTATTTCAGTTATTTCCTTTCAAGAGCTATTTTTAAAGATCAGCGCAGTTCTCATATCTGCCCATTAAGCCATAGCCAGGAGGGCACTTTTTAAAGACTTTATAAAGAAGGGAATAGTACTTAATAACTAAACATTTATGTATCTATCATTTTACTTTTCTGTTGTCTAGACATCAAACAATAAATCTTAGTTCTCTTTTTTCTAACACTGAGAAAGAGAACAAGTATCTTTCACAATAATATAGTTTTTTTAAACTGCATGGACATATCCTGAGTTAGATATGAAAACTATTATAGATACACAATAAAACACAAATATTTCATAAGAATCTACATTAAACAGCTCAAACACTATAACCCAAAGGCTTTATAAACCTCTGTAATATTTGTGAGTCTCAAAGGCAGAAACATAAGTTGTCATCACACACTGTGCGCAGTATGGAGGCTGTATGATTCAGACTAAATATAAGATTAGATGACATCCCCTCTTTAAACACCTCTCTGTGACTGTATCTGCAGCTCCCATTCATCATCAGCTTTGAATCATCACATTTCAACAACCCTTGCTCAAAGCGGCTCCTCTGCTCTGACATTTCCAGTTAGAGGAAGAAAGGCAGAGAATTTCTCACTCAGGACAAAGTCTCCACACACCTGCCAATCATCTTCTCTCGAACACCTTTGGCTAAACACCTCCTGCCAAATAACAGTGAGGATTAACACATCCTAAGCAGGGTGAGCACTTTTAATGTGATGATTCATCAGGGAGGCTCAAAAATAACTCATCATATGAAGTGGGTGATATAGACATGTCAAGGAGTTTGTCGGGGGTTTCTATATGTGACTGATGACTTATTTTCTTTGGCACTGGATCTCCAATTAGAAAATGAAAAGCTAACGTATGAAAGCAAAATTAGCTGACATGACGGCTCAAAACAACATTGATGGCCTGTCAATTATTAAAATCAGCTGTCTGTCTCTGCAGTCACGACAACTATAGATATGTTCAGACATTGATCCTGGCAACTCTGCCTATCAGCTGACAGCAGATCTCCCTCTGTAGGACTCTGGTTTAGCTCCATCACTGATCCTGATTTGGGGCATGACGTTCTCTACTCCCCTCCCCCTCTGAGCATCACATTACATACTGAAAACCCTAAACCAGATCTTTGAAATACATCTGAAATGTAATAATGTGTGGTCAGTGGATTTGAGCCATGGCTCTTTTTATTGATAATATACTGCTCTACAGCACGCTGGTTCTCACTTTCCAGAAAATATGTGATATTTTCTGTAGAGCTACCTTTTACAGAGGAAATGTTTTAAAGCACTGCAGTGGAAGAGACAGTGAGTTACAGATGACCTCCTCCGCACTGATCATAGTGATTGCTCCATTTCAATGCTTTTAGAACTCAGCGGGGCTCGACACAGCTGACCAGACCGATGTGCTTGAACGCCTTCATAAACGAGTCCAGTCACAGAGGCATTACACATGTCTGCTCCTGGTCACATCCCTGAAAAGTCTGTCCACTTTGCTATTAACCACAAAAGCAAGAAGGAGATTCTTTTGTCCTAAAGCCAAAAACATTTTTCCTTTGTTTTATCTGCCTTTTCTCCTGGGAGGTATGTTTTTATTGCCCTAACCAGACAGCCAGCACTGAGTGTTAAACGGAGCAAATAACTGAACCCAGCGGACAGAAACATGCTGTTCTACCCTCACTGTATTATAGCATATGTACACAAGCTGTGTGTAAATCTCAGGAGAGTATGTAAGAGTTGTACGATGTGATTCCATGAGTCCCTGTGGACCAAGGCAGTCTGCAACCAACAAACTGTGCCCAAGTCTTTCTGAGTCCAGGGTTTGTGTTTATCAAATGTCTCAGATTCACTCGGGGCAATCACACCAAGAGACGGACCGGGACTAAAAATAGACACAGCTCAAAGCTGGACGTTGGATGTGAATGACATTTCCATTTCCGAGAAATGGGGCCTCATCTTTAGATTTCACCTCTGTGACAGAGGCTCACAAATTGGAAAAATAATGACATCTTCTAGTTCCACTGAAAAGTTTTGTTTTTTTTCTCTCTTTAAACAAAAGTTTTAGACACAAAGACAGACGTGGCCTGATGAACAGACAGTTAATTCACAGTATTCTGGGTGAACAGTTAAAAAAGTTGAAAACAAAACTGATGATTTGATGAAGTATTTCAATCGATATTTACACACTCTCTGAAATGATTCACTCCCTTAGAGACCAACATACTTTGAATTAATACTGCTTTTTAGATTCTTAATGTGATAACAAACTTCTGCGGCGTACACCATTAATGAAAACAGTCGCACTCTTCGTTTTGCTGTATGTGTGGCAAAAATATACATAAATCTGCATAAGCTGTGAGCAGATAGGCTGATCAGAGTTTGGTCTGTGGCTGGATGGATTTGTCATTTCTGTTGCCAGAAAGCCTGATTATAAATGTTTGATTTTGATGGAGAGAATGGAAGTAAATTTTGTAGATGAAGCGGATTAAAGCTGATAACAGCCCTGATCATAATATTTATCACTGTTATTTAAGTTTGTCTGAGTCAGAGTGTAACTTATAATCTTCTCTAAATGGTTATCTTTGATATATCTGTCCCAGAGTATCATCTTTTAAATCCCTTTACAAAAAGAATGCAGACTATTTTCTTTCAGCTGTTTAGTCTTTTAACGATGCTAAATGCTTTATAAAACACTGTGCAGCTCTGCTTAATGATACACTGAATTAATCTAGTGCAGCCACATTATAAGTACTTTGGAAGTGCTGTTTCAGGGGAAAGAATACACTCTAGACATTTTTTAATTGATTATTCATATGATTTATCACCTGACAGGTAATAAATCAAAAGCCCACAAGAAATCTCCAGAGACTCTTCAGCTCTGTACCTCAGCCAACATTAAGTACTGGTAGAGGAAACCTTGTTATGCAGTGACAGCATGGACGCCTGCCAGCCCAGACACTCACCCTAAAGAACTCCTTGGTGGAGCCTGAGTCTAACGTCCCGTAGGCAATCTCTGTCTGCTTGGCCAGGTCCTCTGCACTCTCGATTGGAGACACCATCCTCTCCACGGTGAGGAAGGCAGCCAGGTTAGCTGTGTAGGAGGAGATGATGATGAGGGTGAAGAACCACCACACTCCTCCGACGATGCGGCCCGAAAGAGACCTGAGAGCAGGAGAGAGAGCAGACACAGAGACATGAGAGCAGCGTGTTGTGATCTGCACACAAATGGGAGGAATGACTGTTTTTGTATCGAGTCTCTGGTGTCTAGTTAACAAATTTTAGAATGAGAGCTGCAGTATTATCTGCACGTCCCTGGTGATGCACACTAACGCTTAAGTTCACTTAAGTGAAGTATCATTAACTCAGTACAACTGCCATTACAGCTGATGAAAAGTTATAATAAGCCTCATTAACTCAGTTTAACTGTCTGCATTAATTTAGGAGCTTATTCAAGCGAGCATCCGTCTTACACAGACCAAAAATCTGCCCAACAATAGTCTAAATCTATCCTGGGAAGATGTGCCTGAATCTACCCATGAATACTTGAGCTCGGGAATGGAAGCGTTTCTATTGTACGTTTTTGTTTTTGTGGGAAAAAAGCAGGTCCTGGTCCTGAACTACTGTGCAGCTCTACAATAATGGATGTTCAAAGAAGTACGTTTATTTACCTCTGGTATCTGTTGGTTCAAAACTGCAGCTTGTGTTTGGTTCAGGCATTTGTAAGAACATTTGAATGTACTTTTTCTGTTGTAATATGTAACACTCTCTGACACAGACTCAAGAGTGAACAGGGAAGAAGCAGTCTCAAGGAAAAGCACCATGACACCCTGTCTCTTACTAAAGTCTGGGACTGATGAAGCATACCGGTCTGTCACACTGATACTCCTATTCCGCTCTCTGGTCCTTGACCAATTCTTCTGTTTCCACACCAGGGTTAAGACCCGATTTTGAAAATCTGTGTCTCACACTGCAAACCTTAGTTCATATATTTAAACTGAACTTTTTCCTCTGGTGCCAACCTGAACAGTTTCCATCACACACGTACTCCACTGACTGTGTTGCTCCCAGACAAACTTGTATTTCACATTTCAAGAACAAGTTCTCTCTGCATCACTGCAATGCAGGTGTGCTGCTGCTCATGGTGTATATATTGGAGAGTATATTCAGGTATTTATGTTATCCTTGTGGCACTTTCCAGCCTTCCATCTATTGTTTGTCCTTCACAGATTCAATAAAAATCTGCAGCAACTCCAACTGCATCATCAAAGTTTTAGACAGGCTGTAATTCCAGGCAGACGGTGCTGAGGTCTTATCTATAAACAGCTATTATTCATGGAAAATATCAACAATGACATCAGAGTGGGGTCACTGAGTTGCTCTAAACATGGCTGAGCTGGAGGCAAAGTCGTAGCAGAAACTGCACAACAGATAACAGAAGGTATGATAACCGTATAGAAACCAAAAACTGCCCCTCACCCCCTCCCGGTCTGCATTGATCTGGAAACTGCTGTAGGGAAATGTTATAATGTTCAGCAAAATTATAGAATCAGCAGATTCATTTCAAAAACTGCATGTAGGAATAAGATCCTTCATTTGCTGCTTAATTGATTTTTGTCACTGATATATTATACTGCAGAAGCTGCTCTGTCTGTACTTCTCCAAAGACTGCGCTAAAGTCAGACTCATCTGGTATCAGAGCTTGCATTCAACCTGTGCTGTGAATACTGTCTGATGCAGCTATCATGTGTCTGAATCTGCTTGTAAAGGCACTTTCGTTTTAATGAGCCGTTCGTTTGGTAATATAGACGCAGACAGCTTCCCAGATGCACTGATTAATCACTGTCTGTTATTCAGAGAGTGCACCGTTATATAACGTAAAATGTCAAACATAAGTTAAAGAAATAAAAATCCCACCATGGTGACATTTCAGACTCTTTCAGAGTTTCTTTATTGTTGAATAATCAGGGTTTTTATAAGAGTTTTAACTAATACTGTGCATAATTTGAGGCACTCCACTCATCCCAGTGTTTCTTGTTTGAGGTCCTCATAACTAAAGAGGCGCTGGACTAGAAACCGAAAAAACCCTGACAGAATGCTAAATGTCCCTGTGAGTAAAAATATGTTATTTTCCAGCAGAACATCATTAATAACCTCACATACTGTTGGACTAATCAGATTTTGTATTAAAAAAAAAAATCCTTAACTTTTTAATGCATTACTTTTCCATCAGCTTTTTTAAGTCTCAAAAGTCCGAGACCAGAAAGACAGACAGAAATTCTTGATCCTATACCTTTAAAGAAGAGGTCAGGAGCACCACAACAGTGGGTGAATGTATGTATGTATGTACAGTATGTATGGATGGATGGATGGATGGTTGGGTGGATGGATGGATGACTGTGTTGCTGTTGTGCTGGGAAAACACATAATATTGTCATGGTGCTGCACAAAATGCATTATATGCACCAAGTTGATGACCGTAAAATGGACATGCAGCAAAAACACGGTAGCCCTCCAAGAGTCACGAGGAATCGAAGCAGCTGCTCTGAGTGAATTGTAATGACCCCTGTGCATTTTACAGCCCTCAGCATGGTGGATATAAGTTATTTTGTGGATGCAAAGCATCTGTGCCAGCATGCAGCTTGAAAACAAATAGGACGTATGATGATAGTGAGAAAGAAATAGAGGGGGAATGCGGTGAAGTGAAGCATGAGGTCAGGTGGACAGCAGCAAAGCTCAAAATAACCTATATGCACCATGGCAGGATGGAGATGAAGCTACGCATGGGACCATAAAATGCAGAGAGATGATGAGGACAACTGAAAGGTGGTGGAGAGTGAACACAACAACCAACCTTGGTGAGATATCGCATCCTTGCTGCATGAAGGCGCCCAGGGAGAACCACAGGCTATTAAAAATCCCAAAGTCGTTTGGGGGGTCTGGGGGGCTCTGAGGGTCTTTCACCTCATCGTTCTCATCCAGATGCCACTCATATGGGCTGAATCGGCTGACCAGGAAGAGCACCACACTCACGCCGATATAGGCAAAAACTATACACATCCAAATCTCATAGGCCAAAGGGTCCAGGAAGGAAAACACCCCCGGCTTGGACTTTTGAGGCTTCTTTATCATAATGGAGATTCCAAGGCTCATAAAGGGCTTGGAAAAGTCTATCACCTCTTCTCGAACCAACGTTATCGTAAGCGGAGCCACAGCTATGTCAGCCCTCTGTGGAAACAGGCACAAAAGGAATTAGTATTACAAAACAGTATATAACCGCCTCAAGTTTTCCACAACACATCCAAAGGCTACTTGTTTGTATTTCTTTCAATAAAGTTCATTAAAACCAGTAAATATGTTGAATGAAGCAAATAACAATTTCTTCTCAGAGGTCTCCAACTTCTTCAAACAAACAGATCTGTAAATCAAAACCAGTGAAACCTCTGAAATGAGTATGGGGGTTAAAAATGTGTGTCTTTCCTATTATTTTCTTCTACAGGATGTCAAGTGAGGGGGCTGTGAGCTGAGCTGCTACTTATGCCCACTTAAGTGTAGTTATGTTACCATTTTTTGTCAATATTTTCCTCATCTTTAGAAGACAAAAGCAGCAGAAACAATGCCTTGTAGTAGGGAGTGGGTGTTGACTTAGTGACATGAATCAAAACTGCTATCCTGCTATTGTTGCTATATCTGCTGCGTGATAGACAGTTTGATCGCTCCAGATTGAGTAAAAACATCCTAAAATGTCAAACTCAATATAAATTCTGGCTCCATTTCTTTAGATAACAAAGCAACAACAATGGCGACATACACAGGTCACTCTGTCCTATAATCATATAAACATGGCCAGGCATCCAGTGTCTGGAGTGAATTCAGGGAGTAAACAGATTGGAGAAATGAAGCAGCTTGGAATACGCTGAAGAGCAGACCTGCAATAAAGCCTGCAGGAGGGAATCTGCCATTTGAAAATGAGTCACTTAGCATTTGTGTTGGCTAAAGGCTTTGTCTCCATCCAAATCTCCTCCATGAATCGAGAAGAGGGCTCGAAAGACAGAGGTGGAGGAGCTTATGTAAGCAGGCCATGAAATGTGAATCAGCCTGTTAAATCTCCCTACATCAGATCCTCTGCAACACCTGACAGGCTTTTCAATTATCAGCTCAGTGTGGTGACAAATGTTTGACGAAAGGGTGTGACTGAACTTTAAATAAAACTGGGAGTACTGAAACTCAGTGCAGTCTTATATAATGTATAGATAGAGGGAGCCTCAGTGAGAAGCAGACACTTCCTTTTCATATTTGTATGAGATTGATCTCGGTGAATTACTATTTAATAGCGAGGCAAAGTCATTGTTAAGACAGACATGGAGTCCATTGTACTGCGTACCAGGGAGTCATATCAATCTGTCTAAGCTATTAACACAGGGTAGGCGGGCTATGAAATAGTTATAACAGCAGGGGCTACAGGTGAGACATTAAGGCATCTGCACTGAAACACTGTCTGCATGCAGATTGTTATTAGTTTCCACTCTGTCTTGTGAGATCTTTTAACATTATTCATTCATTCAGCGGCTGAGCTCTCATAAAAAATGTATCGTCCTGTTCGAGCTGAAGTTCAAGAGAGATCAAGTCATGAAATGCATGATGAAAACAAGAGTGTTAATGATTTAACATTTGAAAAGAGACTTACTGAAGTTACTCAGTCCAACAGATTTAATTTTTAATACTGAAAGTTATTTTCTTTTTGTTATTGAATGATTATCATCACTCCTATCTTTGAATAATCATGGCTTCAAAATAAGGAAAGCAAGGTTTGTTATATTTAAGGCATCTGCCAACTTAATTAATTTAACACATCAGCTTTCACTTTCATCCACATTTAAAAAAAACATGCTGAATTATTCACTTTGCTGATGAAACAATACATTAAATCTAAAAGTCTGATGCTTGACAGTGTAACATACTTGATAATCTTGCATCACATATGTTTGGTTTGTTGTGACTCATGCTGGACTGAGGGAGTTTTATCAGAACATCCCACCTGTTTAAAACTGAAATTAATACTGAGGCCTTTTTACAGCAGAAAAAAAAAAACTAACACGTATGAAAACTGGTTGATTATACAGGTTTTTAATGCCTGAAACTGTCGCTGTCAGGGTCAAAGTCAGACAAAAGGACAAACAGCAAGCTGCTGAAACAGCCCGTTTTACATTTGCCACTTCAAATAGTCTCGATGAGTGACACGTGACTGTTACGAAACAGCCGAGATAAACAAAATCCACTGAAACATGTAAAAGATTAAATCAGCATGGACATTAGATGCACCACGATGGCAAGGGGGTGCCAAATTTGATGCAAACCAAAATTTCCTCACAGGAGCTTTAAATCAAGTAGATGCTCAAAGACTCTTACAATGCAGATTAAAGACTGAACAAGTCAGATACTCACCCCATAAACCAGTTCACCCACCATCCCGTTCCACGTCTTGGTCTCAGGGTCTCTGGCTCCATACTTCCCATCAGGAACTACTGACAGCTTATATTTTATCCCCACATGTTTCGCAATTTCAGAAGCTAAATCGACACAGTAGCCCTCATATCTGTCATTCCCGTCCATCTGCATATAGTTTTTCTTGTACATCACATATGGAGCTTCCTGTTAATTAGACAGAGTTTTAAGTTCATGGCAGAAAAAGGACAAGTACATTTTGGCCAGACCTCAAGGGTCAAGCGAGGCCTGTACACTTTGGTACAGTTTCATGCACACATGCTGGGGGTGACAAATGCACTGATGTGGGGGGAGGACATTTAAAGACGGACAGAGTGGAGGCTAAAAGGATCTATGCAGCATCAGTTAAAGGCACAATATCAGGGGACTAAAGAAGCGGGCCGCTGCAGCAGTTAAGAGGACAAAGAAGGGGCCGGCTGAGGAGAAAAGCATCTAGCACATCTAAAAAAAGAGGAGGCAAAGCAGGATGTAAGGACTCCCTCATGCTAACCTCATTCAACATCTAAGAATGTGGAAATCAGCAATAAGCAGGGGGGGAGGGGGGTTGCATGTGCTTTGCAGCAGCATAGCACAAGGAGCGGGAGAAATTGAATGGAGCACTTTTCCAGTTCATAAAGTAACCGTCAGTGAGTGCAAAGATACAAGAACCATCATCTCATTCATTCATGAAGCTAATATTAAACACAAAAGACCTGATTCACTTCAGAAGAGTAGCTGTATGACCTGATAAGAAGTCATACTGGTTCAATTTGCTTAACCGATTTCTATCATGACAGTAAAATAATCTGCTTGTAGTTTAACCTCTCTCACTCTTTTAAAATTCAGTTAGTCTAGTCCCTTAAAATGTATGCATGTTTATGATCAAACCCCTCTAAAATGACCTAATCCCCACCTAGAAGAAATTCAGTAATGCAGGTTTAATCTATTTCATGGCATAAACATGAAATTTCAAAGGTTGTTGGAGTCACAACAGAAGTCATCAACAGAGTAGACTCTTGTGTGATGCTTTTTTCACTCCTTCGTTGTAGGATTTGATCTCTCTTTACCTCCTCTTCTCTTCTTCAGTCATGTGTAATGTTGTAAAGGAAAGAAAAATGAAAGAGTCACGCTCCTGTAATAACAGGGGGACTTTTCATTGGATATGACTTTTGCTTAAAAGTTATGGAAATGTAAGAACAGCAACACAAAGTTCATGACAGGAATGTGTCTAAAATAAAAGCTGTCTTTTATTTAAACCAAAGGCATGCCTGGCAGTGAGAAAACAATGCGGTGACACTACTCTTCTGTTTCTCCCTCCCTGCCCTCTCATGAGGTTAATGAGCTCTAGACATTGAAATGAAAATGTATGACTATCACATTCTGAATTTGCCTACGATGATGACATAATAGACAAAGTCAGAAGGAACGAGAGGCCATGGGTTTAAATGTAAGATAAGGCGTACCTTATCTTACATTTAAAAATGGCTGATGGTGACCAACCTGTGGTTTACTCATCTAAGTAGTACTTTATCTAACCTGAGCACTGGTTTAAGAGGTTACATCTCAGTGCCGACATGTCAGAGACATTGAATAAAGGGTTAAACAGCCAAAGGTTTGCTGCCTTCAGTTGTTTACACCCTCCCTGTGCTGCAGATCATTTCATGTCTCCATGGAGACGCAACATCACTGACGGTTTACTTAATGAGGGGGAAACATGTTTACTTACGTATGCACTGAATATGAATATATTCCTATCTCTAATGTTACCATTACCAAAGCCGTTATTGTGATGTCACTACTACAACAGCCCACTTTAATATAAAAAAACCAAAATGCTTTGGCACCCACACGGATACAGTTGAAACACTCTTTGTGAATCGACTGTTTCAACATGTAGTGAGTGGATGGAAAGCAACGCAAAATAAAATAATTCTACCCTCCCAGGACAGATTGCAACAATGGACACCTTGACCTTGAGTGGCAGAAATCTTGAGGTGAAACACTTAAAACCTGCTTGAGAGTGTACCATAATAGTAGTGACCACAATTGTTCGGTTTTCCACAGAAGAGGACTCGTTGGTGACCTGCTGATCCATAATATAAACAAACTTTTCGTACTCATTCCAGTAGCCGATCTGAAAATGACACAGAGAGTTCAGAGTTATTTCAGGAAGCCACAGAGAGACGTCTTTTACAGATAGAGCTCCCAAGAATGTACATATTGGTCAGCTCTATCTGTGCAGCAGGAGAAAATTGTTGGTTTAGCCTGATGTGGATCTATTAACAAGCTTGTAGTTGTACTTCCTACTTCACCTGGGCCTCACTTCAGCAGAGTAGGCGGGAGCTATTCCTGGCTCTGCAAATGCTCTCTTACATAACAAGAAAGCAGCACCAACAAGAGCCCTCGAAGACTGATAAAATTAAAACTAACAGGACAAATAATAGTCTGAATGTGCCTCACTGTTGTGCTGCTCTACTAATACTAACCACACAGATCAAAAACAGTCTAATCTAACACGAAAACAAACACTGTATCGTATCTACTCAACCTAAGATAACTCCAGTAACGTCTTCCAGTCTATTTCTGTTCAGTTCTTCAGATCTATTCAGCCAAGAGGAAGTTAACATCTCCCCGTTCTGAAGCACGGTACTCACTCTGTTGTCTCAGCGGGTATTTGCATGTGCGAAGCCGCTGTCATGTATGTTGCCCTGTGAGCAGATCTATGTGGACAGTATGGGGCCATATCCTTTGGGGGCCATCTTTTGTGAGGACCATGTCAGAGTTCAGGGTCATGGAGCAAGCCGAGCCAAAGAGAGTTGGATGTATATACTGTATGTGTCAAAGTGTGTGTAGTGTGTGTGTAAACCGTGCTTCTCTAATTTGCATTCCCAATTATAGAAACCTCATCACAGCAAAGCACTTAGAGTATATGAGGTTGCAGTTATACCCTTGTTATCCAAAAACAAACAAATGTTTAAGTCCAAATGAAACCAGAAAAGGTATCCACTCCTCTTTTAAAGGATTACTGTCAAAGTCATTTCTTACTTTAGCACATGTAGTCTCTTTATTAAAAAAAATTGAGTTTGAAAGAAGCTTTCAGGCCCTCGAGAAGACCGGTTGGTGTTGTGTTAATAAGCAAGATTTGCTCTGGTAAACAAGCTAATAAAAGGATGGACAGTGTTTTGTTAGCTTTATTGAGGAAGAGGCCTCTTTCAGGATCTAAGCTAACCGACATTGACAAGCTCTACGGCTGTCAGGCTAACTCACTAAGTGGCTTTTTCTGAGCCAGTGCACTTCTTCCCTTGTTGACGTCTGTTAGCTCACTCGCTTAACAAGAAGAGGCGCTGGCTGAGACGTGGACATACTCGCAGAGTAAATGGACACACTGTTGCGAGAAGCTAATGTGTGCTTCAGCCGACATGTTTAGCTCTCTTTTTAGTGTGACGCTGAATTGTGTTAAAATGAAGTGTCACATTAAATGTTTCTTGTATGGTTAATGACCAATAACCAATTTTATGCTCTCTGAATACTTATTCCCTCCTAAGAAGCAAAATAAATGTAATTAACAGAGCAAGTGTCTTTGCTGTAGCATGCTAATTTATTCCAGGAAGCTTTGATGACAAAAAGTCAAATTAACACAGCTATTACAAGAGCTGATAACCTGCAAGTAGCTTCATTTTGGTGAGATTAAATCGAGACTTTGACTGTGTTGAAGATGTCAGGAATTCTTTGGGGACGATGCTGAAAACTTGAGCAGTTAAATTCAAATGAGCATTACAAAATTCAGAAATATAAACAGCATTTAACCTTGCAAAGTCAGCCCACACGTTCCAAAGAACTTGTTCCCTGTTATCATTTGCATTTCTAAGACACCTGTTTGAACTAATATACCTCTCAGACTGGGGCCAATGGCTTTTACAATCAGTCTCTCTAAGTTGGAAGTAAACACTGAATCTATTTGAGACCAGCCCTCCTTTAAATTGTTGTCCATAATCTGTGTTTTAACAATTCAGAGGCAGTAAATATGCTGCTCATGCCATGTTTTGAATGTTAAGTAGCCTTTCATCTGTTGCAAAGTCTCAGCCTTTCATTATCTAAATAAACACCTCTTAAAACTTTAAAGATACAGCTTCATACAGATTTAAGTCTACTGGCTGATTTCCAAAATGTAAATGGTGTGGGCCAACTTTGTAAGTTTATGTCAAAACCAGAATCTAACCGTAGTACTGCTACACAGACAGCATAAAATACATTTCCCAGAGCTACTTTAATTCTGTTTATCTGTTTTCAATGAGCTTAATCTGTATCTATATAAATAAATAAAAACATACAGAGTTAATATCGATATCATATGCTGATCCTGCTTGGAGTATTGAATCACATGTTAATTCAATTATGATAGATGTTTCTGAGGTTCACTTACCCTCCTGGGGCCTCCAGACTTCATCTCGTACACATCAATTGTGTAATTAGATCGCCGACCAAACGTGTCGAACTGGATGTTTCCTGTCATACCCTGTACGGCAACCTGTCAGGGACAAAAAGGAAGATAATAACAACTGTACTCACATACAGGAGGTCAGAAAACTACAGAAAACAGTCACAACATAATCTCTCTAATTTATAGGATTTCCTTAGTGTTGTCTGTGGAGTACATATCTACTTCTTCATCAGGTGAGAGTCTAGTTTTGTACAAACCAGCCCTAATGTTGTGCTGGAAAAAGTCTAACAGTTGTGAGGAATATTGGTGATAGTGACAGTATTTTACAGCGGGTGATTTCACAGAGATGTCTAAGTTACTACATGAAATATATATTGCAGCCGATTACGTGATGTAGCAGAAATCTGATGCAAAGTGTAAGCTTTAACAGTGAAGTCAATTCATATATTTCTGTTAACTATTACAGGTGACTGTATTTAAGTTATGCTAAAAAAATGTGTTTATAGAATTCATACAGAGAACTTTTCACAAATTGTTGACAGGTTCATATTTACATATTTATGAATTTAAATGTTTTTTTCTCTGCAGCTGTTTGTGAGGGTTAGCAGATTATGCAAAATGTGTTTCTGAGGTTCAGTTACATTTATTTTGAGGTCCTAGCCTCTGATTGATAAGTGCTGTGACATGTGATTTGGGTTGTCCAGGATGTTATGTTTTTATGTTATGTTGTGGGGATAACAAGATGGCTGAAGAGTAAAAGTGCTGGTATGAAAGTTATCCGTCTCCATCCTGCTGTTTCTCATCATTAGAATTATCCAACCACCTTACATCGAACCTTCACGTTACACTAAGCATTGAAAAACAAATTTCTTCTTTCACAAACAGCAAGCATCAAAATACAACAAGTAAAAACAACTGAAACAAAACATTAAAGTAATCACAATACAATAAAAACAAGAATAAAAAAAAACAGCACAGGAGTTGGGAAAAGGACAAATTTGGTGCAGATTGAAGGGAGGATACAGACTCTGCTAATTTGAGATCCTCTGGCAGGAAGCTCCAGAGCTTAGGGGCTTGAACAGCCTGATCACCTTTCGACACCAGCCAAGATTTAGGAGGAACCACAAAAAACCTACCAGAGGATCTCAAACAGCAATCTGGCGTATAAAGTTCAAAAGCTCACAAAGGTTGGGTGGTGCCTGATCATGCAGCCCTTTAAAACAAGCAATCAGATCTTAAAATCAATTCTATTACCAACTGGTGATAGTAATAGAAAGTAAATTCTCTGTTTTCTTTAAGAGAAAATCTTAAAGAAAACAGGGAAGGAAAAAATACACCAAGTCCATTTTTAATCAGTTAAGACAGACTCACACAAGTGTCACAGACGCTAAAACAAAGACAGCACATAGAACAAAAAAGAGGGTAAATAAGGAGGAGGAGGTTAACGCACTTTTTTTCCTACCATTTTGAGGGCTCTCTCTATGTCGATGCCTTGGCTCCAGGGCACCGCGGGGTTGGCAAGGCAATCGCCTGCACTACCCCTGCGAGACACATCTACCCGTTGTCGCCGCAGATACCGGAAGGCCTCCGCAATCACGAGGATGGCATCGTGGGTCAGCGCTGATGTGTACTGAGAGTAAAAGGCAACAAGAAACCCCCAGTGACACGGCAGTGACATCACACAGACCCATGATGCACTGCTGCTACAGCAAGGTTATCATGACTGCAGCAGTGTTTACAGAGAGCAAGTAGGATATTTCTGCAGCAGCGCCGCCGTAGAACAAACTGAGTAAATAAAAGCCTCACATTATGATTGACGCAGAAATAAAAGAAGACAAGCATGAGGACATTTTTCGAGCACTGAAGAGACTCGGACTGACAGATTGTCTGTGGTAGAAGGCAGTGCCATTACCTCAACACCTGAAAGCAAGAGAGTGGAGGTATGTTTGAGAAAAAGTCAAATCAGAGGTTCGTGCAGCGTCACCAGCTCGCCTCACTGACCTTTAGTGGAGTGTTTTTGGCTTCTGGGAATTCTCTTTCATCCAGGCGTTCCCAGCGCTGGAGGAACTGCTGGACGATGGGGCTGTCCGGATTGATAATCTGGAAGCCAGTGATGTTGGCTCCACCAGAAAACACCCGGTCCAGGCTCATGTTGGAGAATCCCTGGGAGGAAAAAGAGCACAAGAGTGCAGCATTACTAAACTGCTTCTCTCTTTATCGCTTCTATCAGTTATCAAATCATAATTACAGATTAAGAAGTTTGACAATTCTACTCGGTGTTGCATTTCTTTGCAGTTCATTGCATCACATGGTGTAGATGCTGGTTGTTGTGCTGAGTTAGTGTGAGCTCTCACCAGGTTGGCAAGGATGTAGTGGTATCCTCTGGTGTTCTTTCCTGAGGTCACCACCTACAAGACGCAGGAGGAGAAGCACGGTGAGTCACACTCTCGTCTCATAACACCGAGAACATTTAGAAATGACAAAGACCCTCCATTTCATCGCACCCGGGTGCTTGATGGGGAAAGACAGAGAGACAAAAAAAGGGGAAAAAAGCAGGAAAGGAAGGATGTTTTGGAGCGACATTTGCAAGGGCAAGAGGGGGCGTGTGAGAACATTTGTACTTTTTTGAGTGTGTTTGTATAAGACGGAGAGAGAGAGAGAGGGATGGGGAGGGGGGCTGCAATGACAGCGCTTGTTCCTTTCCATTTACTTCAACATGTTAAATAAGGTCATGGCTCTGGCAAACCTCTCTTCCTCTCTATCTCTCCTTGTCTGCCCATCTCAGGAGCAAACTCATCTTAATTAAACCCCAAAATTCTTCTTCACCTGTCTGAGGGAGCAGAAACCGTAGTCGCTGATTTCTTTTAACTTCTCCTTCACACCAACCAAACCTCCTCCCCTCTTTTTCACTGATTCTCTCTTTCACTCTCTCACTCTCTCTCTCAGTTCTGTATCTCCACCGCAGAGTATGAAGCTTCAAAAAGATACTGAGGGGGTGGATAGTTTTTTTCTTTTTTTCCCTGTCTTTTCACTTTCTACACTCCTACACAGTGTTGATAAGTATACTCAGGCACCGAAATCATCTAAATGTTAAATGTCCAGAGTGAAAGTGATATCATGTTGGAGGGATTTGTGGAGGATGTGGATGCAGATGAATATTTTACACCTAAACACAGATATGCATCACTGTGGCATTTTCCATATTCTCTTTTATTTCATAGCTGTTCAGTTTCTGTCTCTCAGCTGTGCCTTTATCCACACCTGTGCACATTTATACTCTCTGTATACTCCTGCCACCCTCCTAATTGTCTCCAGAGCGGGATCGTCCTTGATGCTCCAAGGGTGACCCTCTGACTGACTAATCCACTCTGAGAAATTCCAACAATAAATCCAATTACTTTCTCTGCAAATGCAAAAGCAATACCATTGTGTTTGACATTTTGCACCCTTCACTCTGGCTCCCTGCACAACACGTTGTGCATCTTTCCCCACAATAAAAAAAAAAAAACATGTAAAGCTTGTGTGCTTACTGCGTTCCATATTGTCTTTGAAAGGCGTTTCTCTTGCTTTTATTCCCTAACCCTAGTGTTAACAAAAAAAAGAGCTGGAACTTGAAGCTCCAGCACCCAGAGAGACTGGCTGCATCGCCAGTTTGTCACCAACACAATCCAGCAGGAAGCTCAAGACTTCACACTCTTATATCAGCATCCAAAAGTGACACATCAACTGCTGTTTGTAGCTGAAACCTCATTTAGCTGCAAGAAAATAATCAGCTGTAAACATTTATTGCTTACTGTAGCTCTGAGGCACACACAAACAAATAATCTTGAAGTGTTTCGATTACTTCTGGCTGTCTACAGCAATTTAAAAATGATCTTGAATTACTTTAAGTACTCTGAGGAAAGTCCAAACCATAATAAATCTTTCTTGTTTATTAAACTGCAGCTTAGAGTTTCATGTGGTGAGTTTCTGCAGGCTTGACTGAAACATTTGAAACATTTTATCCCCAAAATGTGAGACTTGATATAAAGCTGTGATGTAAAGCAAACGCTGTTAAGCGTCCAAATGCCTCAAAGCCATTCACTGTTTATTTTATTTACTTTCATGCACATTTCACAGGGAGATTTACCACTCAGCTTTTGTGTCAGATATTTCCTTTCAAGACAACCTGAAAGTGTTTTGACTTGCATGAAAAGAAAGAAAATCCCCTGGCAGCTGCATCGGTAGTCATCAAGTTGGCAGCGAGCACAGAGGCTGACAACTCTTCTAAAGTTGAGAAATCTGGCCGGATATTCAGCACAGGGATGATTCTGAGAGAGGGCTGCTGTTTGAGGTTTTTGTGTTCACACTATCAATCGGTTAGCAAACACCAAACTGAAAACTGTACCAACTGTGGTGTAGCTGCCATGAATGAAACATAGTGAAACCAATTTACTCCTCATAGATGGGAAAAAATGAAAACAGATCATTAAATGTTCTTTTTACGACAAAAAAAATCAGTTTTCTTAATATTTAAATCTATTTTAATGGGACAATCACAGCTGTATGAAACCCTCAGACTCATGACTCCTGTAAGTATAACATCCCTGTAGGTTATGTTTGCGATATCCTATTTCATTGACATTCCAGTTTTAGTGTCATTTGTAGCTTACGGTAACACTTTATTTGACGCCTAGCTCTATAACACATTATAAATATATGTATAATTCGTTATAATCACGTTATAGTGTTAACAACGGTTTCATTGCATTATCTGTGTGTGGTTATTATCAGTGAGTTGTTAAGAGTTATAACACATTATAATAACTGACCTTGTAAGTCATGATAAAATGCTTTATAATGTGTTATTATTATGGCTACAGAGCATTATGATCATTCATGAGTGTTTGTAACTATAGTTATACAGTGCTATAACGTGATTATAACACATTATACATATATTAAAAATGCCTTATAGAGATAGGTGTCAAATAAAGTGTTACCTAATTTATATTTCTTTGTAAAAATTTTAGCGGTGATAGTGAAAATATTCATTAAAACCCAAGAAATTCATCATTTGTCATAATCCAAATGAAATTAACTAGATTTGGAGCAAAAGTGCATTATCAATTGTTGTATGTTTGACATAAGATGGAAAATATGATGCACTGGTAACAACAGGCTGTATTTTGGCACCAAAGATTTGATTTCAAGATAAATATCAAAGCAGGGGTTTGAACGGGGACCACTGCGTCTTTGCTGGTTACGCAATACAACATCACGCACTCGGTGTGATGTGTTTGTAATCAATTAATCAATCCATCTTTCGTATTTACATGGTGCCATCATAACAAAGTTTTAGCAGCACACTTTACAAAGAGCAGGTCCAGATTGTACCCTTTGTTATATTACTTACAAAGACCCAACATTATTCAACAATGAGCAAAGACTTGGCAACAGTTGAAAGGAATAATCACCTTTAACAGACAGAAACCATCTGCCACTAATCGATGTAACCTGCATGAAAAGCAGTCAGCTTTTATAAGGAACCAACAGTGACAAACAGCTTTATCTCATAGAGGACTGAAACCCCAGACTTGTAGATGAAAGTTCCTGCCGTCCTTTACAGACTCCCTCCAATACTCTTCATGCAGAGTTTCAGACATCACGACAGCGATCTAGAGGACACCTTTAAAGTGCGACCAAACAGGGTTACAGAGGGTACAGCGTCATACTGTTGCATTGTTGGCCAGTGACCAAACTGCCTCATTTGATGACTTGAAAAGTGAGAACAGGCAGCACAAGCATAGAGCACTGTTGTTGCCCATGAGTAATCTATGACGGGGATCAGCATGAAGGTGTCAGAAACTGCTGCTGCACTAAATTCTTAAGGTTGCTGAATCATTACCAATGCTATCTGCAGAGTCACTCTGGCTTGATGTAAATGTTCATAGGGTTTACATCCCACTGAGCAATAGACGGCTATTAGACATCTAGTTTTATTTTAGACCAAATTTCAACCATCTAGATTCTGTATATTTTTAGACAGAATTTAGACGTTGCACTTTAACCGATTATTCGATATCTATTTATTTCAAAAAGCAACTGTGAATTGCATAACTGATCTCCAAGTTCTTAACCAAAATAATCATGATAGCTGTTGAGCAATATACAGTGTAGTATAGATATAGACCAGATGTAGACTTGATCTAAACTTGGACGTCTAAAAAACGTTCATTTTTAGACATGTGGTAGCCTGATTTTTGACCAGTTGACTAGGCTACATTTGGACGTCTATTAGACCTCTTTTAGACCAAAAAATACTCAGTGGGATGAGGTAGAAATCTTCCGTTCTGAAAACCAAAAAAAGAGAAGTCGTAGTTTTTTGCATAAGAATTGGTGCTGAAAGATGTTTTTTAACCTTGACAAATGGAGGATCATACTCATCATGCATCACATGACCTTTGGTTTTTGACCTTGAAGGCCACTAGATATGACTAAATATTCCCACGTCTATGCTCTGAACCTTTAACATGTCATTACTTTCAACAAAACATTACATCTTGGAGTTTGACAGGAGTTAAAGCAGTAATACTTCAATTAATAATATAGGCAAAACTATTCATTTTTTAACTCATGCTTGCGCTGCTCTGTTTACAAAGACACTTTCATCTGTCCATTTTTTCATATTCCCTAAATGAGGACTACACTACACACATTCTTTAAAACATCTTTTCTTTGGTTTGCTGTGGGATTTGCTTCATCCCTCTGTTAGCACTGCTGGTCTGAAAAAAGGATCTGAGCATAACAAATATTTTTAGGATCCTGATGCTCCAGTTTCACGCTCCCCTGGGATAATCGCTTTTTGCGAGCATGTGAAACCAGCAGGAACCAGGAAGAGGTCAGGCACTACCATCACAGAGAGAAAGACACTCACAAAGACCTCATATCTTCCTCCATGTCGAAATTTGTTCCTCAAAAACAGCTTCTTTGAATGACTTTAGGGAAAAGATGACCCACAGCCTGTGAGGTTAAAACAACCAGCATTTTGATATACTACCTGCTGAATTTTTAATATTCAAAGGGGTTGTCATGGCGCCGTGACCTGATAACCCTTTTTTTTAACCGTTAATTTTCTCAATTGGCATCAGCCCAGAGCTAGTGGAGGCCAACCATGAGGGCTGAATCATAGGGCTGGAATCTCCTTCCTCTTTATTTTCATTCTGTACTTGTATATATTTGGTTTTCTCATTAAAAAAAATCATGCTGCTCCTGTGGTCTTTAAATATACCACTTTTTTTAAGTAATTGATATGTAAACAAAGACTGTTTTAACAGCATGTGCAACATCTGAAAACTATCCCATATGTCGGACATATGGAGGTCTGTTTTGAGTGCTGTCTAGACTGCTTGATTCTGGAGTAGCTGGGACATCAAGGGACTAAAGAAAGGTGGTTCTTTTAAATGTGCTATAGAAATAAAGTTGATTGATTGATTGATTGAAGTTGGTGTTTGATGGTGTGAACTGTGTACATGGTGTATGTAGACCTATTTTGATGTTATATGTGGAGATTGTGTAGTGCTGCTGACTGGGAGCTGTCTTGTATTGTCCATGTGTTGTTGTGTTGTGTATCTGTTTGTATTTGTCTTATGTTTGAGCAGGGATTGTGTTGTATGTGATTTTTTTTCTCGCATTGATATATTGTAAGGTTGTTTAATGGACCCCAGGAGGAATAGCTTTGGCATTGCCATGGCTAATAGGGATCCAAATAAATCAAATCAAATTCTGTGGTTGAAGTTTCATTCTGCTTCAAAACCAGCTGAAAAGTCCCAAAGGGGGCTTTCAGGGGCTCTGATAAGTTTTCTTCACATCAACAAATGCACAAATAGTAAAATCACATGCTAGACATTCAGTGTGACAGCAGGTAACACACCAAAGTATGCAGTCAAAAGCTTGCAAAGATGAAGTAAAATATAAACCAGCAAACAAAAGTTGTAGAAAGTGCAAATTTTGAAACATTCAAGAGATGATTTGTTAATTATTTATGACGGAGAAAGAACACGCAACAACTTTGTTATTTCTCAAGGCATGCATAATTTGTGTTGTGAGTAACACTGGGATTGAAAATAATCACCAAACGATGAATATCTGAGTGAATAATGACAGTCAGAATGGGCTGCTGCTTACATGCAGTGTGTGTATCTTCATATACACAGTTTTTTATGACATGGTTTAAGCTTTGGCTTTATATAACCGCAAATAAATGCTGATACATAGCTAACTCTCTGGAAAAAAGCTTAGAGCCTCTGAACTAAAACTAGTCAAATTATAAAGCCAATACTGAGGTTCTGCTGTTTCTGAGTGACGCTGAGACTCTGCAGTTAAAAATAAAACCCAGCTCTTTATGTCCCAGCCCCCGCCAGTTCAACACAATCAAATGAATCATAGACAGATAAACCCAGCACTCAAACTCATGTTACAGCTACACATTGGTGTTCACCCTGTGGGAAGGAGAAAAGCAGAAATATGTGGCCAACTCCTTGTGCTGTGAAGGAGACAACCCGTGAATCCAGGACTCAGACACAGAGGGACACAGAGACAGAGGCTGTCTCTTTATCTGACCATCCCCTGTGCTCCTTCTGCTCGCCTGTCTGGATGAGCTGGTCTGTACTTTACTGTTTGAGCTGCAGGACGATCAGCCTAAATATTCCTCAGGGGATGGACTCTAATTAAGCAGACTGGAGCCACAGTCCTGTGCAGAGCTGGATGTCTGCCCGAATGCCTTCAAGAGGATTTGACTCTCTTCCCGCTGATGGAGGCTTCTCTTTGTTACACTGATTTGTCACGTGCCATCCTCAGAAGTGGAACGGACATCCTAAGGTTGATAACTGTCCCCTTTCACCAGTTTACTCATTACTGTTACTCTTCTCCAAACAGGGCAAAATGTGAGCGGGGATTTCACTTTCAGAGAGACATTAGACAAAAAAATACAACAGAGGAAAACTTTGACAGTAAATCAGTCACAGATTGTTCCAAATGCCCCATTTTCCACAAATTGTAGTTGTGGCTCATCATGTGACCACACAGTCTGTCTGAACAAATGATTCACTTTGACTATTTGGAAACCTTTAAAATGCTGCATGTCTCTGCTCTTTTCCAATATTTGTAAGCGGTACATTGTTCTGTTTATATTGTTATACCGTAAAAAGCATCACCCTCATCTTCAACTGAATTTTTCACTCCAGTAAAAGCTCTTAAAGTATAAATATTCACCTGCTTTCTTCCTGGAACAGTTTGCAGTCTGATGCTTTAAGAGTCTGTTTCTTTTGCCTGCAGAAACCATCAGCTTCACACTTCAAATCCTCGTAAAGTCTTCTTATTGAATGCCAATTTTGTCTAAACCAAAATGTGTATAAAGTTGTTATGTCCTCAGTATCCCTGTTGCAGTTGTGCATCTGCCAACCCTCCCGTGTTTGATGTTGTTTATCCATTTCTGGTTGCTTACACTTCTCAAGCGTCTCTTGTGGATGCCCAGATTACAAAGAAGTGAGTTTTTAACAGCTTTTGTTTTCTCTTTTATCAGAAGCCATGTTTTTCTCATGTTTATGGAAGTTTAAGAAAAGGGAGATTAAGGTATGTGCACACATAGTGGTCCTGTTGTTCTGGTTGATTTGAATACATTTGCACTTGCATTTATGTTGTATTTCTTTTATTTGTAATTCAAGGCTAGGTTTTATTAGAACAAAGAGAGAGAGGTAAACTCAAAATGGCAACTGATCATAAGTTAGCTGCAATATTCCCACTCATCTACTTTTATTCATGACTTCAGAGAGGCCTGAGATGAGTTCATTTAAGTTGTGTCTGCCTGTTTGGCTATTATTAAGATCGATAGTATTTTCTCTTGTGCATTTTCTCTTTTTTTTTGTTTCATGGCTCCTCTGTGGTGATCCAATCTTTCTTTCCTCTCTGCACTTTTATTGTTTGATTAGAGCTTTGGTGTGATTCTAAAATATGTTCAATCTGTGAATTATCATATTTGTGTTTCAGAGTTGCTGTATTCTTTATTAAAAGCCTGTATCTTAACACAGGAGAAGGCATGTGTGTATCACAGGTCTGTGGTTTTGGCTTGCTTTACTCGTCTGTACTGTTGCTACTGTCTGTTGGCACCTGGCATGTACTGACCTAACTCATGATGTTGCACAGGCGCTGAGAGCATGCATGCGTGAGAAATCCTGTGAAGGTTTCTTCACAACTACAGGCATACATATTTTTCTTATAGAACAAACAATATGCTCACTTCATATATTTAGTTAACTTCCTTTTTTTTGTTGTTTCATATCAAATGTGTCCTCCTCTCTTGTCGAAGGAAACCTTTTCTGGAGCTAAGACCAAACACACAAAAAACACTTGTGAATGCAGCAGCTCCTGTCGCTGCTAGTAATAACAGAAATAAACCTTTTACAAAAATCAAACCTACATGACAACCGTACATTAGATCAGTGGTTCTCAACTGGTGGGTTCCTGACCCAAAAGTGGGTCATGGACATGTTCTGGATGGGTCAAAAACAGCTGGTCGAAAAAATAAATTTTTAATGCGCATCTGATATTTGACATGTCTGTTAATTTGAAAAATATCTTATTTTGCCCAATTTAATATTTATTTGATATTTTCTGTATATCGTTATTTTTTGACGAAAATGAGTTTTTGGCCTAAATCATCTCTTGATAATGCTTGATCATGATCCTTTTAACTAAGCATATAGCCGATTTTACCAGCGATGGCCAGCATTAACGAAAGATGATTTAGGCCAAAAACTCATTTTCGTCAAAAAAAACAATGACTTAAGCCATTATCTTAACAGGGTGACGATATGCAACTTAAGTAGTTGTCGTCTTCAGTTCATGTGCTCTGAAATGCACTCGATAAAACGTGTGTATTTGTGTTAAAGATTTGAGTCTTAATATATATATATATATATTTAATAGAAATTAAATTTGCTTGGTTTGACTTCTATAAAAGTGGGTTGTGACTTTAGGACCATGGGAAAATGTGGGTCCCAGAGTGAGACCAGTTCAGAACCACTGCATTAGATGACTTAAACTAAACCCTTATAGTGTTTCTGTTAGTTTCATCAGATAACCTTAGCACATGAGCAATTAGACTGCAAGCTATTTGCATGTTGTTAGCTAGGTTTAGCCTAACACAGCTGCTAACATGTCTCTAAACTCTACGTCTTGCTGAAAAAAAACTGTCATGACTGTTTTAAGTTCATTTTATTGGGCCTTTGAGAGACCGACGCCATGCGACATAAGGCTAAGGGTGGGAGTTACACATGGCCTGCCACTTATTAGACACAATTCACCTGCCTGGTCAAGATAGTGTCCTAAAAATGCACAATATTTTAGGATGAAACATTGGATAAGAGTGGTCCTTTCTTGGTAAAGCTGTTGAAATCCATGTATTTGCAGAGCAGTAGTCCAAAAACAAATAACAGAGTTAATAGCATCCACACAGATGTAATCTCATCCCATTGCAGGATCTTGTTTCCCTCGACTTTTTGCTCAGAGTGGAATTCCAGAGCACCCCTGGGTGTTCAGCTTTCCTCGTATTTCCTCCCTCCACAGAATGAGACAGGGAGACTCACTCTACACGGCTCAATTCCCACAAGCTCTCAGCCTCTCTTTCTGACTCTTTCTCTCTCTGTCTGTCTGCCCACTGTGCAGAGGGAGGCTGGAGGTGACTGATCCTCTGGAAGAGATTATAAATCCTCTGTGCTTTTATAATTGATGAAAAGCCTTAAAGGTGTTTATCACTCTGTCTTTATTTAACTGAAGAGATGAACACACTGATATTTTCTGAGGTGGTTAGAGAGCCAGCTGGGGAGAGAGAGAAAACCCACGGCACATTTATCAACAAATAAATGCCTTGTTACAAGTGAGGCTACCTTTATGATGAAATAATTAGCTCAAAATGAATGATAGCTGCCTGTATTTGTCTTCAGTATAATGATTTTATAATGATTGTGGTGTTTATGAGGTCATATTAGACACTGGTTAAAAATCAAATCATGTCAGGAATGGTTACGTCCTGACGCCTGAGTGATCTCACTAGTGTTTGCTCACTCCTGCCTTTGTGCGAGATCTTCCCTCGGGCTAGGAGGGTAGGCTATTTATAGTAGGCTCATTGTTGTTGCTGTTATGGGACAGTGTGTCCTACTTACACAGGGAGCTGATTTTACATTAAAGCAAGTGTTAATGTCACAGCTCATGTAAGGAAGTGCTCTCTTGAGACAGAGACGAGTCCTGCTGCTCTGGAGCATCTGGAGAGACACTTGTCTGACAGATGCTGCATTCAAGGCCACCATTCATAGAAATTTTTCAGTAACAACATTAAAATCCAGATGGCCTCACATATGACACCAAGTGACAGATATTATCTGATTGGATAACAGAAACCTAACACGGAGGCAGTTTGAGAACATTTGGTGTATCGGTGTGAAGGACAGAGATAAGCAAACTTCTGCTAATTAATGTAGATGTCCTGTGCTGTCACTAAAAACATTCCCCTGTGTCGAAGGAAATTAAGACGGATCTGCTGTGAAGGTCAGAGTAAAACTCACAAGGCGAGGAATAATGAAGATCATTACGCAGAGGGCAGAAGCCTGTACACGCAGATATCTCAGCTGAGGACAGAAGGTTAAGATGTGCTGGGATTAATGATAAAATAAGCATTCACACACACACTAACACACACTAACACACACACAGAAAGCTTACAACATTTGTGGAATGAAAGACTCTTCCAGTGTGTTTTCAGGGTACAGAAACAAGCCAAACTGAAATGGTCTTCATGTTTAAGCTGTTATATCACACACACACACACAAACATATATATATATATACATATATTTATACATCAGCAAGATCTGTCTTAGTGATCAGAGGAAAAGACCTTAAAGATGTACCTCTTTAGGAGCAAGGGCTGACACGTGTTATTACCTGCATGTGTGTTTACACGCTTGATCTTTTTAGGTCCTGCAGGACAGGAGCCGCTGTTTAAAAATATACCACAAATCTTTGTTTTTTCCTTCCCTTAAATACAATCAATAGCAGTGGGGCATGTTAAGGCTCCTGAGAGGAACTTTTCGTTTATGTCTGTTTGGAGAATTTTCTTTAGCCAATCCTGCCTTTAGGGTGGTGGAGCTCTGTAACTCAGATACCATTACCCAGGTTCCCAATATATGTTGTGTTATGGTATTCCCCTATATGGGCTCTCTATATTTTCAACTAAGGCTCCTTATAATATGTTGTCATTGTTCTTACCCTACCTGGACTCTCCTTCAGGTCAACTAAATGCCAGCAGAATGTTCGGAAACATGAATGACTAAATATACCTGAACAGTCTCAAACCTTTTTTACACTTGTGGCATGCTGAAGCTGTAACCCAGATCTGCACCCAGTAAAGCTTGTCAAACTGATCATTCATGTGGACCTCCCATTCTTTCAAGTGTGAACCTGGGCTAGGCATCCTTACAATGTCTGTTTTGGTGCCCCCTGTGGACAAAGGGGTACCACTCACCTCTAGTCCTACTCTTACAAAAAGGTAATCTTTCAGGCAAATATGTCATCCAGATGTCTTTTAACAGTGAAATGTTTTTTTCAGTATTTGCCTTGTGAAAAGTAAAATAAAGCTTTTTCTTCAGCTTGCTGTCAATCAATTGGTCCAACACCTACCTCCTCTGCAGAGGTTTCAGGCACGGAAACTTCCAACTGAAAACTTTTTGCAGTACTGCCGATGGACTCATTTGCTCTTGAAGGTCAAAAAGAGGCATCAGTGACAGTTTTAGCAAGTTCCTTAACCAGTTAAAAACTCCAAACAGTGCCTTTAAAGAACCACAGAGGACAACTCTGCAATGGCAATGATTGCAACTAAGATGACTCAAGCACTGGGACCAAGATATTCAGTTAGTCAGTAGAGGTGGCTGTAGAACATGAGTTTGGTCCTACCCAAGGTTTCTGCCTGTTGAAAGGAAGCTTTTTCTTGCCACTGTCACTCATTTTAGATGAGATGGGTCAAAATTGTCCCATCTTGAGGTTGGGTCTTGGTAATTGCTCAAACAATGAGCGTGGTCTAGACCTGCTCTTTTCTTTGGAAAGCATCTTGGGATAACGACTTCTGTGATTTGGCACGATATAAATTATATTTGATTGATTGATTAATTAGTTAGCTCTCATTGATAGCAGTGGGTTTTTTGTTTACTTGACACTTGCAGCGATCCCACCACATCAGAACTAGTTAGAAGGTCTTCTCATTTAGGTGAGGGACTGTACATACTGACAGTCCAGGTTCACACAGTCAGGAGTTTGGAAAGAATAAACTGGTAAAAAGGAAGTGTAGCAAACCACTGGCCAAAGGAAAACAGGAAGAAAAATCTGTTATGCTGCATGACCTTTGAGAAAAAGTACCTTTAAAAGTTCATTTGCAAGGCAAAATGTGAACGCTTGTGCAACTTAGCGTCTAGCCCCCTAATGTACACTAATGATCTGCAAAGTAAATTTTCACTTAACCCTCGTTTAATCCTTTTTGGAGGCTAAAGTATTCTCCACAGAGCACGCAACAAACATTAACAAAACACTGAATCTGAAGCAAGACTTGTGGGAAAGCTGTGGCTGAGAATCACCTAGGAAACAAGGGCAACGAGGCTTTTTAAATCCTGCACGTGAATTAAGCCCAGGTGTCATCAGTCAACGTGCTTCACCAAAAACAACAACAAATAACCAAGCTTAATTGAATGTACCAGTCTCGCATGTTTTAACACCGTCTGCTGGAGGAGAATGTGGAGATCTGAAGCAAACATGATGCACTCCAGGTGTTTGGAGAAATAATGAAAAAGAAATGAAAAAGACAGGATCAGAGGAAGCCAGGAGAGTGTCTTATTTCTCAGAGATACAGCTCAAGACACAAAGAAAAGCGAAGTGGGTGTGTTTATGCCTTTAGAAACGATGGAAGATGAAGAGCTGGAGGCTGAGTGCAGTTATTTTCGGAGAAGAGTTTTGTTTTTGGTGTTTCTCTTCTCTGTGGCTGTACTTGGGGTGTTTTTTGGCTCGATACCTGTTCCAGTATTGAGTTGATCCTGTCCACCTCACAGTCGATGAGGAAGCGTTTCTCCTGCCGGCGGTCCATCTCCTCGATGATGCGTCTGTACTCTGTGGGGTCCACAATGTTCCCAACCGATCGAGCTGTCACCTGCCAGTTATTGGCTACAGCTGACTCCATGATGGCCTGCAGGATTGCAAAACCTGGAGGAGCAGAGGGAGATGACCAGATTCATCATGCATTGGAGCAGAAAAATGTTGTGTTCAGAATACAAATAGATAGACAGAGGAGCTGCAGGGGATGAACAGTTAGTTTAGTGTCCTAAAAGCTTTTTAATTACAACCATTAACAATCAGTTCATATATTTGTTTACATCTGTTTGTACTCTATCAGCAGATATGCTGCAGCTTTTGATATCTTATAGTGATTATCTAAAATAAATAAGGACAGAAATGTCAACAGTGCGTGAACAGGACGTTTACACAAGCTAAATGCAACATATCTCAGAGTTTTTCAGAATAAAAAAGATCAGCTGGATATCTGTTTATGTTTCCAAAGTGGCCCCAATTACTTAGAAATACAAACAGACACTGGAGTTATGGAGCTGTGAAAAGAGCTGCTGTGGTATTTTTTAAGTCTGAATTCAGTCCAACATAAAACACAAATCTTAACTTTCTGCTTATAAATCAAAATAAACTCCATGCTCTTAAAATTCAAGTATATTTATCTTTTCCTGCTCAAAGATCTGAGATCAATCCATCATTTTTAGCATCATATCAGAGGCCAAAGAAGAAAATCATATTAGTTAAAGAGTCAAGAGTCAACAGAGTGAATCAAATAATCACAAAAGATCGAGTAAAAGCTGAAACAGACATAAAAGAGACAGAGGGGTTCGGCAGCATGATTGATTAACTCTTTACTTGGATCTTTCTGAGTGTCCCATGCTGCCTCAGCAGTGTGTCACATAAGGTCATCTCAGTTTTCTCCTCTCACTGCCTTGCTGTGAAATTCAAACTGAGTCGACACAAAGCTGAGAGAAAAAGGCACAACAATGAAACATGTGGCAAAAATTCAGCCACATGTGGTGAAGTGGACTGCTGAAGAAGCAGTTTAAGAGTCACGCAACTGACGCCATGCAGGGCTCGCTGTGCCATGAAATGAATGTTTAGCTGTTATGAAATAAAGAAGCTGAGCTAACATTACGGCTGTCATGATAAAGCTGGAGTAGTTTGGTGGTTTATCAGCGTAGTTAGATATAAACGGTCAGCAATCATAAAGAGCCACAAAGGCAGAGAAAGATTTCAGTGACTGATACTAAGAAGAAAACATCAACCTCGTCGAGTGTGTTTGTTTGAAATTAGAGGTTTTTTGAGTGTTTGCCTTTAGGAAAACAAAAAAAAAAAATGTGGCTGGGAAATGAGCAAGAGATAGTTTTCTGATTAACTCCCCCTCAGGCTCACCTTATTATCCAACTTTTATATATCTGCAGTCATATTGCTTGTTCATTACATTTAGTTTCTACAAAGGGTATCATTTCAAGCAGTATTCTAATCCATTAGCGTAATGTTGTTGCAGAGAAATTGGTGATATTATCAGTTAATAAATGGCATCAGTGAACCCTCATAAGTCGTTTTCACAGTCAAAATAAAGTGAAGGTGAGCTGTCTCATTACTGGGATTGTTCCATAAAGCAAGAACCTCCTGCTGAGCCACTGAAGGTTTCATGGAGCTGATTCAACAAAACATCTGTTATGTGAGGACAAAGCCGAGCCATTCTTATACACACCTATACACATCTATACACATGATCTTATTACAGTAACAAAACTTAATCATGGAATTTTAGAAATTGTTTGTTTGGTTTATTTTATTTCATTTTTTTTATAAATGATGCTCTTTTTAAATTAGTCTACTCTTTGTCAAACATCTTCTCTAGGTGGGCTGAAAAATAAAGCATCAAACTTTGAGTTAAACCAGGCGAAAATCTTTTCTGTGGAAATTGAAAAAATAAATCACTGTTTTGGCAGCACACAGTTAATCCTGTTGTCAGACCTACTTTAAAGCAATGGTTTGAAGCATCAAAAACAGCTCTATTGAAATAATCAGTCTTGTCTTACATTTAAGTTCATGAAAAGATGTCAGTACAAAACTTTGTCTGTTTCATAACCATCTAAAAATCCCTCACTGGAGCTTTGATATTACTGCAACTTCTTGCAAGTGACAGCTGATTGTATGTTTAGACTGAGAGACACAACGTATATTCATGAATTTGGATGAAATTGCAGATATTAAAAACAGATCATACAGGAAGCCTTGTGAAAAGGCGACATATTATCAAGTAGAAAATGTTAATAATAGCACAAAAAAGCAGCTCCCAAGAGAGATAATCACATCCTACAGCACACATTTGCATAGTCCCATTATCTAAGAAACAGTACACAGGATATGGTGAGTGGTGCTGAAAATACTCATTACATGCTGTATTGGGCTATTACTAAAAAAAAAAAAAACAAAGCTATGGAACAGACGGCACACTACAGATGACTGGACCAAATGAACAAAAGCGGCATCACACCCTTTTCTCTCTGAACAGGGCGGGAACTGCTGATGCCATAAAATTATGGGGTATTATTAGAGGCGCTGAATAAGCCAGTTTAAAATGTGTTTATGTAAATACAAGTCAGCCGCACAGCCTTTCTAGTGAAAACTGGCACTATATTGGCTTAGTCAAAACATGGTTCAAATTCTGTTTAAAAAGAGTAATGCATAACCATCTCGACAGACCAGACCAGGCTGCTCTTTATTATCACAGCAACCAGAGATAACATCGTCCCAGCATGTATGTTTTTTCAGGGAGAGATGTGAAGCGCTCCTAAATACTTTCGACTGAGCTCAGGCGCATTACACATATGTTATTTGTAAAGGTATAGTTATACAGTCAAAGTCTCATTCAGGCCATGTTCCTGTTCAGCATGCCTTTTTAATATTTAAGTCGCTCATATATTGAACTGTTGAATTTTGTATTGCTTTTAGACCCTCCTGTTTAAGTCTCATCTCCCCCTGGTTGTCATGGTAACTGAGCAGAGTTTGACATTGATAGTCTTTCACTTCTCCTACTGAGAGTCCTCTGCGCTCACCATAGATTGTGATAGAACCACTGTGATATTTCCCAATAGTGTTTAGACCATGAACAGGATAAAACATGGACGTAGTCTCAATGACACCTGAGAGCGCAGAGACAGCAGTAGACACATTGGAAATGCTAAATTATTAACTGGCTTTGACGCCCTGCAAATGGCCAAAACGTAACCTCTTTTCAGTCAAATATACCTTGCTCCATTATGACTCATTATGCCTAACCCTAACCCACAGATGGTAAGAATAGAGAAATAAGGTATACTTGTAGTTGCCACTTTGTGTATACCTGCATTACATAGCCTCTGCAATGGCATTTTGGTCTCCACTGTTTTAAATTCACAACAGGAATTGACTGTATCTTTACACCAAGATTAACTTAATCTATTCTGGAGTAGTTTACTTTTCTGGTGACAAAAAATGGGGTTGGAAAGTTACCCTACATCAAATTGTGTTGGATATACGTGATTTCTTGACACCACAGCTAGCATGGAAGCATTAGGTTTTAATTCAGTTGTAGCCCAAGTTGCTTGTTTAGTTTGTACGAGTGAATGAAAAGTCCTCCATCTGCACCGAAGCAAGTCCTGGAGCTCCTCAAGGTTCAGTACTCGGATTTCTTTTGTTTCACTCTTTATCTTCTTCAACTTGGTAATAATATGATAAAACACTCCAAATATTTTCACTGTTATACAGATGAATCTCAAAATAATCAATGAACCCAGAAGAAACCTTTAAACTGACTAAACACGTGGCTTGCATTACAATCTGGATGATGCAAAGCTTTTTGCTACTTAACTCAGACAAGACTGAAGTTATTATGGCCCCAAGCATCATAGGGAGACATCTCCTACTTATAAAACCACCTTAGGTGGTAGAAATCTGGGAATTTTAGCCAAACAGTACCAACAAATTTCCAAATTTCTCTCTCTCTCTAAGCCCATCACTGTCACAGCAGAGCTCTGTTAAACAGGAGTCTGGTTCTGTTCAAGTTTTCTTTTAAGAGGACTATTTTCTTTGCTTTCTAAATTCTACATGCCAGGTGCTTCACTCATGATGGATTATGAAAGGGTCTTGTCTTATCTTGATGTTCGGTCAATGTAAATAAATTAAATGTTTGTCCTGGACATGCTCCTGTGAAGGGTCTTGAGATAATAATAATAATAAATAATAATGCATCAGATTTTTATAGCGCTTTATCAGAGACCCTCAAAGCGCTTTACATTGGATACATCATACATTATGAAAGGGTCTTGTCTTATCTTGATGTTCGGTCAATGTAAATAAATTAAATGTTTGTCCTGGACATGCTCCTGTGAAGGGTCTTGAGATAACTTTTGTTATGAACTGTTACTGTATACTTACTTATTGACGAACAGAAATGTGGTAAGCTCACTCTGTTTCCTAACATTAGTAATTTTTCATTTCTAAACTTGTCATCCCAGACCAGTGCACAACATAGATCTGGTTAGCTATACCAGAAATCTTTTTACTTTGTTGTCTTCACATACGGTCTTTAGACCTTATCAACCCTGACTAACTAACATCACCAAAGGCAGTTTCTCAGACATTTCCTAAAAGAGCCATAGAAGACTCTTGATCTGTAGGCAGCAGTTCTTTTGCCATGTAAAATTTAAGGGTCCTGGGGAAAACATTACAATAAAACAGATAAGTTTAAGTAACATACACTGGTTATAAACGTGTATATCTGAGTAATAAATTAAAGTAAGACTTATCTGTAAGCTGGTATCAAACCTACCATGAGACCACTAGCAGGGCTGTTACAGAATGGTCTTTTTTATTCTTGTGTAAATAATTGAGACCAAAAAACCGACTCTTCAGTGTCAAGCTTCACTGACCCATACTTTTGACAATTGTGCAGCAGTTAATCAGAAATGTTTTTAAAGGATCGTCCATCCAGAACAAAAGAGCCAGCTGCCCCAAAACAGCTGAACAATTCACTGGTGACCGTCACTTAAGTATTCAGAGCACAGAGACTCAGCTGACACGTCTGCCCTCCATTCCCCTGCTGCTGACCTTCACAGCGAGGCGCTCGGCTGACAGTACTCAGATCAGGTACAGCCTTCAAAGACAAGTGGCTCTCGCTGGGCGCCAACACACCAGCCACTCAGGAGTCTAAAGGGAGGAGTGTGTGTCCGCATGTCTGATACACAGGGAGGTTAAGGATTTCTAAAGGAGACAGTCCTGTCAGAGTGCATTATGAGGAGTGTGGTTGGAGATAAGAAGCTGCTGAGCTGACCTCAGACTGGATTCAGCTCTGTCATCACACAGACTTTATCAGGTCAAACAGGCAGACACATGTTTTGTTTTGTTTTTCCCTTTTTTTATCAGCTGGAGGATATCAAAACAAGAACTCAGCCGAGCGGGTCTCAGAGGGGAAATGAAAAGGCAGCAGCTGAGTGTCAGTTCTCCTCCCAGTATCCTGACACATAATACTGAACATCATAAGCAGGGATATGCATGACATTTAGAGACATGTTAGTAGCTGCTTAAGAAAAAGGATTTGGGGGGATTTACAAACGATTCCCTTGAGAGTTTTATTTTCGTTTCTTTTCTGTCACTAAACTAAGCTGGATATTTGGGATTTAAACATTTTTATGGGCTTGTCAATGTTAAGCTATTCAGGGCGCGTACAATTTGAAATATTTTGAGAAAAAAAAAGGCCCCACTTTGAAAGTCCTGAACTAAAGGAATTATCTCAATGTGACATTTAGTGTACTCTAACTTCAATAACAAGAGAGAAAACGTCAAATTTGAATGTCAAAGAGCATCCAAAATCTCCTGGTGAATATTAACACTGGTGTGATTGATCGGTCAGAGCACAAATGATGATGCCTTTTGGTCCAAAAGTTTTGGTTGACTTTGTAAACAGATGGTGGGTTTTACAACAGCCAGCAGGCAGGACAAGCATCAAGGGCATTTTACAGAGTCAATTATTCAGTGCTGTCCTAAAAAATAATACATATTTAAAATCGGGAACATAAGGATACACATTCAGCAAAGAAAAAACCCATTTCCTTTCTCTTAAACTCAATATATTAAAAGGAGCGGCAGCAATATTAGAGAAGACATGAATTATTGAAGTGTTGTATCATGAGGTCAACTGCAGTTTTCAGGAAAATAAAGAAACTTCATCTTAAAGAAAAATATCCACAACTGGTCAAAATATTTCACAGTCCGACTTTTTCAGTACATTTTAATGTGTCAGGAAACAGAAAGTAGATTTTCAGCAAAGATAGAAACTATAACAGCTTGTGGGTGGTGAACACCAAAACAGACCAGTATATGACATGCAGTGCATTTATCATGTATCAGGACTGAAACAACATCAGATTTCCCCCTTATTATTATTGTGGCCATGAAATATCACGATAATGATATTTTTGCGCTGTTATTGTAAAACTTGGAATTTAAAATAACACACTAAGTTAAACAGAGAAAAGGCAAGGTATGGGTGGAGGGGCGCGAATTGTTGATAAATATTACATGTCCAAAGTTTTTATAAATAACCACAATAAACTCACTCTAGTTTTATTAATCCACATCACTGGATGTGAAACTGAAACTTCTGTAGAGTTTCCCCCACAAAAAGATAGTTTGCTATACTTTCATTTTGATATTTTTTCTACAAGTTGATTCATAACCCAGAGACATAAAGAACTAACATTGTGTTTGAATTTCTAAAATATCATGAAATTTCAGTTTTTTAAAAGAGCCTAATAATCTCTTAGAGAGTTGCTCTTGAGCCAGTTCTTAGTCTGCAGCTGCAGATTCATCTCTCTTCTGTTTTACAAGGTAAAAGGGCATAAAAGACCTCAGCGATGAACTAACAGAATTATCATTTGCTTATTTTTGGCACAAAATCAATATTTTTTTATTTTAATAAAGACGCTTACAGTCAACACCTGTGTATTCAGAGTGGCCCTTGACTATAAATAAATGCTAATGTTTGCTACATGGGTAGCTAATGTGCTAATACACAGGTATTGGAGTCCAAAACTAACACAGGTTTAGACCACCAACAGTAATACAAACTTTTGGTCAGGAGATGACTTAATCCATAATTTTTCACCTGGTCAAACCCAGTCAAAGCAATTTATGACAGAAAGACTGACGGAGCCTTTGTTTAGTTTTTCCTCAGGTCTGTTTTAGCATTCATGGTATAAAGATGTTAGCTATATTTAACAGAAAGCAGAAGGAGCCCTTAAAATAGTTGTCTGTCATTACGTCTGTGATCGAAACTCCCCCACCAAATGTGTAAAGAACTAATCAATTTTCTCTTTTACTGGAATCCTAACATTTCTTCTCTTTTTCTGTCAAGTTGGTCTCATTGTCAAATCAGGTGTTTTTGACTCAGCAACCTGCACAAATGAATACACTGTTACATGACTCAGAATCAGCTGAATAAGCCCAAAACCAAGGCTCCACTTCTCAATAGTTTTCTCCATTCTGAGAAGTGGTGAATACGTTTGCCTGGAGATGACTTTCATGTAACCATTGTTACTTTATCTCCTCTGGATTGAGTCACATTTACACTGTTATGACAGTGTTAGTTGTAATTCTGGTTCTTTGTACTCATGATTCAGATTGTTTGGCAGAATGTTGAAGTCTCATGATTTTATCATACTTTCTTCTTGTACCACAAACTAGACGTGACTAAAGTTTGACGGTTTTATAAACTACTCGATTCTGAAGTTCTCCATCTGCCTCAGGCCCGTCAGCCATCCCCGCCAAGATGATAAATAGGCCTCTAGGTAGGTGCTGTCCCATTCAGAGTTGAGCTTGCATAATGTGCGCAGGGAATTTTAGACCTTTTTGTTTTTTTTTCAATGCAAGTAGGTCATGAACAGAACTAAAGGTAGACAGAAGACACCTCAGACTGTCAGACTGGGTTTCAGCTTTACTTCAAACTTGAAGCCGAGGGGCACCGGTTCAGTTGGTAGAGCAGGCGCTACATGTATCTCTCAAGCTTTTCTACCAAAATAAAGGCAAAAATCTGATAAAAACTTGGAGTTATCTTCTTTATATAACTTTACTGAATGAACATAAATGTTTGTTTCTATGGTCAGTGTTTTCTGCAGGTCATCACTGTCACTGTTTCTCATCCACTTAGTCAGGAGCATCTAATAAAGTTCAACAGCTTCTTTATCTCAACCTCAGGTGTTTGCAGAGGGGGGGCTGGAATAGAGGAAACATCCAGTGAGTGGAAGTTTTTCTGGTGAGTACTTTGATGATGGCAGAGGTCAGAGGAGAATGGTCAGGCCGTGTCGTCTGCTGCAGCTGTGGCCCATCTGCTTAATAGTGTGACGTGCTATGCATACAGGTGAGCTTTTCTGTGTACATCACTTCTGGATACTTCTAGCCACATTATTTATATTAAACTGGCTCGAGGGACACCGGTTTAAATGAGTTCATTCCACTCAAATGCACTCACTACAGTCATGCGCCTTAATGATTTCCAAGGACACTTTTGAGAGGAACTGTTTTCTTTCAGTTTTCTAGCCTTATAATCAGAGCGCGGCTTTGCTTCTTTTCTCTCTCTTCTACCACCAACAAAACAGATGATTAGACTTACAGTGCCACCTTCTCAATTTGCTGCAGGCGGAGAAAACCCTAGAACTATCAACAATCATCTATCTTTTCCAAAATCTAATCATTTCAACCCAAAATGAAAAATTACCTTCACGTAAACTTCCAATAAATGTTTGAGGCTTTTCTTGGGTGCAAACTCTTACTTTTCAATCTGTTCATGCATCTCAGGAGTCCTTGAAACAGTGCAACAAAGGTAAATACCAGGCACTCTGTTTACCCTGTATTTTCTCCTCAGACATTATTTGCTGTGCTGAATAATGCAGAGGTTTTGAATTCACTGATGAGAACAAACACTTGAGTCAGTTCACATGCTTTAAGTTTATCCACTAATCAGGAGAGGTGTCTTTAGCTAGTTGACTCTCCCTGCATTATGCAAAAATCTGATATTTCTTATCAGTCCTTCTCTCACAGCTGTATAAGTTTTCTGTCATAAGGTTTAAAAAAAGGAGAAGGACAGTGTATTTTTTTCCAGCATTGCTATTCATCATCCAAATAAATGTCTCAAGTCTGTTTTATGTACACAAGCGTCTGTGAAAAATGCTAGATTGTACTGATTTCAGCACCTCCTGTGGATAGAGCCTGCTATCTTATTTTTTTCTTTGCGATTTCTTTCTGGTACATGCGCAACTTTTACTATTTTCTAATCGAACACTAGACTGTAAACTTTAAACAGTTCCCATGAGTTTCCACTAATCATGAGGCCAAAAGATTTAGAGCTTCCTCTGCTGACTAGCCGCTGTTTAGGTCAGAAACCCTGCTTCCCCCTTTCTAACAGATGGAGCAATGGTCAGATTATAAAACTACTAAGTACAGGTCAAACAAATTTTTCTCAAACATGATTTCTATCATTATAGTTCCTTCTTATAATGCTGATTTAAGTACATGTGCTATTCTTTTCTGAGAAGTTTAGTTTCAAAAAACAATTTAACTTTAAAAAGACAAGATGTGACATCATGATTGACAGCTCTGTTGATAAATGAGAGTTAGCAACACTTGCTCAAGCGTCACTGAACTGTGTGAGCTTTAGATAAACACAAGAATCTGTTCCAACCTTACCAACCTGTGAAGGCTTTAATGAAGTTCCATAAAATTTAATACCGATTTTGGTTTGTTTTATCACATCAGTTTTACTGTTTTCATGCCTTGGCTCCACCCATAGGATATGACAGCATCTGTAGGTGAACTCTTGGCCTCGTACTTCACAATGATAGAAAATATGGAGATGTTGTTCTTATACATATATATATATATATATATATATATATATATATATATATATATATATATATATATATATATATATATATATATATATATATATATATATATATATATATATATATATATATATATATATATATATATATATATATATATATATATAGAGTTACGTGTAATCTAATAAAACTGTTGGGTCAATGCTTTAAAGTGATATGACTCACTGTCCCTCCATGACATACATTGCAACCCCAAACAAACATTCCCCAAAATCACACACTTTTGTTTATAAAAATCTGTAGTTAGGGAATCAATCACTTCATCGTAAAAGATTTTTTTTTCCTTTGTTAGTAGGATGAAAGAGTGAAGACAAGTAAAAACTGCAGCAGCAAAAGACTGTCAAGAGTTCAGCACACCTGCCTTGAAAAAGAAAGTCCAGAGCTCATTGTGAGGATTGGATTTAGCACCTAAAACTTCCACCTGGCTCTGCAAAAGAAACAACTGAACTATAAAAGAAAGAAAAAAGAAGAAATGAACTCACTGGAAATGGAGTGTCTCACCTTTTAAATTAAGTGTAATGTTTGAGATTAAAGTAAATGAAGCAAACTTGAAGTGAAAAGTAGGCCACACGGAGAGGAAACACACACACACACGCAGACAACTTAAACACACACTAGTATCCTTCAGAAAAAGGAACAAAAGGGAAGAAAAGCTTTGAGTTATTGCAGCATCTGATTCCTCTGCGGTTTATTCTGCACCAGCTCTCAACCAGACAGCTTGTCCTTTCATCAACTCACAACTAAAATCAGATTTGGTGGCTGCCTCTCAAAGAGAAAGAACAGAGGACAACATGTCTCCTAAAGAGATGAGTGCTGACAAAAACCAGGCCTGCAACTCGCTGACAACAGTTTAATAGTTTAAATCATGCAAAGCAAGGCCAGGAGGAAGGGAACGCTTTCAGAGTCAGATGTAACATGGTGGCGAAATGCTTCATCAAACTGACACACTGACACTATCTGTACTGCTTTTTGCTCTAGTCCACCAACACAGTGTTATTCTGCACACTCTGCTTTGACGTTTGTCGACAAAATGCACCCAAAGAAATACCTATGAGGACAATGAAAGTCACAGCAAACTGCGAGGAGCAGCAAGTGTACTTGTATGTGGGATTCTCTTCAATGTATTAGCTAAGAAGCCCACACAGTGCTGCCTAGCAGATCAGTATGTACTGTACTTGTGTGATCCGAAATCCTCTGCAGCTCAGATGATTCATTTTACAAAGTATAGACCTGTTGGGATAAGGGTTCAGTTCTGAACAGCAAAAAGTTTTAACCCATTTATTTTCATGTCACACTCAAGGTGAAAGGCAGAGACAGTTCCATGAGTGTCCACTGACCATGAAGCCAAATGATTTAGAGCGCCATCTGGTGGCTGATGACAGTGAAGGTCATAAACATTGCCTCCACCATTCTAACAGATAGAGCAATGGTCAGATTTTAAAATCAATTCAAGCATAAAAAAATGATTTTCGAAGTTTTATTGGTAAGGTTACTGTATGTTTTGGTGAGCAACATGAGACTGATGCCAGCCATGTGACACTTCCCACCAAGTTGCTTCTGCACATGCCTTCACCAAACCAGAATTCTGACATCTGTGGAAGTGTCTCTGGCTTCAAAGCTCACAACAGGCAGAAATGTAGTAACGTATGTTTTGTTAACAGACAATAGGAAGCTGTCACAACAAAAACAGAACTTTTAAAAAATACATTCAATGTCAGGAGTGAAATCAGGTCATATTTTAAGTTTAAACATCATAGGCTATTTCATGGCCCATAAGGTTCAGTAAAAGCAAATGTTAGCATTCAACCACTGAGTTGAAGTAGCTCAGGCTGGAGGACTTTGGCTGAAGATGGAGGGTCACTAGTTCAAGTTCTGGCCAGACCATATCTAGACTCTGGCCTGGTAGCTGGAGATGTGCCAGATCATTTTCTGAGCACTGTTGAGGTGCCCTTGAGCAAGGCACTGTACCCCTTCAATGGCTCATGGCAGCACTCCAACGAGGGCAGCCGGACACATATCCATGGCTGCCCTGTTTGTGCATGTGTGTTTTTGCATGAAATTCAGCCTGTGTGTGTGTAGCATGTATAACAAGCAACTTAACTTATGTCAAAGATACAAAGGGAAAGGCATGAAATTCCTTGCTGATGAGATTCATTAGCCGTAGCTTCTGTTAGCTAGAAAAAGGGTAAATATGGATGCTAAATTCTGTGATTTAGTTTAAGATATCAAAGATGTTCTGACCGCGGTGCTCCAGCTAAAGCTGTATCCTAATTCAGGAGCTGCAGCTTTTATTTTTTTCTTGAAATGTAGCCCTGGATATTTCTATTCATTGTCTACACAAATGCTGACAAATGAGAAGCTGCTAGATGTTAGCATTTTGACAGGTTGTCTCGCAGGTTGAAAGACTTGAAACCTGGAAAAATAGCAGTACAATATTAAAACCACATTTGGGTTTCCCATCTTGACTGTAATACCGAAGAAAATACAGCTCACTGTAAAGCTTTAAGAAAACATCTCCAAAATGATAGTTGTGTGTTTCAAATCTTTTTCTTTAGTAAATGTTTGACTAAAAACTGGGTAATATTTACCAAAGCCAAGATTTTTTAATCCTGAGGGAAAGATATTTGATCAAAAGCAGAATAATGCGTTTACCCAGAGATTTCTCTCCACTGTGACAGGCAGAGTTGGAACAAAGAGGCGGACTGAGGCTCTGCTGGCACCTGGCCCTGTGTTTCTTCATCTCTGTCTTGGGCAGCGGCTCACATGACGACCGAGCGTGGTGTGCAGTCTCAACTGTGACTCAGTCATCCCTCCCCCTCTCTGGAGAAGGTGACCTCTTTAAAATTCTCTTGCAGGCATCTGAACCGCACCGTTGTCATGGGATGCCCAAAGCTGAGCACAACACCAAAGGAGGCTTGGGCTGACAAAGACGCTGAACTGGTTTCAGAGAAATCTCAACAAAAATCTTATACGTGGCTCCACAAAGGGGGACTGTTTTTAGTGGGCAGTGCTTTCAAAGACAGGGAAATAAAAAGGATTGAAGATGCCAAATGACAATAAAAGGACACTTTTGAGTACAATTAGCCTAACAACGCCTACTACTGATGCAGACTGATGCAGATAACAGCTCTCTGCTCCAAATGAGCTGAACTGTAAAGAGCCCTGCACCCCCACACCACCCACTCCTGCCAAATCCCCGATCAGAGCCAATCAAACAGATTATTTCTTATCCAATGACAGCTGCAAAGTTAGCAACAGATGGATAGGAATTTCTCTCCATGTTACCTTTTTAGCTTTTTGATTCACATTTCATGGAATAATCTGTTAACTTTGGTAGCACTCTGATGGTTCTGATATCCACATAAATGCATAAAGACACGAGTATAATACAACACTGTCTGTGCTCAGACTCCATACAAAGAAAAAGAGCAGGCTGGCTCTCTCCCATCACTGCCTGTTTTCTTTCAAAGGCACCCTCCCTTCTCTTAAGCAAATAAAAATGGCGTTTTCTCCTGGGCATGCAGGAAAGCGCACATCACATCAATCTCTTTCATAATGCAAAAAGACTGCTGCTGTAATGGCCTTGTGTTATCCTGAAAGCAAGTGTCCTGAAATAGATGAGAGACATTTGAGCAACAGAGACACAGGACTGGAGACACGAACAGCGTCGAGCCTGTGAAACAGACGACCACACTATAAGTCACCTTGTGTCTTATTCAGCCATGTAAAGTGGTAAGGTTAGAGTGGATTAGAAAGGACAAGCTGGATGTTACAGAGGAAAAAAAAGGAGGGGAGGAGGCACTGGATTTGTGGAGTAAAAAACATTTGGTGAATCTGACAGCATGTCTGACAGAGCTCGGCCCTCTGTGCCGTTTGCTGTTTGTGACGCAGGAGAGACACAAAGGCTTTGCTGACTCCTCTGTTCCTTCCCTCATTCCTTGTCTCTGTACAGCTTCATTTTCGTTGCTATTTACTCCAAGATTTGGCTGTTTCTTCTTCAGCAAACAGCCGAGACAACAATGTTGAGCTGAGCGGAAAATCTGTGCTTTAGCTGTAATAAACATTTTGCTCCTGTCTTCTCCTTGAGCATAGAGAGGTGAAAATAAGGAGATAAGTAGAATCACACCGTGTGGTTTTCATGATTGGACAATCAATGATTCACTTTACCCTGTCTCTTGGCTCTATTTTTATGATGTGGTATCATCATGGACAAGGAGGCAAGGAGATATGCATTGATTTCTAATTATAATACTAGTGACAAAAGCTGGTTGTCATACACTGGTGATTGCTGTTTCCTCCTTTGCAGTAAAACATAAATTTAACTGTTGCCTCAGATTATAGTGGAAGCAGCACCACACAGCTACAGTCGTATACACTGCTACTCATCTTAGAAAATCATGGTTTTCACCCCCTTGCTCTCCTTCTCTCTCTGTCCTCTAGAGGTCATGTTAGGTGAAAGCAGAGCTCTGTAACTGGAGGCAGTAGCACTCATGGCATGCCGGTCTCTTAAAAAGAAAAAAAAATCATAGCTTTCTTTTTGCGAACTGTACACAGCCTAGAGAATACATGGATGCTGCTATTCATATCAATGATTATCTAATGAATGAATATTAATAATGATAAATATAATATTTATTTATGAAGTACTTTTCAAAAACAAGTTACATCAAGGTCAACAATTAGAAATAGTTAATTATAAGATAAAAACAAAGCAGTTAATATGTGTAGTTAAAGAAAGCCAAAGAAACTAACGAATAAGTTTTACAAACAAATAACCAATTACAACAGATTACAAATATGTAAAATCCATTACTTACAAAATAATTTAAGGCTACAGACACACATATAGCAAAGCACATAATAGAGAGAAAACCAAATAACAGAAATGAGTTTTAAGAAGAGGTTGAAAAGAGGGCACTGAGTTTGTCTGTCTGGCACAAAGACTGTATATATGGGATTCATAAATCCCACCTCTGCCAGCAAAGCTTATGGAGCTGTGGACAAACTTTAGAAATTAATTACACCGAACATACATTTTTTTACCCCGCTGCTTGCGATGTTGACATGTTGTTATTGTAAGACTGGTTTGTGCTCTAGTCCTCTTTTTTCTGTACAGCTCCATTTTTAAAAGTTATTAGAGGGTTCGTGTTTTCTATGATTGACACCTGATACAGCCTATGGACGTACAAGGATTGCGTAGCTCACCCAGGGGATACGCTGTTTGAGCCGAGCGTTATCACAGCGACTCTCTGCGATTCTCCCGCTGAATGCGTACAATGTTACTGCGCAAGTGGTGGAGTGCGTACAACGGTACTGATACATAAATATCTGTGGTATGTATACTCTATTATACTGAATATGAATATGAATGCAATGTCTGATTGCAATAAGTTGAACTGATTTCTGATTTCAGTATTTTAATGATAATTGTGGCATTCACAGAAGATACAGAGAAGGTGATTGTTAGTATTAACCTGTGTCATTTATGTGCATTCACAAACTGCTGGCTATGTAATGGGGCAACTTTGGGTATAGTGTCTTGGCAGACAGATGATATACATAAAGTTTGGCCATTTATTCATAGAGTATGGTTCGTAGGTAAACGTTGTGTATTTTTCATCACTTTGATAAGGTCCCTTTGTTTGTCAGGTGTTTCATTTTCCTGTTTCCTGTGTCTCTAATGAATATAGTGTAAGTTCATCCAGAGCTGGAAGGTCACACTTGTATCTCCTGATGTCATTTCACATATACTTCACTGTCATTGGCTCATTCACAGCTGGTAATCATCTAGTCACATTCGCACAGGTGTGCAGCGCAGGCAATAACAGCTGACACCTCTCACTACTACTCTGCGGGTACAGTACTACACTCTAGCATCCACGCTGATGATACAATTAATGTGTGTTTATAATGAGGTATTATTTCTCTAAGCAGAAAACCTAGACTCCAGACTAACAGAGCCAGTGTCAATTGTTATAACTTGTAAAATCTAGTCTTCTATTACAGCGTCTCTTTTTTTAAAGTTTGATTTTCTGTTTTACATCCGATAAAACACTGTGATTCAGTTACATCACATGTTGGGAGCCACGAGCTGTTATGACTACATAATGAAGGGATGAACATCATTTTCTATAAGATATTCCCTTTTCAAAGGACCCAGATAATGGCGTTATGGTGATGACCTGCGATCTGCAGGGCAGCGCATGACTCACATCATATTCAAACTCATCAAACTCATCAAACCATTACTCTCATTTATGTTCCTTTACTCATTACTCAAGTCTAAACTTCAATTAAAGAATAAAATCAGAAAAGAAAAGTCATGAGGGATGTTTAATAAATGAACAGTACAGCGTTAAGTCCAGAAGTAAAGGAAAGCTGTGAACAGGGGAGGAGCTGTCCAAGGTCCTGAAATAACGATCTTTGCAATTTAAGCCCTTTTTTATTCACTAGATACACTCGGGTAGTATTCGCAAGCAAGCAAGTAATTTTCCGAACATATATTTTCTGTGATCCTCAGTTTAACATTTCTGCACATTAGCATTATACAGTAATGGTTTTGTCAACATATATTGAGCCAGTTGTACAGAGATGCCCACGGTAGATATTTCATAATGAGACCAAGCTCTGCAGTTTCCTTTTTAGAGCAAAGAGCAAAGATTTACAAAGTGATGCAACCACTTAAAATTATGTAATGTGGTCTACGAAAGCTGCTGTTGTGTGTTGGAGTCTCTGTGTTACCAGCCCGTCTGCCAAGATGTTCAGTGAAGAAGATAGGCTTGGTGTTTCAAAATAGAAACATCCACGGGAAGTGACTGGTTTTATCAAACTCTATGTTTTTATCCAGGCTGAGGAAATAAAATAAAATCACATTCTGAAGATTTTTCTTCTCAAGTTAAGAGAAAAAGAAAAAAGACACCCTCCAGGAAATGAAACATGGTTTTTGTAGGTGCTATGGGATGGATACTGCGGTGTGGAGCTAAAACTCTGCAGTTAACACATTTGACGCTGTTTTTAAGCTGCACTGCCTCTGCATGCGTGGATGTGCACGGATCAATTGGTGCCATTTTGGGCGTTTGGCAGAGCTGTGTGAGGGCTTGAAAACAGTGGAGGTTTGGTTCATGCAGAAAAATTCAGAGACAGTAAACGCCTCAGCTGTATCTTCTCATTGAATGCACATTGCTCTTTGTAGTTTTTAACCAATGATATCACTGCACCACACACACACACACACACACACACACACACACACACACACACACACACACACACACACACACACACACACACACACACACACACACACGCATGCACACACTCCAGGCATTTAAACTGCCTTTCCAAACTCCATACCCAGCTATAAATCCAAAGGCAATCACAATCCCACGGAGGATCACAAATTCATTCAAAACAGAGTCAGAGCAGATTCTCAGAAACACAGAGATGAGTTAACACAGACAAAAAAAAAAAAAGTTGAAAGGCACAGCTCCATTTTAAAGTTTAATAAATTTAACAAAGTCCCATCTAACCTTGGAGATTTTTATTCCAAATGGCAGCACTGTTCTTTCTCATCTGCATCTCTATGTGCTTGAAAATCCTTTGAAAGCCATCTTACAAAAACACACCTTTCAGTCCCTACTTTGTGATTCTGTTACATGTGAATCCCAGTCACGCTCTCCTCTGCTCCCTCTATGTTCTCCCTCTATGTGAGGCATAATGGAGTCCTTGAACAGACAGGAAAACAGCTCTGCAGAAGAAGAGCTGATTGATAAATCTCTGCCCCGGTCGCTTTTAATACAGCTTGGAAGGAAAACATTGTTTACGCACAGAGGGGGGGTCAGGGCCTATTGATACGTGTCCATCTGTGAGTGAAGGTGCAGTCAGGTGTTCACAGGGTGGAACAGCTGCTTTATGCCTCTCTCTTTCCCTCTCTCTCCCTCTTCCACTCTCTGTTAATGAGCCTGTGTGCCTGACTGCTGAGTGCAGCTCTTTAGCAGCATGCAATTAATCAGACGTTTCCTCGTAGACACGAAAGCAGCCAGACATTCAGCAGCAGGGCAGTTTGATTGCACAGGGAATGCAAATTCTCCAGCATCCTGGCCATCGCTATTAGTCAGAAGGAGAGGAAAATACAGGAAAAGGTGCAGCAGAGGCTGTTGAATTGCAATCCTTCATTTTTGGTGACAACATTAGAAAATTTAGTAGGCGCTTACATCAGGTAGAGTTCATAAATAAGTAGGACAACATTAGACGATCAGGATAGGATTTTATACAGAGATCTCAAACAAGTGCATCTACTGGGGTGCTGATTAAAAATCAAGATTTGGGTTGTTTCATTGAGTTTCAATACACCCAATTTATGTCACTTTGGTAAAATATTACTCCTAAGTACACTCCTTTTCCAAAAGCTTATAGTTTTTTTCCTGAATTGTGGTTGTGTGAGGCACTTGTCACAACTGTACTGCACACATGGGATCCTAGGAACCAGTCAGAGGACCAGAACAGAAACTAGGCAGTAACACCTTACAATAACCATAATTTATAAATGGTAAATAGATAGTTTATAAATGTTTAATCATCATTTAAAAACAGCATATAGACCAATTATAAATGGTAAATAGATAGTTTATTAATGTAAGTTAATAGTTACTTTACTATTAACAAGCAATAAAATTATGATTAATAATTTTCATTAATTATTAATAAACTATTTATTAAAGGTTTATATAGGGTTTAAATAGGTTGTAAAACATCTAGATTAAAATGTGTGTCAGAAGCACTTTGTAAATGGTTAATATTTGTTTTTTAAACCATCTGTAAACATTACTTAGATGGTTATTTTTAAGTTGCAACTGATGTTTGGGTATAACTGATATACTTTGGGAGGTAAAACACACACATTATCACCTAATCAGGTCAATGATCTTTGAGTATTCTTTAATTCACCCCCATATATTGTGAATTTCTATATTTTTGAATTTCAGTTTGACATAATTAACCAAAAATGCTAAACACTATCTGGCAGACACATTAATGTCTGTAGAGTTTGTTATGTCAGCTCAGTCTTCTCCTTCAGCAGCTAACACCAAATATTTTATGGGGGTCAACATCAATAACTGTTGATTTAAAACGTGCAAAACCTGTATCCACAAGGACTCTTACTTGCAAATGAGTATTGCGACATTGTTGTCAAGGACCTACATGCTTCTTCCAACACAGATCTCAATACATTTAGTGCTAAAAATAATTCACAAATGACATTGCCCCAGAGCACAACAACCTCAGCAAACTGATGAATAACTCTCGATTACAGCCTTAGTCAGAGGAGCGACAGTGGAGGTCATTACAGAGGACAGGACGAGGACAGAGACACAAACTGTAACGCAATACAAGAGTGTCCTTTGGAATCGACTGCAGAGCGTGCTGTACTTTTATTCATATGTCTGTAATGAGACACAGGCTTTGAAACCACCTGCAGATAAGCATATGAAGGAGTGATATTATCTCTGAGACCCTGAAGTGTTGCAGTAATGTGTTTTGTTCTTATATGTATATTTCACAACAGTGGTGTCTCTTGGCATCAGCTCAATCTTTGTTATCTAAGAGCGAGTCTGTTGAAGTCATAAACACTGCAGCTCGGTGGATAGAGAGGGTTTTAAAATACATGTATGGAGGTAGAATACATTTATAGTCATAGTCATTCTGTTTTAAATTGGTTCATTAACGAGATTATTCATTGTTCTGGCAAAGATAATTCCTAAAAACTTTTTCATAACTGGCTCAAATTTCATGCTGTGGCATCCCAAATAAAATGTCTCAGCGCTGAGTAATTTGTCGTAAATTAGGTAAATAGAAATTCGATGTGATGTGGTCCTCCTCTCTGTGGCCAGCTGCTAACGCCCAGATGTTCCTCAGTTCAGGAGTCTCTTCTGCCAGCAGCCATTAGCCTGTTTAATGAGGACATGTCATAACCAGAGCACCCAGGATGAGTAGGTGATGTTTCACTACTGCAGATAAGACATCTGTAATGACCCCTGTGTGTGAGGGGTCTGTTTTTTTTCTTCTTTGTTTTGTTTCTCTCTGTATCTGTGTTTAGTATCTGTTTATCAGTGATGTTTGTCAAATAATCAGCTTTTCTACGGGGAAAAGGTTGCCGGAAATAGTAACAGACTCCCGCTCTGTGAAAAAGCAGCTAAAAGCCCTTCTCGTTATTTTATAATTATTATGAATATGTCAGCTAGAAGAACTCGCTTAAATTAGTACAAGCTTTCTGTCAGAGAAAGGTATCTCCAACATGAAAGAGAGCTGCACCTATTTGATGTTGCTACTGCTTCCAGTTTGAAATATGCTTTGAAAATTAAGTTTGCGGCTCAGGCATGGCTACATTAACTGGTATCTTTGGGCATTTTTATTCCATTACAATCAAAATCCCATCATACAGATACAGATTCAAGGTGGTTATGCTTCGAGGCTGTAATAGAAGAAATACTTCTTGTGGTGTGTGATGAAAGGGAAGTCAGAGTCCACTTTCTCAGGATCCTCAGCAGAAGATAGACAGTTTCATTTTAATGACTTTCTTAGTTTCCAGCTGACTTTAAAATGCCTTTGCTATTGTTCAGATAAATGTTCAGCTCACATTTAGCATGTGTCTCAAAAAAGGGATAGGTATTAGATCACAGTCATTTTGAAGTGCCTCATGCAGCATATTACCGTCACATCAGCAGTCACTGACACAAGCGTTTCTTGAAAGAGCCGAGTGCGTGTTCCTCTGCAGACTTAAATCCAGCCCTCTGCTTATAATAAAGATTAAACTGGCGTTTGGATGAGTGTTGGCTCTGTGGCTCCAGAGCCCTGACACTCAGAGGAGTGGACTGGGACTGGCAGCCAAAAGAAAAAAAAAAAGACGACTAACTATCCTCTCAGCAAACACAAGCTGTGCAGCATGTGGGAATCCATCCTAAACTACGGTGTTTACACTGTGTCACACTGCGGAGACAGGCAAAGGATTACAGATGGTGGATCATCAGCCTCAACGCAGCAGGTGAAAAAGGCAAGCAAAGTCAAGCAGAGTTCCAAGCGCCATATCAGAACGCACTTTTGAGAAGGTTGATTGTTCCCCGGAGGAGCAATAAATTTCATCATTTTGTCTCCAACCAACGCCAGCCAAATATTATCAGCTGCTGCAATCTGCCTCCAAAACACAGGGACACACATGTAAGCTCCAGCTCTGTGGTTTACAACGCCATCAGTAGTGTTTGCAGAACACGGAGCGAAGCACGCTACATCTGAAATGCCTAGCAGTTTAAAAGATAATATATGTTATGAATAAAGTTTAAAGATACTCCAATAGTTTGTATTGATTTCAGCAACCCCTATGGACCAACAAGAACCCTCTACCAATCTGCAGATCTTGTCCTGTATATATGTGAGTTTTCTTTGTGGTGGAAAATAACTAAAAGGCTGACTCTGCCGAATGTAGAGGTTACAGGCAATAAAGATAACTTCCAGTAGATATGGAAATCATTACTATTGTTATAGTTATTATCGTGTCACTGATGGCCTGGTTTGTTTCCACATGTCATATTGGTCATTAACTCTACATCATTAAGGACAGTGCATTAGCAGTGAGGCCCAAACACCACCTTGAAGGAATCTGAGATACTTTAATGGTGACAGTATTTTGGTGCCAAGGCCCCTACAGTGATCTGCTCCTCTTTACAAACCAAATCACAAACATTACTCAGTGAAAAAGCATCAAAGATCCCTCAGGTTGGTACAGCTCGCAGCAGAACAGTTTTTTTGTGTTCATCTGAAGCAGATACTCACAGATATGAAAAGGTCAATGGCTCTTGTGTCTATGTTTGTTAATTTTTCTCTTGCTGTCCCTCATACGCTGCCAATCCCAAACTCAACACCGCAGGAGTTTGTCAATAAAGTACTATCAGCTTTGTCATCTCTATTTTGGTGTCAAATAACAAATTAAAACTTAACTCAGAAAAATTAACACTTGTGTATAAATAAGCATGATAAGGATGAACTGATATGACAAAAAGCATGTTTGAGACAATAAATATCAGAATCAGAATTACATTATTTATCCCCATGGGGCGAAATTTGAAAAAGCTAGACACATATTTCATCTGTTACAATAGAGAGAGTCATGAAAACTTGGCTTCATTTCAGGGGAGCTGCTGTCCTGTCCATGTTTATACACATTTTGGATACAGATGGACACAGTTGGTTTAAGTAAGCAAAGTAAGTGAAAGTCAGAGAAAGTTAGAAACTTCAATTCAACAAAAACCATCAAACTGGCAGAAACATTTATTTTCACCTCTAATCTCAGAGCTGATATCAGTCTCAAAAGTCTTGAATATCAGTATAAATACAAGAGCACTGATTTTAAAAATATTCAGGATATGGGACTCTTTTTCTGAGACATTACTATCAACTGTTTTAAAGTTCTCTATAAACTACGTCACATTTGTTCATAATCAAATCAAAAATACATTAAAGAATCTAAAAGCTACCAGAGAGTCTATTTTTCTGTTATTATCAGGACATCCTTATGTCAAACCTGCTCATAAAAGTAACCACTGTTATACATCATTCGGACAGCATGGCGCTCCATACTTTTCACTCTCTTTAGAAATCTATAAAAAGGAGGTTCCACCATAAGTTTCAGAGCCTCCTTAATGAGGACATATAAAGCTCAGATCGCTTACATCAAAACTTTTTAAATGATTTTGTAGTGTTTGTCGTACAGGTTTCAAAAAGCTCTCACTTCGTGTCAGTCAAACTTTTTTTGTTGTTGTAAAGGCAGCCCAGGAATTCTTTTGTACAGATTTCCAAAATGCACAAAATGGCTCTGTGAGAACCAGTTATATGAGTGAGCTGCAGCTTACACGCCCACCTGAAGAGGGAACATATAAAGTGAGGCAGGGGAAGTGGAGAAAGAGTGCACTTGTCCTAGAAATGCTCTATGTCAGTTTAAAAATACTTGGACTACACCGTTCTGAACAATTTGGCACATTTTACAGCAGTGACTGCACCCAGAAAATCTCCCTGAAACTTGGGTAACATGAGTGTAAAAGCCCAAATGGAAGCACATCATAGGGGGGTTATCTTTGTTGGACAGCTTGTGTTTCCATGTCCACAGACACCCTTTCTTTATTAATGCATCTGCTCCAGATGTTGACCCTCAGAGGACTACAAGACCCAAGTCTGTAAATAGCTGGCCTACATGAGAAGAGCAGGAGGCCAGGAAGCAAATGAAGAAGTTACAGCGTGTTGTGTTCTGTCTTTATATAATCCAATTAGGACCAAAAGATAATCAGAGAGTGGCAAGGATTAGAGGCTCAGGCGGCTGGAGTCATAGTACACTGTCAGATCAGCAGCACCTGTGAATGAGTCATTTCTCTAAAGCTATGAGCTATTGACTGCCGCTGTGAGCCACATTCAGGCACATAGTGAAGCAATTTAGAATCATTACCGGCATAAATTAAAATGTATCGGGGCACTCACAATGAGGACTGGGGATAAGGGATTTACATATTAAAGGCTGATCATTTACACTTTTTGTTGCATGACATTTTCTGCACTCCTCATCTGTCACAGCATGACAGTTTACAGGATTTTTAATGGGTGTGTGTGAGTCTCTTACCTCTGTCAGTGTCGTAAAGGTAGACAAACTTCTCCCACTTGTAATGGGCCAGCAAACTGAGAACAGCACCCCGCAACCCGGGCCTCATCTGGATGACAAACTGCACGTCTGCGTCAATCGGGAAGCTGGGAGTAATGAAGGAGGTGTGCAGCGCTCCGCAGAAGGAGGTCAGCGTGTTCATGGACTTCCTGTCATAGAAGCCAAAGATGGCGTAGACTCCTCGGGAGAACTGGGAGCAGACTGGTGACAGGGGGCAGAGAGCAGATTCAGGTCAGGGACAAGTGCAGAGTCAAAACAGTTCAGATCAGCTGTTTTTCAGTTGGGAAGAGTGCCAGGAAAGAGGAAAAAGTGGCTTTAAAATCAGAAACATGTCCAGGCTTGTTTGACAAACTCAGGTGGACCAAATGTGGTACAGGGGGTGACATAAGGTATGTGTGCACACAGTGATGTCAAAACAGAAATGATTCACTCATTCTTTAAGGACTCAACAAGCAGATGTCTGCCATGACTCACAACACAACTAACGCTAACAGAGAAAAATGCGTCACAATATGAGACAAAGAAAGCTACATGCAGCTGCTCGTATCAAAACCAAAACAGATGATTTAGACACGAGTCTGAGCTGACAAGATAAAATACCAAATGTGTTTTAGAATTCAATATTTCAGATTTCAACAGGGGCCCATGCCACCCTTGGACACCCATCTGAACACGTCCATGGTAACACGGAGTACACATGGACGCACAGAACATACCTTAAGTATAAATCATGTTTTCTCTCTCTCGTGTATCTTCCTACATTTTCACTCAAATGTTACCATCAGCTCTATGGGTTTTCCAGAAATACTTTAAAAAAATGATTTGTCACTAAAACTGACGGTATAAAGTAGCAACAAACAGAAAAAAATTAAAGTGCTTCAAAACCCTTAAAATAAACAAAACTCAAGTTCTCAAGCAGAAGTCAGTCAGGGCTGAAGACAATAAGGTAGCCAGTCAGATTGCTGGAGGTCTGCCACCTCTGAAGCATAATAGTGATTATATCCAGGTTGATTATATGTGACATTACACTCTATTTGTGGGTTAAATCACCACCTGTAATATGTATCTAGGTGTTGTTTCATTATTTTTACCTGTTCAGTTGTGTAAGTCCACAAAAGAGTAAGTGGTTTTGTCACTTTTTGTTCATTTGTTGATGAACAAATGAAGCTTGTGATTTAAAGGGATATTTGGCGTAAAATTAAGTGAGGGTCAAACATTCTCTTCCAGCAGCCTCTTGTTTGTAGGGAGACCTCAGATGAGCCCATTACCGACTGCTGCGGGGTGACGCAGCTCAAGGAAGAACATTTCCTTGAAATAATAATCACCATATCAATCATTTTGCACTGCAGACGCGGTAGTTCTTCTGCCTTAGCGTCTGGGTCTGATTGCATTTCCATGAAAAAAATGATCATAAATGTTCTTCTTTGAGCTGCGCCACCCCCCAGCCTCAGTCGATGATGGACTGGTTGAGGTCTTGCTACAAACAAGCGGCTGCTGGAAGAGAGTAGGTGAGTTGTGTTAAGTCTCTTCGCCAAAGAATTTAGGCAAAGCTAAAAAGATGTTTGGTGGCTAATGCTACGACTGGGACCCTATATGTACTGTTGATGAAGTTAGGTTCTGAGCATTATTTGCGGATATAGAGTAGCTTTTTGGTTAAGCACGTGGCTCCTGAGACCGCTGTGTATTGCTATCCTGCGGTCGTTACTAAAGTTGGTATAGCTAGAGAAGCAAGCGGTCGGCAACATTCATCTCTCAAGGGGGTGTCTTACTTGGTGTTACAGTGTGTTTGTGTTAACTTAATTTTGCGCCGGAATATCTCTTAATGTCTTTAAATGTAAGTGACCACATGAAGAAACCCATCGGATACACCCCTGCTTTTCAAGGTCTAAATTACTTAAGATGTTAAAAGCCAAAGAAAGCCGAGTCTAATACCAGTAAATGTAACAGAAAGCATTTAATCTGAGGCAAAGCTACGAGTGACCACATGACAGCATTCATCTTCAGAATGAAACAGCGGTCTATCTGAGTAAATGGGTGCCGTGTGGGATGTCTGCTCCCTATGGCCATTCGCGGCTGCCCTGTGTCCTTCACTCGTCCTTGCCCTAAATGCAAAGGCTCGGGTAATCAACTAGAAATAATGGGGGAATCAGTGCTTTGGCCACGGCTCTTTATGGACAAATATCCTGAAACACGAGCATGCAAATGTGCAGGCAGCGGGCTGTGCTGCAGTATAAAAGATTTATAACAAGCCTTGTGTGCTGCCATCTGTAGGACTGTGGAAATGAGCTCTGGCCATAAACACTCCATGTATCAGACACTTGGTCTGACAAGATGTTGACTATTTGATTTTATTTGTACATAATAAATGGTTTAATAACACCAAACTGGACCAACTAAGGGATATGACCCTTGTCTTAATGTCAGCTGTAACTGGAGCAAATTTGAGTCAATCCAGGAAAGCTGCTCTGCTTTTTGTGACCCTCAGCTCACTGCAGATTTAAACTCTGTTCACTGAAGCTGCTCAGTCTCTCTAATCAATGTTTAATCATGTAATTATCCAACTCATTGGATTTAACGAGCTTCTTTTTTGAGGATCTGTGGGCTAAAAATTTAGTCTCTGTGTGAAGAGTCTAACCCAAAACTTCTGTAAACACACTTATATTAACATTTGTATTTTCAAAAGCAAGTTTAATGACAGAGTCTCCCCCGAGGATAAGTAAAGTATTCTGATTGTGAAGTTTATGGTAGAGCTGCTGGATTGGATAGACTACCAAAGTGGATTGGACAGACTACCATAATGTTATGGCTGGTTGGTGTAGATAAAAACAGAGTATATCATCTGACCATGATGAAGGTAAACACATCTATTCAAACTCATCAGTGATGCAACAACAAAGGGACAAAAAAATGGAGACCTACTGCACTGTTGGAAACCTTGTGGTTTAAAAATGGTGTAAAATTACAGGTCTAAAAAACCTCTTGGCCAGGAGCTGAAAGTTGATGAGAATATGCTCCCCTGTTGTTCGGTTATCTATAGTTTTAGCGTTGAATAGCCATCATTGAAGGATAACAGATGTTTTATTTAACAGGTCACTTCTTAACCCTTTAATAATGTGGGACTTAATCAGCTGTTTTTAACTTAGAGTCGGATATCAACTCGCACAGAGCTGCATGACCCCACAGTCTACATTGTCTCTCCACAATTAAACAAAGCTGCAAATTATTTATGTTTTTTTCACTGAGAGACAGTTTTTTAAGCTCTGAGTTTATCCTCATTAAATTAAACATAAAACCCTTCACAGAGACTCACACAAAGTTCATCAGAGAATGCCGACTACATCAAAACACAACTTAGTCATAACCTGCTTTGTACTCTGTATCCTCAAAAACTCGGTAACACTTAATTTGACGCCTATCTCTATAATGCATTATAAATATATGTGTAATGCGTTATAATCACATTATAGCACTGTATAAATATCGTTATAAACACTCATAAATGATCAGAATGCTTTATAGCAATAATCATAACACATTATAAAGCATTTTATCATGAATTACCTTGTAAATATTATACATATATTTATAATGCGTTTTAGAGATAGGCATCAAATAAAGTGTTATCAAAAAATCAAATGTCATCCTGATAAAAATTCAAATTAAATACTTTTTTTTTTGCAAAGAAACAGCTGCTGGCTTGTTCTGGTTATTAGAGTTGATTATACATCCTGCATATCTCATGCTGTACTTTAGCTTGTGTTTTGTAATGTTCATATAAGAAAGTGAAAATTCCCGAAATTCATCTTGGGGAAATTGTTCTGAATCGGAGGGCTGCACTTTATACAAATGCACTTAAGATGAAGTTGAAAAATACGCCCACACATCTGTGTTTGTGTCTGAAAATGCGGTAAAATAATTTCACAGCTGTGCGAGTTCTCCGTGTGTATAGTTGGAGTTGAACAGTTCATGTTTTTGTAGGTTTCTTTTGTTCAGCTCTCTATTAAAACAATTCTGCAGACACACATTATAACTCAGTCATTTTGTGATCCCTCTAGCCAACAGTACTTTAACAGCGTAAACTAAAGCATCCACTGACTGCATTGTTTGGTATAACTTGTAAATGATCAGGCTTGAATCAATAATCATCCCAGGCCTGCTGCAGTATTTCTGTCCATGTGAAGGACAACTTTCAGCTCCATCTCACACACTTGAAGGGCTTTTGGTAAACACTTTAATAGATCTCGCTCTCATAAATAGAAAAATGTCAGAACAGATGAGTTTTTAGTTCAGTTTGAGATACTGAATGCCTGGCAGTGGATATCATTGTTCAACCTGACACCAATTCTCCTCAAATTACAGATTCACACATTTCTCCTTCGACAGACAATATCCAGCTGATGTTATCCGAGAAGGATGGGGGCAGCCATTAAATTAACACTTCCCAGCTCTTCCGATATAATCCAATTCTATTCTCAAAATGGCAGCAATAGCTTTTTGTTTGTCAAGGTTAAATAGACCGCCTGTTCTCCTAAAGGACTAATGAAATCATATATTTGGGCTCCTGAAGCAGTAAACACTCATCCACTGTTGTAAATCTCCCTGATTGTGGTCAGCAATGAAGATACGCATCATTTACTTTATCGCATAGGGAAGTGGAGTTTTGTTTTTTGTTTTTTTGCATTGCAGCCTCTCTGCATTTTTGTCCGGAATACTAACACAGATGGGGGAATTTCAGCTGTTTTCCTCTCATACATCATATTCCCTCCATCACCCGACAAACACCCACATCTGCCTGCCATTACTCCTTCTTTCCCCTCTTCCTCCCTCTCCTTGACACCTTGTCAAACTTTACACGTAGATGCAGCAGCTCCAAAACCACCAGCGCTGTCTTAACTCCCTCCATAAAACTCAAGGCTTTGCAGCTTTAAGGGTCTCTCCTGCAGACAGCTGAGGGTTCTAGTTAGAGTCTATCATGAAACTCGCTGATGTAGGGATGAACCTGTAGCTCCTGTGCAGAGCTGAGCCAAGCCTGCACGGTGAATTCTTAGAGCGCAGGAATAGAGAGAAGGCTGCTGTCCTTGAAAATTGAACTTTATCCACATCAGAATGCTGAAAAGGATAGAGGTTGACTCACACTGGAATGAGAGGGCAAACTTTCTCACAGTGAAAGGAATTGGATTGGCTTCTGCACTTGGACAAAGTGAGGACAAACTGCTTTACTTTTTGTGGCGATAACAAATAACCTGTTTATTTGTGCGCTGCTGCCTGCTGGTGTGCTGGTGAGTTATTTCTCTACCCTTGTCTTAGAAATGTGCCTGCAGCAGTTCTGGAGGAGAAGAGAGCAGCAGGACCTGAGTTTGTTTTCCCAAGGGAGGAGGAGGAGGAGGGCACGGGGCTCTCAGTCACATGGGAATATCTATCCTGTGCTGGGGTCATATGTTGGGTTGGAGACGGCAACAGAGGGCACAGCACAGGTCTGTAAGGTATTTTACAGACCGTGAAATCTCACAATAGATGAGGGCAAAGCTCACAGTCGTGAGGCAAACATGTTGAAGATGGACAGGGGTAATGTTTGAAGATGATCAACCTTTACAGTTAGCATCTTAGCATGCTAACAATCAGGACAAAAAAGATGCCGGCTACAAAGGAAGTGTCTTAGGTAGAGCTGGGTGATAAAACGATAACGGCATATAAAATTTCCCTTAATATCAATATAAAACATGGTATACTACACTATACAAATAGCCAATGAAAAGGGGAGTTGCTTCGGGTACGCTTCACGCTCAACCAATCATGTAGTAGCAAATAACTGCGTAGTAGCAGGCTGCAGCTACACACAACCATAGCACTTTAAGCAGAAATGCAGATGAAGGCTCAACAGATGATATCGTCAACAACACTGGTATGAAAACATCAGTGGTGTGGAGGTATTTCAGTTTTTCGAGGTTGAACATGAAGCAGAGTAATGTGCACTGCAAATTATGTCGAGTACATGTTCTCACAAAGTCAGGGAATACCTTAAATCTTTTTAACCTCATGAAGCAGTGCCACGCGGCAAAAGGTTACAAACCCCAGGGAGCCCATGGCGCCTGTGCAGCGGGCAGAGCCGACCATTCAGTCTGCTTTCACTAGCACAACGCCTCATGACAAAACGTTGAAGAGACACAAAGACCTCACAGATGCAGTAGCTTATTGTATTGCAAAAGACATGCTACCAATAAGCACTGTTACATTTCATTTTTTATATCCTGATATATATTGATGTCAACTGATATGAAAAAAATATATTGTGATAAACTTTTTCCCATATTGCCCAGCCCTAGTCTTAGGTTTAAAAAGATATTTTGCATGCCACTCACAGGGACTCCCTCATAATCTCCAGTCATCAGCTGTAGTCATCACCTCATCACATCCATGCTAAAGCACTGAAACACACTCTCACTGTTCGTCTTTCATGTTGATGGTGTATTTTTATGCCTGTGTTTTGCCTCTAGTTCAGTCATGCATATGTCCACAACTAGTGTCTGCATTCCACCGAGGGACATATGTCACCGGTGCACAATATTTTGGTTACCATCCTTGTAGAGTTACACTGGAAAACAATTTATCTCATTCAACAAATCCTCTGTTATAATAATGAACCATAAGTCACATATACTTTATTTATAAATCTGTCCTGATAGATAAATGGTTAGGGAACAACAGTTATCTAGGGAGTTTTACTTGAGAGTCCAGTCCTCATTATGAGCATTATTATTTCTAGTTAAACAATTTTTTATAGAGTTTTAACACATCAACATACATTGTTTTTGCAGCACACAACACAGGAAAAATTATACTTAAAAATTAAGCAACTGCTGCTTTAGGTTCGTTATGGTATTTTCAATTTCCCTACCCATATCCTACAACAATCCACCTGACCCGCCCTCAATCCCACCCATCCTTCTTCCCACTCTGTTGTCCCCTAAGGTCAAGACATACATGAGAACACATCAATGTTTCTAAATTACTATACAAATTATTTAGTGTTGTAAAATATCAGGATTGTTTAACAATTAGGGTTAGGGTTTTGAAAAAGCATTTAAAATGAAATAAAAATAAAAATTATATATATATATATATATATATATATATATATATATATATATATATATTTATATTTTTTTTTTTTTTTTTTTTTTTTTTTTTTTTTAAAGCGTCATTATTTCTTACAAACAGAGCAGCCAACTGTTGACTGCGTGAACCTGGTCTGATTGTGCAGGATGTTTGATTGTGTGGAAAAAAACAATTAAAAATTATTATTAACATTAGATTCTTACAAAGCCTTTAGACTGACTGGGAGCACTGTTTCGAGGAGCTTGTAGAAGCTGTAGCCCTGTATAAAAGGAAATATGAGATAATATTCAAAAGTCCTTATCAGTGGATGAGTGTGACCCCTCATGTCCATCCTCTGAGTCCTCTAGTTACCATAGCCGAGTCTCTTTAAAAACACCTGTCTGCATTTGGGTCTGTATTTACATGACTCCCATAACAAATTCATCACAATGTCAAATCATTCAGTGATGATTAATGTGGCTTCAGTATATTTATTAAGCAGTTGATATGGACCCCACTTAGCGTCAGTGCTGTACACTGGTTCTTATATCAGGTTTTATGTGCAACACCCTCCCCATTAATCCCTTGTGTCATGTGTGGGGTTGTATAACCTCTGTCTGCCTGATTTACAGCTGTGGGAAGAACTATGAACTGTATATCGAGGTGATCCATCTTCCCATCATCAAACACAGATTGTCCTTACCCAAGCCAATTTGCTGCCTGTATCTTTTACCTTCCCCACATACAGTATAGTATTGATGTTGTCTTTTAATGTATTCAAGGCTAAAAGGATAGAAAATGTAGAGTCAAAAAGACCTGGACAAAACAAGAAAATGTGCAGGGATTTTCCAAAGTGGAAATATTCCAGTTAAACAGGATTTAATGTTTTAAAGCACATGTTCATTATAGACAGTGTTACTAAGCTGCACAGAGAATGCCAACGAGTCTCACAAATGTGCTGACTGACACTCACTGAGCAAATACAGTGTTTCCCCATGAAAACGAGCGGGGCGGCTAAGGTGTGCCATCATCTGAATGAATGAATTCCAGGGTCGGAACACTCAGCCAACATCCCTCCCTTGTTATTCCAGGTAACACGTTTCCATCTTTGCATCCTGCCAGCAGCTGTTCAGTGTGTCAGCTGGACAGGATGAACAGGGGCATTGTGGGAATATCTCAGGACTGGAAACAACTGACACCTGAGCAATGGTGCATTCTAGCAAGTTGAGCTAGAATCCAAACATATTTACAGTAAAAGCTGAGTTGAGACAGAGAGGAGCACAAAACCTCTCAGGATGTACTTGGAAGTGGGAAAAAGAAAACACACACAATCATCCACATTTACATTGTCATAAAATAATTTTAAAAATAGTGTATTCAACAATGTTATCTGCAAGTTTTTGCACTGTGAAAGGCCAAACTCTGTTTTTAAACTACTCTCTTTACAGTTCACAAAGCATTAACACAATAAAGCAATATAATGATTTCTTCCATTTCAAGCCCTGAGGCTTTTGTGTCAATAGCCGTGTTTACATGTGCAGAATTTCTTGATCCGTTTTGAAATTTGAGGGATCAGATAATCTGAATCCACTGTTTATATGGGTGCAAAATCAAATAATCCGATCATGATGCACGTATACATGCACCAAGTTTTATTTAGATTAGAAGCATTTAGACATGCCCAGAGTTGTCTGATTTCACTAAAACAACTGCAGAAGAAGAGTTGTTTTTATGCTTGTGATGTCAACAAACCAACAAACGCGGTAGTGGCTCACTCCATCCAGTTCAGGAGTTTCCCCCCCTCACTAGATGGCGCCCTTGCGTACTTATTTCACTGTTCTGTTAAAGGTTGCACTGTGCGTGCAGATGTGACATCATTATGCTGTATGTACGCCTTGTTATGTTACCAGAGGAGCAGACACGGCACCTGCGGTTGTGTTTTACGCCAGAGTGTTATTGATGAAACCTCCTGTAATGGCCAAAGAGTGAAAATCAAGTCAGGTAAGAGAGTCACGATCGGAATAAATGTTCACATGGATGCATTTTGGAATAACAATCAGCATAAACCACCCCTCTCGATCGCAATACAATTTCTCTCCGACTGAGCCAAATTGAATTAGAATCTTCTGATCGACATTACATCACGCATTTTTATTCAGATCGGGCCTTTATTACGATTATTTGTGCCTATGTAAACGCAGCTAGTGCAAATGTTGCTCACGAGCATAATACAAGGTACAAAGCTTGCTCTAATTATAGCTTTAGTCTCAGCAGAGAGGCATGAAGAGGTAAAAAATATGATATTAAAATTTCCTCATGTGACCAAGTTCCTCAAGCTCTGTTAAACGTAAGTGCACCACTGGAATCGCTGCGAGGCAGTTCATGCTCAAGTTTAGCAGGTACAACATATGGAGTTAATGTTGTTACAAAATATACTGCAAATATGTAAACAGATGCACAGAATAGATCAGAATATATACATACTCAAACCCACAATCACACAGATTCATAAATGTGTACAGAGATCCACACACCCAGTTCTGGAAATGAAGAACAATTTGTAAATGCATCCAAAGACATTAACGGCTAAAAAGTTCAAGTGTATCTGTTTCAAGAGCCGACACATTAAGTCATCCTTTAAAACTTCATGCCTCTCATTTTTTTTTTTCTTTTTAGACTTTTGAAACTGTTCTGTCATGCAAGATGTTCAAGTGTGGAGCAGGTTTGTTTGCCTTGTGCTTAAACTCACAGGTTCACTTTGTCTCACTCCAGTTAACTCAGCCGATCTGGCCACTTGTTGGAGGGAATTAGTGGGTCTTTTGATCAAACCAACGCCCTAAACAAGGTTTATTTACATACCAGCATATCACCATTGTCTTTGAATGGATTATTGTTACATAATGAGGGAGACAAGCTGTTGAAGTAGCGCTCTGTCCTGTTGCACTGTGAATGCTGTGATTTACTGTGAAAGTATTCAGGAATTTGCATTTTGCAACAGCATTAGCTCCATAGTGCATCATCTCAAATGGGCTGTTAACATACGTTTCCTTTTTTATCAGCTGATATGCACTGAGCCTAAAGTATAGCTAAAGCTGCCTGGAATGTCTGTAACTTTGCACCCAAAGCTGCAGGTGGAAGGGAAAGAATTTTAGGGAATCACCACCTTTTTTCATGGTTTTCAGGAGATTACTCTAACACCATAAATGTCTCTTAAAAAACATGGTGTCAGTCCATCCTGTCGTTGGTGTGATATTACAGCCTGATCCAAAGAATTTTGTATGGCTGGCAGAAAGACTGGCGTTGCTATTCATAGAGCCACATGGCTAAAATGGCTAATAAAGGGAGTAACTAAACAGATTATATAACTTTCTATAATTGTGCCTGAGCTTTTGAACGGGGACTCTGCATGCAGCTCATCTGGTTTGGGTTGAATAAGCTGCACTCACTCAACTGAAAGGCTTGTAAAGACCTGCCAGTTCATTTCATTTGACCATAAAATCATAGTAAATGTTTTTTTCCTGATACAAATCAGATTAAAGACGACATGGTATCAGTGGTCTCTGCGTTATGACATATAAGTGTTTCATTTTTCATCCACATTACAGCCTGCATTGTTGTGCAATTCATCCCAGCTGACCAACCACGAAGGCAGCAGAGGGCACATAGGGACTGAAGCCTGAGTAGGTGTTTCTCCTCAGGCGCTGTGGTTGCATGTTGGCTGGAATTCCCTCCTCTGTGCAGATTACTGCTTTGTAAAAGCAAACAAATTTTTCTTCCAGTGGGCTACCCCCAGCAGATCCTCATTATTCACAAAAAGCCGGGCAACACTGGTTGGATTAGCCCTAATCTGAGAAATACAACTGGATTCAGCCCACATGCTAAAACAAAACAAAGAAGAAGGAAATCAGCAGATATACAGACAGAGCCTGTGGCTATTGGACTCCTGTAATGGAAGAATATACTTAAATATTTTCCTGCATCACATTAAAAGCACAGCAACCACTCCACCTACACATGCTTTGCATATACAGCTAAACAGCATCCAAGGGGCACTTTTATCAGAGACAGAGGAATATGTGACGTACTCTGTTGAAAAAAATCATAATGCTGCTAAAACACGCAAATGGATTTAAATATAAACATCAGGAGAATGCACATTTGTAGGGAATAGAGCGGAAGACTGGATGACTCAGTGGCCAGAGTCATTTCAATTCAATGCATTAATTATTTGAATTTTTGTAAAATAACTCAATTTCATTCAATCAAATTACAACAAATCCAGAATTTATCATTTTATTTTTTTAATGTTATTAATCATTAAACACAAAACATAACTCTTTATTATTTGTTGCTCAGACATGTAAAATCCCATCACTGAAATGTCTCAGTGGACAGACAACACAGACTAGATGATAACAAATCATATGTGATTGGTAAACTAAGGTGTTTTAAATGTTTTCTTAAAGCCTCTGCTGGACAAAATTATACTCCTTAATTTGCTGATTTCATCCTATTCAGTGATTCACTTACAAAAGAACCCCATCTTAATTTATTCTGACAGTCAGCTTCATCTCTTATCGAAGATATTTGCGGTAGACAAAGTATAAAAAGGTGTTGTAACTTGCACCATAACCAGCAGTGAGAATCCAGTATTAAAAATTACATAATATAAATCGTCAGTTTTCATGCAAGTAGGTAAATTTTCTTTTTTAGGTCATAAAGAGGCATTATTGTTTACGTTACTGTGTTTCATAACAATTTAAAACACTCCTCACTGGACCTTTAAGTATATCTAAGATTTAAAATCATCCGAGTATTGTTTTTCTCTTTTAATTTAAACACTCAAGCTTTTATAATTTTATCAAAATAGCTCCAATAAAATACTCACTTCCTCAGTTACATTTGTGTTGTATTTCAGAGTTACTATCACTCATGTTGTTGTCTTTACATAATCTCAGGTAACATTTAGTGGATAATAGAGCGTTCAGGGGCAGCATCACTCAAGGACGTTGTGTTACACTGCTACAAACTGCTGCAGCATCACTGTAGCTTGTCACAAGTGATCACTGTCGCTGCGTTTCAGTGCTGACATGTAAGCACATTCTGATGCACAGGATGAAAGACTAACTGCATATCTCCAGTGGCATGCCCCCTAAACCTATCCGCTGCTATTCTGCCATTTTTCAGCATTAAAACCAGCCGAGATGAAAACCAAGAATTACGAAGCTCTCATACAAGAGATTTGAGCCTGTTTAACAAAGTACGAGCAGCTTTTTGATATTTAAAAGCCTCTGTTGTAGTCACAGCCTTTTCTGAGCACCAGTCCTCCCTTGTTCAAAGAAAGCTAATGCATTAATGCTGCATGATGGGCCATGAGTGTTGTCTTGCCCCATAGCAAACAGCCTGAAAGCTCTTGTTAAACTCAGGGTCAAACCGTGTGTGCATGTCAGTAAACGAAAAAAGCTCTGTCTCCTTCTGGAACAAGTCTGTAGTTAAAATATAAAATTGATCCTAGGCTAATTTAAAAAGCTTTTATGTTTATTTTGTACTATGTTTCCTGATTCCTCATGAGAACGCCATGACAAATCTGAGGAGGGAGACTTGTCAACTTGGAGCAGGTCATCCAAACTGACAGGACGCTGGGTGCAGAAGCAGTAACTCAGATATTTTTATCACTGCATCATGATGAAAGGACATGCTTTTGGGTAAGTGTCTCATCTGTTCAAGGGCTCCAGAATGGAGAGGATCCATTTAAAGCCTGCAAATGAGGCAAAAAACATACAAACTTTTCCAAATATCCAACCGAGAGAGGCGAACATGTATTTCACGCTGCAAAATAATTTCATAACTGAATGTATGCATGAGCAGTGGAGCTTCAAAGTCAAGAGTGGACATGGTTTTTATCCCCTTATTAGAGGCCTCACTCCCTGGTTCCATGCACCTACCACATAAAAATGGGCTGAAATAATGATTCTTTCATGTTTACACGTTTGTTACTGTGGCCAGAGAGTGGGTTAAGATAGAAACTATCAAGCAGCATGCTCTCCCTCAGGCCAAACCATTTGACAACCTCTTCTCTGGTCCTCATGCATCATACATGACTTGTCAGTGTAAATAAGTTCTCAGAGTTATGACGCATACAAGGTTGTTATGTATTGATAAAAGGTTGTTTTATTGACATATCCAGCATGTTTATTTTTCTGCCAAAGGGACTACAGAAAACCATCATGTAAAGCATTGCTAGAGTAGAATATCACTTATTTTTGGATGTTACAATGTTTTCTAAGGCTTAAATGACCCAGCTGCTGACACAGTAACTAATGAGTAATTTCTTTTTCATCTCATGTTTGTTGTTTTTGTTCTTTTTCCTGAAACCCCTTAGCTTCTTCAATAATTAATGGTTGTTTCAGAAAAAAAATTCATGAAGAAAAAGAAAGGCCTTTTCTGTTTGAAGGTTTTTTGTTTGAGTCATGAAGGCTTGTTTTGACAGAGAGCTAGTAGGAAACTGATTCAATGTCATAATTGTTTGGTAAATGTGGAGCTGCAACCAATAGTCATTAAGCTTAGCCTGGCACAAAGTCCACTAAAAACAGCGGACCTGGCTCTGTTCACATGAAATAAAATCTTTCCACCTGAACCTCTAAAGCCTTCGAGTTGACATGCTGATTTTCTATTCAACAGAAAACACAGGAAGTCTATAACACAACAGGAAATTAAAGCTACCATGGGGAGTTTGTTTGATATTTGTGAAATAGACTTTGAATGATAACAAAAAGCACATAAGAGTTTTACGATTTTTCTATTGTAATTTTCAATGCCTGAATCCACTCTTAGGGGATAAGCATCAGCCAACCAGTTGAAGAAACAGCCCTATTTTTACACTTTCCACACGCAGTATGCATAATTAAGAATACATTTGACTGTAAAAAGTCAGCAGGATGAGATTCTATGTCAGATGACCTAACCTGAGCATGTAGGGGAAAACATGAGCAAGGACTGCTTCATCCGCAAAGGACGCTAAAATTGAATCAAAAGTTCCTCTTAGGAGCTTTAAAAAATCTAAATGACAATGAGGGTTTGATTGTTTTTTATCACAGAATGCTTTCATTTAATTGGACAAAACCCAAGGGGTTGGAGACGGGGATAAGCTGTGCACTCTGTTCATCATATGAGTTTCAAACTCTGTATTTATAATTGCTGTCAAGATTAAATTTTTATATGGACAGCAAATGACAATAAAGCAGTGAATAATTTTATGCAGGAATGAAAAAAAAGAAAAGAAGAGGTAACGAAAGGTAGAAAAGTTCAAAATAATCTGTAGGGAAATCACAATTCATTCACATTATAATATTGTTTCCATTATTATCAACCAGGAAAGAAACCAAATGTCAGGAATACCATCCCAAATTCTTAACTTTAAGCTGACAGAAAACATCTATGTACAAAGTGGTTAAAGCTCCAGTGAGAAACTATTCATTTGTGTTAGATTAAGAGTCTCATGTGGACAAACTGTTATTCTTGTATATGTATATTCTTGTATATACTGTTAATCTTGTATATGAAATGGCTGAACCAAAAAAGCTGTGTCAGAAACGTGTAATCAAAAACTAGCATCTCTCCTCTGCCAGCTGTTTTAGACATTAGGAATAATGTTATAGAAAAAGCACATTTTTATGCTGGTGCTGTGGTTTCCTTTTGTAGCCCATATAGAGACATAAGCATTAATTTTATTGAATGTTTTCTACTTGGTAAAAATTCTTAACAGGAGCTTTAAGATAACAGAGAGGCATTCATATTGAGTTGTTTCAAGTACATAGATCTATCTGAAGACACATTTGTTTGAGTTTTAAAGGTACTGGATTACAATATTTGCTTCCTAGCTCGTCAAATCTCTGTTGCCAGTCTTTGTGCCCATTGTACTTCAGTGATGTTAGGTGACAGCTGTCAATCTATCGTCTAACTTTTTTGTCTTTTTTTATCTTTTACACTCTCGATCTCGAAAAAAACGCAGCGTTTGCCAAAATTGCAAGCTATTATTCAACAAGAATTCTACCCCATTATAGCTCAATGATCCATAAACAGCTACTTCATGGACAGCGAAAATTTCACACCAAGCAAATCTGATCATTTTTTCTTTCTACACATCATTTCTGCCTTAATTGGAACGCTTAAACTGAACTTAAAGAAATGACACATAATAATGTGTGTTGGATATGTATTTGTGAGCTGCTGCTGCTGCTGCTCCATCCCCTGTCTGCATATTTTACTCTGCAGGATACAACAGCTTTGGCTCACACCATTTATGTTATAAGTATACTTTTTGACAAGCTACATTTGCATAACAGTCCTGGAACTACTAAATTGTCCTTATTTGGACACAGCGTATGAGTCAATACAGTCATAGGGGCCTTAATAATGCAAAAGAAGAAGTAGAAAAAGAAGTAGAAGAAGAGGAGGATGAAGAGGAGGAGGCGATCTGGCTTCATAAACTGCTGCATTAGTGGTGCTGTCCATTGCCTACACATTGAAGTGCTCTAACATTAGCCTCTGTCTGAGCAGCATCACACTGTTGAGTCATAGCAGAGGGAGGATAGGTGGTTATAATAAATGCTTTATTGGGAGATATACTGTCATCTTCATTTTAAAGTTCCTCTCTGGAAAACTGACATCTTACAGAAGTACTAGACAAGAAAGGAGAAAAGGAAAGGCTTTAAAAATGTATGCTAGGTTTTTGAGGTTTCTTTTTTTGTGGAGACGTGGGCGTACAACAGATAGGTAAAGTCTTCTGTGGGTACAACTAAAACTTTCAGAAAATCTAGGTCATTCAGAGCAGTTCACATACAGGAAAACCCATGCAACTTATAAATAAGGGTAAGTAAAGATATGGAGTGACCTATTCTGGCTGTTTGACCTGTCACCACAATCCCACATGCACCGAGTTTAACTCCCCCCTGATCGTGCAGCCGGACAGCTTCATCTCTGTTGTCACTTTCTGCCCTGACCTCAGTCTTAATGGACGTAACCTTCCCATTTCTGCATTTATGAACACAATCTGTCCTGGCCTGGGGCAAGGTGTCAAATCAATACGATCTGATGCAACTTCACTTCGACCGCACACAAACGAGTAAGATGTAAAGAAAAAAAAATGGAAAGGGGAAGTTCTCTTTATCAGAATCAATATAATCAAGTTGACAAAACTGGAATTTGTTTGCTGGGACGGATCATTGGCTGTTCCCGTTGACTGTTTTGTTTGTTTCTCAACTTTGAGAGTTGCAGTGCAAGCACCAAACTGCAGATTCAGTGTCTGCGGCCAAGTGGAGTTGGAGAACAGCCATATATTAGTAAAGAGGGACTGAGATAGGGAAAATGAAAGCTTGGTGAGAATTGATTTTTCCATACTGGAGCACAAGCCAGAGCCACACACACTCACACACACTACTACTGGACTACAGCCTTCCACCTATTGATCCTCTCTGCCAATAACACAGTCATTTGCCATCAGGGATTTGTAACAATCATTATATACTGACCCAGCTGGAGGACAGTACTGTTGTCCAGCTTTAGTCCATTCATGATTTGCACAACAAATGCAACAAATGAGCTTTGAGCAGAAAGACATTACCCTTATTTCATACTCAATCGGGGTTTGTTTAGTGGAAAATCCCAAAAATCAATATTTTAAGTCTCAGTCTTCTTAACACTTTCTAATATTATCAAAACCAATGACTAGAGCTGTGGGGAAAGCACAGCAATGACTAACATGTAAGTCCTGCCAGAATAGAAATGTGTCAAATCATAATCATCACATTCATTTGCTACATCAACACCTGCCAGGCAAGCAGGGCATTATGCAACCCAGACTGCTAAAATAGGAATCGTGGAGTTTGGTGCATTTTCAAGCCTTAGTCACAAGCTGGCCTGAACGTTCGGTCTGCATAATGAGCTGCTCGCCGCTTCTTTTTTCAAAGCTTGCATCAGATTATCTCACTCACATTAATCCTCCTGATTATCTTGTTTTATTTTCTTCTCATCCTTCAGGAAGAAAAAGATCAGCCCGCTTTCAAAAACAATGGATTCAGGTTTACTCCGAGTGAATCCAACCAGAGTTTGAATATTTAATGTGCGCATGATGCAAAGATAAACAGTGATTGCTTTGTTTTCACTTTTAAACTCCACATGTCGCCAGGGACATATTTTAGCTCCATAACAACCTTGGGGTACAATAAGATGACGTTAATACAAAATCGTCACAAGTGAAGCATTAATTTGCAGAATTAATCCCTCATAACAAATGCTGAAATCCTATATTAGCAAATTATCTAAGTATGGCCGAAGGAAAACCCATAACTTTGAAATGACTGCAGGAAAACTGCTCAATAACACTCAAGAGAAAATCTCTTCACTTGATGACTAATTCTTTTTTACATAATGACTCCCTTTTTGACCTCATCCAAAAACCAAAAACAGGCTGAGTTAGGGGTGCCTTAACCCTGATGTAGACAAGCCAAGCGTGTAACATTTAACTCTTACACCGTCATGACTGCTGAAGTGCCCTAAAGCTAAGTGCTGACCCCACAAGCACTTTAGTCTAACCTCACGGAGCACCGCTGTGGTCTACTGAGCAGGGTCAAATAAGGTGTGAGTGTTCAAACCTGCAGCTTCCTAACTGCATCATCTAAATGTCATTTTGCACGTTTATTACAAATACATGATGTTCAATTCTGTTACATTTTTACTTTTTTTTAAAGTCTTTTCTCACCTCATTAGGTCACATAGCCATCTCTGCTGCAGCTGACAGAGCTGGGAGAGCTGCAGCTGATCTCAAAGCGTGAAGTGTGAAGTGCAGTCGGTGGGAAGACGGGTAACAAATTAATTCTCCAGACAGAACTTGGTGCCCTACATGGCAGAGGGGTGACTGGTGGACCAATTATAAAGCCATCTCACACTCCACGGGCCTTCTTATCAAATCTATCATGTTTGTGCAGATGACTACATGCATTACAGCATGTTATAGTTGATACAGCGGGTTATTTATGCATCAAAAGTGTAGGCAGGCAAATGTACACCATGCTGGTCTAACATGATGTGATGGTTTAGATTAGCATCTGACTGACAATCATGCGGCCTGATTTGAACCAAAAACCATGCAGAGATGACAGGTCTCTACTTTCCTGCTTTATGTTTGACTTCAAATATTCATCATGTGCCTAATCACTGTTTATAAAGTGAACATCACTTTAGAAACAGCTCTGCTTTGTTAAAGGGGGAAGGGGATGTAATCTGACACAATGATGTGCTTGATAAAACATCTGTGTGAGAGTACAGTCTCATTATGGGATGGCTGATGAGGAAAAATGTGGACAATTTTTGCATGAAATCAGTGAATCTAACAGCTTAGAAAACATTAAAAACTGCAACATCCAGAAACCAATGATGGCACAAGGTTCACAAGGTTCAGTTTTTTTATAGGCATGTAGTTTCCATGTAAACTGATAATGCTTACTACGATACCTTCACTGGTTATATTCATGGGGTCTCTTTGTTGACATTTTTGCATAAATTTAAAACAGACAAATAGGCCCCAGAAAATGAAAACTGTAGAAAAACACCATTCAAGCTAATGTTAGTGTTTTTAACATGTTTATGTTACACTAATAGCCGCTCCTGACTCCCTGTTTTTCCTGAGGTGTTTGGAGGTGACACTGATTGAAGACGTGAAACAGCTTTATTTAATATTTTCACTGCTTAAATTTCTGGGTCTGTTTTACTTTTATGCCAAAGAAACATATCCCAATAATATGGCTCTAATTTCTGACCCTGTAAACAATAAACACCAACAGAAAGCTAACATTAACAAGCATAACTCCTAGACAAGTGGAGCTAACCTTAGCAGCAGCTCAGATTTCAGCCCCTCAACATGCTTTTGATTCACTAGAGACCAACTATATTCTGTATTTTTAATTGCTTTTTATCATCTTGAACAAAACCTGATCATAAATACCTGATAAGCAACTGTAGCACATTAATAACCAATAATTCAAAGAAGAAAAAATGCACCCTTTGGTGTCTCGAACCTTTGTCACACACATGTTCCTCAAACTGGCAGCATTGTCAGTTCATACATTGTCATATTTTTTCTGTCCATATCACCCAGCCCTATAATTCAATCCCAGATGCTAATAACCAACCGCTGTAACATATGCTTCACATGCAACCATCATCCAAAGCCTCTATCAATTCTCCAAGCCAGGAAGGACCACCAGAGTGACACTGTTTATTTATTCCCCTGTCAAGTGTACAGTCATCTAAGTGCTGCGCATCAGCTTCACTGGAATTACTGAATTACTCAGTTTACTAAATCACAGTGCTCCGCCAATTACAGGCCATTGCGCTCCATCATCCAGCTGGAGAGTTTTGGATAGCAGGACTGAGGAGAGTGTGTTTGAGGCCAGACACTTAGCAGGTGTCTGTTTGATACCCAACCTTTTCATTCAAACACTATTTTCAGCTCCTAAACATCAGTGTCATATTTTTGTTTTCATTATCCGGCCAATTAATCAGAGCAAAACATGTCAAATACTGTAAGAGTCCAAATGTTGCAAACACACAGTACAGAAGGCCATGTGAATTATGATGTTTTCCTGCTGTTTCACGCAGACAAAAATCATATCAACTTTCTATTTAAGTACATACTCTTAGTAAGTGGGTACTCACAGGCATGTGTGACAGAGAAGCTGTTGGAGGACTCCAGGTTGTCAACATTATAATTGAGGTGAAAAGGTTTCTCCGTCACATTCTGGTTGGTATTGTACAGCTGGACAGCAAACCTGAAGGCGCTGTGCTCCTGCACTGTGGAGCGCATGAACAGTCCACCTACAGGACAGAAAATGTCACATAATAACACCTCACTGGTTGTTATTTTTCATTCATATAACACCATTTTCCATGCAGGCTGCAATCTTTCTAATAAAACGTCCCCTTATGTAAACTATAGTGATGGCATTGGCGCAAAACCACGCGTTACTGCATACACGATGGGCTCAGTTAAATTTAAGAGAGGAAGTAAAGGGATAAATGTCTTCCCACACAAAATAAAAGCACTGCAGACGATAAAACTCGCATTTGTTTTAACAATTTGGTTCAACTCTATTTCCACCACACCGCCTACAAGGACGAGCAGCATCCCACAATCCTTCTGCCTTTAGGAGAAGTGAACTTGGTAATGGATTATACTCAAAACGGGATCAAGTGCGACTTTTATACGTGTCCTAGATAGACTATGTGAACAATATAGAATGTCTATATACAGTCAAGAGTATCTAGTTCAACTTACCTATGTTGATTTGATTTGGAAACCCTGCCAGCGAGTCCTCCCAAAAATACAACAAAATAAGCGCTGTCGCTATTGTGCGATGCCACATTTTTCTCCGAGAAGTGAAATCAACTCCTGGCGTGGATGTGACAGAGGTAAAGCAGGGAGAACCATGTACACAGGCTTGTAGGCGCAAAGAAATCCACAGGATGCGGCGGGTCGCTCTCACTCACTGTGTGCACCCACGTTGAATGTGTGCCAACGCGACTGCAGCGCCAGACCTCTTCTGCTGCTGCTGCTGCTGCTGCTGGAAACCTAAAGGCAGAGCTTTATCTCAAAGATGGTGGTAGTGGAGGACAGGAGAAAGCGGATCTCCTTACTGTGGGTAAGGAGCACTGAAGAAAGGAGTGGAGAGGAGAGCAGGGAGAAAAAGAAAGAGAGAGAGAGAGAGAGAGAGCGGTGAGGGAGGGAAGGGGGGCGTTTATCAAACTTGGTCTGACGCTGAATTTAAATAAGAGCAGCCCCCAGTCCTCCTCCTCACGTCACTGCAGAGTTAGTGTGTTTGAGGCTGTTTAGCCTCTGCTGTGTGTGCGTGTGTGTGTGTGTGGTGCAAAGAAGAACAAGCACACCAGCCAGCATCCACTCAGTATGGGCCAATAGTGTTGTACTGCTGACATGTGAGTCCTTCCTATCTATCTATCTATCTATCTATCTATCTATCTATCTATCTATCTATCTATCTATCTATCTATCTATCTAACCTATCTATCTATCTATCTATCACTCTGTCTGTCTGTGTGTCTGTCTATGCAGCACTAGCACTCCTGCACCCAGCAGTATAATCTCAGACTGTCCCCTGCAGGTGTTCCAGTGCAGGCAGAGTAGATGTAGCTGTTAAGTTATCACTGTTTAATAATCATCTGCCAAGTGGCCTAACTAATGCTAAATATTAGTATCCTAATTGACTTACCGGTGTTAGTCATTCTGATTCACATTCATCTTTCTTACTCGTAACACTGATAAAGCTGTTGCAGGGAGTCCAGGAGCTGCAGCCACCACTGTAGTGGAAGTGTTTGGATGTGTTTGGGGATTGAGTTCGCAGTGGGAAGACACTGATTCAAAAACAAACAACACCGATATTCAGAATTAATTTTCTGCTGTCAACTTCCCAAATAAATCATGTTTTTAAGAATTTGCTGCTGTATTAGAATGGGTTGTTCTTTGTTACATAAGAAAAAAGTCACGTAAGTAAATGAGAGTGTGAGCATATCATAGACACATAAAGAAACTTCCTGTAAGATCTTGACATATGACTTTACTTCCTTTGCAACATGTGACAATAGGACTGGGCGATTTGGCCAAAAAAAAATGATCACAATATATTTTGTCATATCGTCCAATCTCGATTATTATCACCATTTCATCATCATTTTTTGTATATTTATAAACTGCCAGTTTTAAAGCATCTGCACTTAAACCAAAGAAACTAGAGATTAGTTCAACATTTTATTAACATAGAAAGTAAATAAAGAAAATATGCTCACAGCTGATCACCGTGATCGAAATGAAATTTATCACAATCATTAATCACGATCATATCATCGCCCAGTCCCATGTGACAATCTGTAGGGTTAAAAAGTAGACTTATGGGTCCAAAACAGCACATTATCATAACATACAATACTAAGTAGTAAAATCTAAACTCACGATATGCAATTTTTCACTTACACATGCTGTTTCCTTCTGTCTAGATCTTTGCTTTTATTGTACTTACTCTCAAATGTGCGTTGCTTTGGACAAAAGTGTCCACTAAATGACATTATAGCATTGAAGCCTTGGAACATGGCTTTTTATGTGACGCACTTTGTTGGATTGTAGGTATATAGGAGTCCACGCCATGCCAGCTTAGTCATCATAGCCTGAATCAGAAACATGTGATTGATGACGTCATTTGACCCAGAGAGGATTCTTCTTTCTATGCTGGCAACAGTCAAACCAGCATACATACTGACTAAGTATGGAGGAGTATGGAGTATGTAGGTATTTGGTTCTGGACAGCCTCAGCCAACATTCAATCCCAAAAAGAGCAGTTTTTCCAGTGACCACTAGAGGCCTGCTCCAAAACTAGCAAACCCTTGTAAGACCCTATGTGAGGAGCCCAATTTTACAGCAGAATTCAACATGTTTACAACTTTGAGTGAAAGAAATAAAAAAGGTTTGGCACCTTGAGATAATCTATCAATCCATGACAACTGGAAACATGGTAAAATTCAACATTAGCTTTTAATTGAAACCTCACAGATATTAGATTTTCAGATGATTAAAGGGATATTCCGGCATAAGTTAATTTAGGGTCAAACACACCGTAACACCAAGTTAGACACCCCTTCCAGAAATGAATGTTGCTAACTGCTCGCTTCTCTAGTTATACCATCTTAAGTAACGACCGCAGATAGCGGTCAGTTCCTCATGGAAATGCAATCAGACTAAGTCGCTAAGGCAGAAGAACTTCCGTATCTGTAGTGCAAAATGATTAATATGATGATTATTACCTTAAGGAGAGGATAAAGTAATGATCATAAATGTTCTTCCTTGAGCTGCGTCCCCCTGCTACAGTCGATGGACTCGCCTGGAAGTCTCTGTACAAACAAGCAGCTGCTGGAAGAGAGTAGGTGAGTTGTGTTTAGTGTCTTTGTTAAAGAAATTAAGCAAAGCTAAAAAGATGTTTGGTGGCTAGTACTATGGCTGGGACCCTATATGTACTGTTGATGAAGTTAGGTGCTGTTCTGAGCATTATGTGTGGCTATAGAGTGGCTTTTTGGCTGAGGTTTGTTTATGGTTCCTCAGACCGCTGTGTATTGCCATCTGCGTTCGTTACTTAAGTTGGTATAACTAGTGAAGCAAGTGGTCGGCAACGTTCATCTCTCAACGGGGTGTCTAACTCAGTGTTACGGTGTGTTTGACTCTAAATTAAATTTATACCGGAATATCCCTTTGAGGGTGAGGATGGTTTGACTAGCAAGTAGGTCTCTGAGATGTCACCACAACAAATTCCAGTCACTGAACTTAACATCTCAGCCATGTTAAGTTCAATTTGCTTTTCTTAAGTTTTTGACCATTAAAAGAATCTTGTTCTTTGGGAAAAGATTAGGTTATCTCTTGCTTATTTTTTAATCCAAAAATATTAGATAGTGACAGTCAAATTGCCAATTAAAAAAGCGTCCAAAGAGCTGCAGACAGATCAATAGGTGACATAACATTGGCTGCACCTAAATCTTGTATCTATGATCTATACACAGTATATACTGTATAATCAAACATCATGAAATGTTGTTTATGTTGTTGTGATCAGTGCAGACAGATCTGTGAGTTTATTATCTGTGAGCTGCTCATGGTTTAACATAGTCCATCCAATTATCAAACCATCAATGTGGGAAAGACGTCAGACTCTGCCTGGTGTTCAGACTCCCGTGAGAGGAACAGGAATCACTGACTCCATTACTGCACCAGCAGTGTGGCATGCAGTCATCAACAAGGTGATTGCAGTCTAATCTCAGGCCGTCAAACTTAACGATGTCAGCAAACCTACAGCTAATCTAAAACATGCTCCAGTAATTAAAGGCTGGATATAAGAGTACTAAAACAGTTCTGCTTAATTTGGTGCAAACGCCACAAACTTAATGTTATCACTTGTTTTTTCCCCATAGAGATTTGCAGCTCTATTTACTTCTATCCAAATCAATAGTCCGTAATCATGTCTGCAATGTGCGCTGAATGCTGCACGGACCCCTTAACAAAAGTGACAGTCACAGTGACTTCACAGGTAATTATCAGTCTTATAAAAGATTTTTATCATGCTGTAGTTTATAATTTAAAGCTCATTCTTTACTCTATGCAAGAATGTGATTAATTCTAATATAAAGTTATTGGACATAGCCTATCAAAGAAGAACACTCCTCTGCTTGAAGTCCATCCTCATCAATCATTTATCCATTAGAACATAAAAGAGAAATCATTTTACTTCAGCATTGCTCATTCATTGCAGGCAACCTTTAGAGTAACTGAACAATGTAATATCAATCAGCTTGCAGTGTTACTTGTTGAAACAGCAGTGAAAACAGACTTTAAATGCACACATACCACTCGGACATGTAGTATGTGCTGAAGTGGTAGAAATCATTATAGCTTCCAAGTTAGACTGCTGCACACCCAGTACAGCAGAGCACGCTACAGAGTCTCTGCTTATTGATCCGGATGTAATTTAATGCTTGGCACACAACTTTAATCGCTCACAGGACAAGGCAAGCAGAACAACTGCTCTATAATTAAGTTCAATTTCATGAACTAAAATGGTGTTATGACCTTTTCACATATATTTCAGAGTTAGTATGATGTTTCTTAATGTGGACCTGTACTCCATGACTGTATTTTCACTGTATTTAAACACTAACTCAAACTGGTTAAAATAACGCAAACACAAGATGTATCTTGTATCACAAATTATAAACTTCAGTGTTAGATGCAACTTGCAATGCAGCAGTCTAAATGTCTATGTTGTTGGACCTCATTGTGTACTGTATCCAAGCTGTTGTTGATATGCCTGTAACTAAATTATGTGTCTAACTATGTATAAAATATACCTTAAAGAATAACTTTGTGATTTATGTACATCAGAATAACAGCCTTGGAGCTTTCACGATGGTATGATGCAGAGCCCACCCAAGGCATAAGCGAACTAGGTGCCTGCTAAGGGCCCTGCGGCCAATAGGGGGGCCCCAAGAGCAATCAAAAAAAAAAAAAAAAAGATATTTTTTGCATGTATGAGTGATGCTTTATGTATGATTAAATATATATTATTGTAAAAATAAAAATAAAATACAATAAAGTAAAAATATTTTAGTGCTGCTGCTCATGTAGGCCTATGGTTTTTACTGCCGATATGTCAAAGCTCCGCTACCGTGACCTGCCCTCTGCTGTGCAATGTGCATTGAGCATCCAAAGTGCAGGTAGTTGTGGGGCAAAACAATGTGGCAAAAAAGGACATATCCTTAAGAAGCAGGGAAAAGAAAGAGGAAGAAAAAGGAAGGAGAAAAAAAACGCCAAGATAAAGTTATACTTGCATGTCATGGAATGTTAATCAAAAAGATTTGTGAAGGTGTGTGAATGATCAACAATCAATATTATTGGCAGAAATAGAGGGCCCCCAAATCAAAATTTGCTTAGGGCCCCATTGAGGCTTGGACCAGCTCTGGTATGATGACTAGTGAGAGGGAGAGCGGCACCTCTTATATTTCCACTCTACACTATCAAACCCCTATTTCTGCACCGTTATTTCAGTGGTGCAGGCACAAGTGCGGGTAACACTTCAAGATGAGGTATCCTGGTAGAGAACACTGGAGGACATACATCCAGTTACTGGTATTAATCCTGATGTTGCAGCAGGAAGTTGAGGGCAAATAAACATTGTGGAACTCTGACAACAAAGATGAGCCAAGCGAGAATAAATTCAGTACACGATATGTGTTATTATACTCCAATATGTGTCTACTAAAGTT